CCCAAAGTAAATTCACACAACTGATTTTCTCTGGTGCACATTAATCACTCTGAATTTGGTGACAATTTTGCAATATTTGACCCATTAGTCATGGTCGATGCGTCGGAAAAGGGTGGGCCGAATGTAATTCCTATTTATGTGTGCGATTACCACTGATATCCGATTTGAGCCTACTTAACATACATATTGCAAATATTGTTGTCGCTATAATGTATCAATTGTATTGAATTCAGGCCAAAGATACAAGCACACTCGTGGAATGTTCGCCATTGCTTGATCTCTTCCAGTGATTCTTGCCCATTGTTTTGCCATTACAACACACGTTAAATTGATCACAAGTGGAGGCAGAGAAGTGGGAGAAGAAAAAATTGACCTTCGAGCCGCGTGATCTCTGTCGAATTGCTAAAGTCTCTAGGTCACGAACTTCTTTAAAAATAAACCATCGCGCTCAAAGTCGCCATATGATGTGCGCTCTCTCTCTTAAGCCAGAGAGTGAGAGAAAGCGTAAACAAGATGCTTAAAAATAGAGTCTTTCATTGAACAAAAAGCCCCACACTTCATTTGTCAAAAAAAATCTCTCATTTTAATGTCTCCCTCGCGAACACACAAACACACACAGAGACAGACATCTCAAGTGGCACAGGACGATGAGATGTAATAAATATATTCCAAGAAAATGATACATAGAATTCATCGCGAAGAAGGCCTCATGTGAAAAGTATCACATGGCCGAAAAAAATGTGTATATATGCTTGAGCAATTGAGAAAGGAAACTACACTATCAGTTGTCCCGCACAGGCTGTGAGAATTCAAAGGAGATCATCATGCCATAGCAGAAACCCATAAAGTACCTCATATTACTCGTCCGCAGTTCTTTTTGGGCGCACATAACATATAGAAAAAGAAAGCAAGTCTCCAATTCTGGAATATATATAGAATTACGGACTAAATGTTGTGAATATGGGCAATAACAAACAGAGAATTTCTCTGTCCAACAAACTTTTCCACCCTCTTCTTCTTCTTCATCGTCGTCCTCATCCTCGTCAGTGGACATGCGGAGAGACGAGAAATACCAAAACCACTTTTCATCAGCCCCACACGCTCAATAATAAGGAAAGTTTTTTTTTCTCTGCTTCTATTTTTATCTCTCCATTCACGGCGTCATAAATCGACCAGCCAAAAAAACTGTAATATTACCTATGTGAAATTCATCAAGTATGGAATATAAAACAGTACACAAACATTTTATTCCCTTTCTTCCAACAATGACTCATTTTTTACTGCTTCGCCCCGTTCATTTGAAAATGTATGAAATAAAAAGCGAAATATACTTTCAATTTAATTACAAATTTCTGTACAACATTCACTTAATGGATATAAAAAAAAATACATTTCGACAATATATTATTTCACATCCTTTCCGCTTTTGTGCGAATAACAAATCAGAAAAAAAAATGTCTATCGCAAATCCACCTTGAAAACATATCATTCAAAACACACAAACACACACACGCAGAAACTCTGCAGAGAAATTACTCCAAATTTTCTTATTTACCCACTAAATTGACACGGTAATTTTTACAGATTAAATAAACACATAATAATTCACATGAGCCAAAAATTTTCAGCAAATTGCACATAAAAGCATGAATTGAAAAAAATTCAGCAGAATATTTACTTCACCCTGATTCGCATTTAATTATCTTGACCTAAAAAAAAATTGAACCCTGCTGGAAAAAAAGCCAAACCATGTTTTCTTTTCCTGTAAAGCATTTTTTCCCCTCATTGTTAAATAACATCCGGATGTCTTTCAGACGCACACACACATTTTCGGTCAAATCTGGAAGTATGTCAGTTCCATTGTTGAGTGAAAATCTACCTGGAAACCACCCCGCAAAACCTCAGGTTGACGAGAAAGATTGAGAGTGAGAGGTGAAGAGAAGGAGGAAAAATATACAATCACCAGATCGATACTTCATGGTGTAATGATTAAAGACAAGGCGCACAATTTCCTCCCGAGCAGTTATGAGAATAGAATGTTCGGAATGTAAGTCGACACACATTATTTGCGTCATCAGCCATCGAGCGTTAATTTGTTTATCAACACTAATGATGTTAATATTTATTAATTGTGAATTCGCGTCGTTGATCATCAGCGAGAGACATTCCAGATTACATGGTGTTTAATGACATGTGACGCTCTCTTTTTCTTCTATTCTCTTCTCCTCTCATGCAAGATTCAAAAAGTTCATAGCAAATCATGCGATGAATCTGTTATTCATCGCACTTAAGAAGGCAACAAAGAATCTAACTAGTTTCCTCCTCTCTTTGTGTGTTTTTCTTCACCCATTATAAATCACACACTCAAAAAATCCTCCATTGCACATCCCTTACAGCAGTTTTACTATCTAATCAACGCCAAAGGCATCTAATCTTCCGCTTATTGCAAAAGCAAATTACTCTGATTGCCGAGCATCATGCTAAGCGTGCCTGCTTATCTCGGATTTGGGACACTGGACTCAAAAATTATTACACACACACAGTGAACGAGAGAGAGAGAGAGAGAGAATCATTTAAACAACATTGCGCAGCAATTAAAACTGTGCGAAATAGCCAATGCTTGAACTATAAAGAGTGATTATTTTGAGATTTGTTGGAGAAAAAGCGATGGCATTGATTGATTTCCTCATTCCGGGTGCATCTCAAGCACTCTTCGCACATAATCTGCACAATATTGATGGGATTATATTGCCTTAAGCAAATGCATATTCACCTCATTTTCAGTGTTCAACAGACCACTGCAATCATATTCTCTTACTCAGCCCCACTGAATAGGGGTGGAAAACAGAGAATTTCTAATAAAATGCCAATCTATCCACAAAATGCAATCTACGGTTGAATATCTTCAACATTTCACTCCTGAAAAATTGAAATTTTCCTACGAACGGAGGAGAAAAACAAAAAAATCCAGTTTGCAAGGTGAGTTTTTCTTCAATTTCAAGGTTGTTTATCAATTTTCATGTTAAAATCCATGTCAGGAGTGGAAAATTCAGTTAAAATGTTCTTTTTAAATAGCGAAATGACATTGTCGACGTTTGAAAATCAACTTTTCATAGTTTTTTTTATTCATCCATCGATATGGAAATTTCAGTAAGATTTTCCCTCTGAAAAAGTTTGGGTCTTTTGCTGAATAATCGAAACATGTTCAATGTTTCATGCAATTTTTACATACAAATTCTGCACCATTTCTTGCATGTTCCAGAAGCGGAAAAGGTCTTATTAGGTCTTTTCAGATTGTCTTTCACCCATTTCAGAGGGACGAATGAGAGAATGTCGTTGCTGGAAATCGAATTGTGTGTTGTTCATGATCGCATAAGATGTGGTTTGGTCATCCAATAAATCATCATCCGCACACAATCTCTCTGGTGAGCTTTTGTGGGTGAATTGGGATGCTTTTGGGTGGGAAATGCCAAGGGTTGAGATGATAAACAGTCAAGGTAAATTGCTCCACAATTGAGATATTCGAGAGTGTTTATCCTCACCATTATTCACACACACTCTCTCTCTTGCTCTCCTATCTCTTGTCCCAACACATTCAATGTCCTCAGCTTCTGGGATCTGCTTTCTTGTCCTCTCTCTGTGTGCCTATTAAATCCCATAAATTCCCTATTTATGTTAACACTGTCACGGCGCCCCATTCCGCATTCCGGCCACTCTGGAGGTCTTGTTAATTCCCCCCAGGCCGCCCACTTTGTGCCCTGGAAATGGGCTGCGGCAAATGGACGCCAGCAGAGGCGAAAAAGAGACGAAAATTGGCAATTATTGCCAAACTCCCTGCTGACTCCTTAAGCGGACTCCTTGCTGACAACAATCAGCATGTCAACCGAGAATTTTTCATTAAACATCGCACACATAGAGAAAATTGCGCTGCCAAGCGAGAGGAAAATCATCAATCAAACATTAACAATCAACGATGAAAAGTTCACTTCACATGTGATTTTTATACATTCAATCAACTTTCAAGCATGTGAGAAAACCGCCTATAAATTCAATTACAACTCGAGTGCATCAATTCTGAAATAAAAAAAAAACAAGAAGTCAAGGGAAGTCCCACAAGTTCAGGCTTCTGGAACAGTTCGTCGTGTAATCAATACTGCATAAGCATGTTGTATTTGCTCAATATCGGACTGTGTTCCAATGGCAACAGCAGCAGAAGACATGAAAAAAAACAGGAATGATTCACCCCAAATGCCCCATTATTCATGGCTTGTGTCGCAACACGAAGCGCAATTCACTTGCAAAAATTGTCTAGAAAGAGAATTGAGACACTCGGGAATATATTATCGCAAGTTTTCGCCTTCAAGGATCTAAAGAGAGGTCATCGGAAGTGCCCAAAGATTGACACAATAAAGTATCAACGAATCTTTTGTGTCTATTTTGAAAGGTTCCTCGACACCCGCTTCGCAAATTCAATCTACCCATGAATGTCTCAATCAATAGAATCACAATCAATTAAATTCCCTCAATTCCGTACGAATTCCAATCGAATGTCTTCCGTCAATTGACGGGGAATTTGAGCTCCGCCGAAGCGCCCTGGCATTGTTGACGCCGGCCGAAAGGGCTTGCGCTTTTGTTTACCGCAACAGTTGTGTAAACAACCATGCCTGGGGGGGATTTTGCAAGAATGAATCTCGCTTTTCGCATGCAGATGGAATACATTTAGCACGCTTCTGTGACTCTCGCTGGCCACAGATTTTGAATCGACAATGCCGCTGGCATTTGGGCCAAGTAGCGGATCGTCCGCGAGATGTGCCCATTATTCCCCTTGGCCCCGCTCGCACTCGTGCCAGCGACATCTGGGGCGCTACCCGATCGCCAGGGCGCGGCAGATAGCGATGAGTCACACCTGCTCGCCACCTGCTCGCGCGCCTGGGGGCCCCGCGAGGCCGCGCGCATCCGGGTGATTCCGGACGGATGACAAAGGAGGGCGTCACACTTACAGCATTCCCGAGCATCTGGTGCACACGAACGACCCGATGGTCATGTTGACGTATGTGGGGCCCCTCTGGCCGCAATCGAAGCACTGCCGATTGCCGCCAAGCGACACGATCTCCCGCAGAATCTTCAAATTCTTGTCGTCGGTCTTCTTGCGAACCGCCGCCATCTTGGAAATTTCTCTTTTCATCAACTTCACTGGGGAGGCTCCGGGCCCCCGAGTCTGTCCACTTTGCTGCACTCGCGCACCCCGGGCGCCACTTCTCACGCCCGCTGTCCGCACATTGCACTGTCAGGTGTGGTTTTTCGTTCTCTTTTCCCGTCGCGCCGCCAATTATCAGCGAAATTGCAACATCTTAAGCACCCGTTGTTCGCGATTCCTCGAACGACACTGCCACTTCGGTGACACCTGTCAAAACTTACAGCATCCCAGGCTGTCACTATTCCCGGACGCGCGTCATAAAACTAGTCTAGACACACACCTCATTTCTTGCACCTTTTTTTGTCTTTACCAAGGAATCTTCTTGCATTTCCCAGAAAATGATCAATCTGCGCCTTGAAAAACCACTCATTTTCTCACAGAAAAAGGTTTATTTCATCCGCCCTCGCGGCCTTTGTACATTAAAACTGTACTGCCCGCTCAGTTCGTCACGGAATTTCCGGAGTTTACTCGAACAGCCCGAAGCCCATGTCGTCGTCGGACTCCTCTGGTTCCTCCTCCTTCTTCTTCTCCTCCTTGGCGGCGGCAGGAGCCTCGGCAGCCGCAGCAGCAGCTGGAGCGGCTCCGGCAGCAGGCGCAGCACCGACTCCGGATCCAATGTTGGTGATCAGGTCCTTCACGTTGACACCCTCGAGCGCCTTGGCGAAGAGTCCGGGCCAGTAGGGCTCCACATCAACGCCAGCAGCCTTCAGGATGGTGCTGATCTTCTCACCCTGCAAAGGTCCAAAGAGATTCCGGTTGTCACTAAACATAACCTCACATTGCGTCCGGGAAGGAAGTCTCAAGTACAGACAATGAGTTTTCAGCCCCGTTTTCATAAAATGAGGCTCTTTGGACAAAATGCATGCAAGATATGGTAATAGTTTGGACATTTCACAGTGATTTGGGGAGAAAACAGTGCAGAGTGGCGTGTGTGGAAACACGTTGACACACCGCTGCGTTTCCACCCCATTTTCCTTACCGTCACGGCCACATCGTCGTCCACGAGGATGAGGGCGGAGTACACACAAGCCAGTTCAGCCTTTGTCGACATTTCTGCTGCGTTTAGTGATTGCAAAGCGTGCAAGTTGCCTGAAATCGGCCTTAGCTCACGGAGCGAGAACAAGCACAGTGAACGGTGGAAACCGGAAAGACCGCCATCGGCGTCAACGTGACGTTCGAAATCTGCGGCGGAGCTTTTTCGAACAACATGGCGGTCGCTTTTCGCACATTCGGTGGAATTTTGTTGTGTTGTCAAACTTGGCTGCGGCTTCTTTGCCAGAAATCCCAACAAAATCACTATTTTCGCCATCCTGGGACGCCAAGAATGCACCTGTGAGTGTTGCGCGTTATCACGGAGTGACCAGAATCACGATAAACAATGAGTTTCTCTAGCGATGAGGTGAACTTCTTGGTGTACCGCTATCTTCAGGAGTCAGGTTAGTTTCCGTTGTTTTCCGGGTCGCTGGGGCGCGCTCCACTGACGCCACTCTCTTGCGCAGGCTTCCACCACTCGGCGTACACATTTGGGATTGAGTCGCATATATCGCAGAGCAACATAAATGGCGCCGTCGTGCCTTCGGCCGCGCTGCTCACGATGCTGCAGAAGGGCCTCAAGTACACTGAGGCGGAGATTAGCGTGGACGAGGACGGGAATGTGCACCGCCTCACCGAGGGGCTGACGCTCATCGACGCGGTGATGCCGGAGGTGGTGGCCATCCGGCAGAACCTGCACAACCAGCAGAAGCAGGCCATCAAGACGGAGCCGACGAGCGGCGGCGAGACAAATGGCGAGGAGGCTGCGGCCGTGGCCGCGCCCGCACCGCCGGACACCATGGAAGTGGACCAGAGCATCGAGATCCCCGCGTCGAAGGTCACCGTGCTGCGTGGCCACGAGAGCGAGGTGTTCATTTGCGCGTGGAATCCCAGCACGGATCTGCTGGCGTCCGGCTCGGGCGACAGCACGGCGCGCATCTGGGATCTGTCGGACAACAGCACCAGCCCGGACCAGCTGGTGCTGCGCCACTGCATCCAGAAGGGCGGCACGGAGGTGCCCAGCAATAAGGACGTGACGTCGCTGGACTGGAACTGCGACGGGACGCTGCTGGCCACGGGCAGCTACGACGGCTACGCGCGCATTTGGACGACGGACGGCCGCCTGTCGAGCACGCTCGGCCAGCACAAGGGCCCCATTTTCGCGCTCAAGTGGAACAAGCGCGGCAACTACATCCTGTCGGCAGGCGTGGACAAGACGACCATCATCTGGGACGCGTCCACGGGCCAGTGCACGCAGCAGTTCAGCTTCCACTCGGCGCCCGCGCTGGACGTGGACTGGCAGAGCAACAACTCCTTCGCCAGCTGCAGCACGGACATGTGCATCCACGTGTGCAAGCTGCACACGGACAAGCCCATCAAATCCTTCCAGGGACACACGGTGAGTCCGTCTTGTGTGCAATTGAGGTTTCTTTTTGCTAACCATCTGGCGTCTTTGCAGAACGAGGTGAATGCCATCAAGTGGGATCCGCAGGGTCATCTGCTGGCGTCCTGCTCTGACGACATGACCCTGAAGATCTGGTCGATGAAGCAGGACACGTGCGTACATGATTTGCAGGCGCACTCCAAGGAGATCTACACGATCAAGTGGTCGCCGACTGGGCCCGGCACGGCGAATCCCAACATGAACCTGATCCTGGCCAGTGCCTCTTTCGACTCCACGGTGCGCCTGTGGGATGTGGAACGCGGCGTGTGCATTCACACGCTCACGAAGCACACGGAGCCCGTGTATTCGGTGGCGTTCAGTCCGGACGGCAAGTTCCTGGCGTCGGGCAGCTTCGACAAGTGCGTCCACATCTGGAGTACGCAGACGGGGCAGCTGGTGCACAGCTACAAAGGCACCGGCGGCACGTTCGAGGTGTGCTGGAACTCCAGGGGCAGCAAGGTGGGCGCCAGCGCCTCGGACGGCAGCGTCTTCGTGCTGGACCTCAGGAAATTGTAGGCACTGGGAAGGAGATACTGCATCTCCTTCCTCTGCTGCCGATTTCCACACACTCTGGGTTCCGAAGAGAGAGACACGGCTTTCCAGCGCACTAGAGAGGGACTCTTTTTTATTTCCACATACATTTTCAACGGATCGCCTAGGCTGGCTGAATAAATGAAGTTTTATCTTGACACACACTCAGAAGTCCTGGACGCTCTGCAAGTGACGTTGGCGGAAGAAGGCGCAGCGGTTGCGCGTCTTCTCGCTGGTCTTGAAGAAGCTGGTGATCTGGGGGCCTGAGTACTTTTGTCCGACGTCTTCGTTGTCATCCTGGAATGTGATTTTCTGAGCGGTTTTCTCCAGCGCCTGCTCAGCTGTGGCCCAGCTGAAGCGCACAATTCTCGGGTAGCCGAACACTGCGTCGACGTTGTCCTCCAGAAAGGCCTTCGTGAGGGGATCTCCGGGGTAGCCGCTGCCGAAGGGATTCACCGGCGCGTCTTCGTGAAACTTCCACGTCCGGAGAGCGGCGTCTCGGACGACTTTGGCGCAAATACTGGCCGCAGAGACGATCGGGTACGTGGCGTCCGCCTTCTTGGCAACCGTGATGGCGATGTTGGGAAAGAGGCGCGACAGCCGGGCCTGGTAAGTCTCCGGCGGACCCACAGTGTCAACGTAGATCTCAGCAATGTTGACATTCAGCGCGATAGCGCGCTTTATCAGCCCAATCGCAGACTCCATCGATACCTCGTTCAAGGAGTGCTTGGAGCGCCTAAGCATGCAATTGCTGATGTAGTGCGGACTGATGATCTCCACTGCCCAGCCCATGTCCTCAAGAGCTGTCGTCTGGGAGTTGATGTTATAAAATATAGCATCTCGCTTCTCCTCCGTGAGTTGTTTTGAATCCGCACAGCCCAGATCCTTGAGCACATCAGTGTTGGTCATGGAGCAGAAGCTAATCCCGTAGACCAGAGGACCTGGGAGGGAAAGACATGTGAATCTGGACAGAACGGAGGTGTGAAACTGCTTACCAAGCACAGGTCCTCTTCCTGCCTCATCGATTCCCAGGACGCAGGGATTATTGAGACAGTTTTTAGGGATGTTGGAGAAGAAGACGGTGTTTTCTGAGTTATCCCAGCCATCCAGGAAGTCCTCCAAATCACTTTTACTCTTGATTTCCGACACTTTCTGATGCTGATCGACTTCAGACATTTTGAGGTTAGCGCGCGGAAATTGACACCGTGAGCTTTCGAAAGCTTCGAAGACTACCAATTTTTGAAAAATAATAACAAACGGCAATCGATTGCTCTTTTTTATTTCTCCATGCAATTTTTCACCTTTTCATATGGTTTTATCAGCTTTGATGGAAGATGTGGACGAGTCTGTGGATATGTCTGGAATTTCCGGAACAATCTGACGAAGTTTGTCCAGAGAGCAACAATGAAGAGCTTCAGGATCGTCAGATTCCTTCAAGTCAGACAGCCATGGAATATCCGCGCAATGTCCTGGACATGTTTGGTGTTCTTCTCCGGAGGTCCTCAAGCTCTTTGGAGTGTTGTTGAAGAGAATTCCAACCGTGCGATCTTCTTCCTTTACCACGAGCCAATAATATTTTGGCACCGGGAATTTCTTCTCTTCCAAATAGAAGTCAAAAGAATGTCCTGAGGAATCCTTGAGTTGCTGCACACCTGACGTTCCGGCCCAGATTTCTTCCTTGTTATTCAGCTTCTGCACTCCCTTCTGCAGGATCTCCCACTCCTTGAGCGTCTCGTCGTTGTAGGAAACGATGTAGTTCCAGGTCAATCTGGTGATGAGATGCAACTGAGGATTGTCCAGCATGAAGCCCGTGAGGAGTGGTCTGGATCCCATCATTGGCACTCTGTGGCTTCCCAATTTCCCCTCGAGCAGATTGTGCACATTGTCGTGTCTCAATGCTCTGAAGAGACTGATCTTGTTCCTTCCTTCGGGATGCCTTCCGGACTTGAGATAATTCATGCTCTCCGTCTTCAGCACAGAAGAATCCTTCGCATGGACGAAGATTGTCCTTCCTTCCTGCGCTGAGTAGCACACTTCGCCGACAATGTTCGACGTCTGGGTGTGAGGATTCAGGAAGCCGAACTCAATGCTCTCCGCCTCCTGAGGACATCCGGCCAGACGAGAAGCAAACACCTCCTCGACGGCGCGCAATTCGCAGGCGAAACTCTTGCTCCAAGTCTCTTGTTTACCATCTTCGAGCTCTGACCGCGGAAAAGGAGGAAATCAATTAGAGTAGAATTAATTAAAAGTGCCAACCCACCGCCGAAAAGCCTTCCAGGAAAACTCCAAGAGGGTTTCACCCAGGAAAATTCAGGGGAATTTATTCGCTAAATATAATATAGAATTGTGTTTTGAACTTTTTCACCAAGTTTATGGTATTTCCCGCATCACAATTATAATTTTAATTAAGTATTTTGGGGAGAAATAGCATTTTTTCTTCTTCTGTGAATTGTAATTTTAAGGCAATCTTCCCATATTTTGAATTCATCCTAATCTCAATTTTAATTGCCATTTAATATAAGTTGATTTGTCTCCAACAATTCACTGGCGAAAGACACTTATTTGCACCTTAATGACAAATCTTACCCAATTCCTCTCCTTGCACGCACTTCGCCTTCAGTGTTCGCTTATCTGGGAAGGACTTGAACAGTCCGGGTTCACAGGAAATGGTCACTCTTTCTCCAGCTGAGAGCAGAATGTCGTCGTCGGAGGCGAATGCGAATTTTCCGTCAGCCGTGAAGACGAGCGGCGCGAAGAATCCATATCGGACGGGTTGCAGTGGCAATTTGCAGTCAGGATTCTGTCCCAAGGTGAAACCTTCACTGCAAAAGGTCACTCCTAGAATAACTACCGCGAAAATCACTTCTCTTAGCATTTTCCCAACGAAATCCACAGACGAGACTGGCGAGATTCTCAGAAATCATCGCACTTAAAGCTGACAATTTGTAAGAAAATTCTCTGGGAGCTTATCGCAGAGGTCAGAGAGAGATTGTTTGTGTTTACTTATCAGCCGATATTCAATTACCTCATCAGTGTGGAATTAAAAAAAATCCCCTAATTAGACTGTTGACTGCAAGCATGTTGGAGAAATTCTTGCGCATCTCAGCTAATTGATAGTCGGACAGTTTATTAGAAAGTTCATTATGCTGCATCGCGTGTGTTATAAAATTTCCCAAAAATTGGCGTTCAGACTACAAATCACTGCATTTATTTTGCATCTATTTCCGTGAAATCTTAATGATCTCCACTCTATGGTCGATATTTCACACAAGAAAGAGGGAGGAAGTTTGGGTCTTTCATAACAAATGGCTCTTTGGAGATATTAAAGAGATGGATTAACACTCATCGTACGAAAAAAGCGTGACTTTTTTTGCATCTACTTTACTAGTTTTCTGCCAATAAAACTCATCTGGTGAATTTGCGTGATGGACAAAGTTTTTACAATGTGTCGAACGAATGGCACCCGGAAGAAGCCATCCACAGTCGGGATGGCAAAATCAAACCAATTCCGCGCAGAAAATCATCAATGAGGAGAAATTGGTCGCCCGATGTGCTTGAGTATGCAAACCACGCCTGGACAAAAGAGTGTCTCTCTTCGATAATTAACTCTGTGCACTTGTAGAAATTTTTCAATTGTTCCATCGCGTATTCTCATCGCATGCACTACAAAAGTGTTTGAAGCCATCACAGTGATGAAAATGCGGCCTCTGCACTTCCTCGACAAAAGAAAGTTTTTACTTTCGCAGACTTGTGGGTGATTTATGGGGAAAACTGCACACTTTTCACACATGCAAACAATGTGGCGGGAAAAGCGCGTCTGATGAGTTTCCACGATCGCGCTATCTCTCTCTCTCTCTCTTCGATTCATCAGTTCGCCGCAGAGTCAATGGGAATTGTTGGCGAAAATCAGCCATCAGAGATCACAGATCAGAGTTGAGATGCGATATAGATGAGGAGTCTGAGGCGATAAGCAGTATGCTCTTATTTCTTGATAAAATTGATACGACGTCTATGATATTGAATGTTGCAACAGTAATTTCAAGAGTATTTTGCATAATTGTCTCCATAAACACTAATGCTGTCAAGAAGTAGTTGATTTTTTAGCAGATTTCAGCAAACATTTTTGCATTCTCACGCTGAATTTGTGCACTTTTAGGCTGAAAATCTTCACAATGCGATCTCGCATCTTGGCAATCTCAAATCCACAGCGATCCCACCTCTGATCGTGAGACACACACAAGAAAGTCTTTCTCCGGCGCGGCGGAGGAAGGGAAATAGTCGAAGCACCGCCGGTGTGCGTTGCGCGTCGGGCAGAGTCATTGCCGATATTCTTCCTCATCTCCACAATTCCAATCAGTTCAAAGTCAACCGATCAGTCGGTCAGTGCGTTGCTGCTGATCAGCGTGTCTTTCTTTTTTGCTCAGCAGACTCCCAAGATCAAAAAGACACTTTTCTCATTGACTTTTTCGCCTTTTTTTCGCGTGTGTTTGCGCTTTAAATAAGGTGAAGTAAGAAAAAGACACTGTGATGCAATTTACCTGTGTACTTTGTCACTTCTTTCTGCTCATCCGCTGATCGCGTGCGTGACTTGTGTGACCTGCGGAACACAGTGTGTCTGTGCGCCTTTCTGTGACCATCGAGAAAAGAGACTTTTCGAGAGAGTGAGTGAAGATTTTCCTTTCCTTTGCGCCACTTTCGTGTTCTTTTTCCCACGCAAAAAGAATGATTAACTTGCGTGCGCAAGAAATCATCTTCAGCCGCTTCTGCCCTGGAGACAGTGTAGAAATTTTGACTGATATCCCGCATGATCGAGCCACGATGGCTCGAGGACATCTCACTGCGCGCATGGCAGAAAAAAAGTGTTTTTGTGCGCGAGAGAAAAAGGGCGCGAAAGAATCTCTCTATGCAAACATTTATTTTCCCATTTTACGATACTTCCATGCGGCGTAAAAATCACAATGCTCCACGAACGCATCAGAAAAGAAACTCTGCGCTTCTTTTCTGGAACATTTTCAGTGTGTGTCACTCACAGAAAATTTACATCGAAAACCCCATTAAATCTATTTACACTGCATATAAATGTGATATAAGAGCCGAGACGGACTTTTGTGCAAAAGCGAAGCTCAAAATTGAAAATAGATTTCCCGCTGAGCCGCACACACACACACTCATCGCGTATTTCTCCCGCCTGGACAATCAATTCTCCTCTGGAGGTGAAATGGAAATGAAAGTTGCACAGAGGAGAAAAATTCTGCAAAGCTTGCGTGATTTCGTGAAGAAGATTTTCCAGCATTTTGTATGTTATTTCATATTTACAAATCGCGACATTTTCCCTGGGATTTTTCCCATTATCTCACCGGGCAGAAGCGACGTATCTGTAATTATGGCAAAATATGCGATATTCAGAAAGAATCGTGTTTAATTTTTTTTTCAACACCGCGACTTCTTTGCCTGATGAGAAAAAGTGGCGATGTCTTAAGACAATGGAAAGTAACAATATGGGCAGAAGAACGAGAGGCGAAGCTCTCTGTATATATGATTATAAATGTCTGTATAGGAAAAATAAAATAGGGCGATTTTTTCTTTTTTTTTCTTCTTCTTCTCAAATTGTGCGCGCTCGCATGAAAAAAAGGTACACAACATTTTGAGATTCGTGACGATGAAATTAAAAAATGATTTTTTCTCATCTTTCGCATATATTTCTCTGGTCGCTTTTCGGGCACACTCACACAGGTCGCGCGCGCGGCGTGTTGGGCAGAAAAGATCTCCTCTGCAGATCTCGTTGGTCAGAGAGAAGAGGCCATCAAAAGTGTTTGATTCGCGCGTTCTCGAAAATCACACACAATTTCTTTTTTCGTTGTTCGCGCGCCAAGAATATGATTGTCTTGATAGAAAATGAGGCGCGCACAGTGGACTCGCGAGATTGTGGCCCAGAGAGAGAGAGAGGGAGAGAGAGAGAGAGAGCAGAAGAAGTGACAATCAGGCAGGGCGGCAGATCAACCTCACCCACACGCGAGATCAGCGGAATATTTATCAATACGCCGCGCTATTTGAATTCCATATTTTATTGATCACTCGCCTGACCTCTTGACTCCTTCGCCTCTCGCGGCCGTATAGAATCTCATTTGTGCGATCGCTCAATATCAAAAGCTCTCTCGAGAGAGATTTTCACTCCAAAATCCATGCCATTTTGCCGCTTCCTCGCCGCTTCGCCCGCTTTTTTCGGACAGGCAAATATTTTGTTATTTATTGTGTGGATAACAATGCGTAAAACCTCATAAATTGCGCATTGCCATCATCTTTGGCAACACTTTGAGCACATTTCACGATTTGATCTCATATCATATGCGAATGTGTGCGAATTTGTGCTTATAAATTTAAAGAGATTTTCACCAAGTTCAAGACCATTCTGACACCTCGAGTTGCTGAAGATATAGATAAAACATTTACAAGAGAAAGAAAAGATTCAAGATAAGAATCCCAAGAAAGTAATTTGACCAATTTGACCAAAGTTTCTGGAGCATAATTGCTATCTAAACTCTGGTTAAGGAATTATTTAATGAAATTGCACATCTGAAAAATAAGGTTATATTTACATTTTAGCGCCAAAAGTAATTGAAAGTAATTGAAGAGAGATTTTTAGACATCATTTTTATGCTCAGAAAGCGTTGATGTCTTTGCTAACACTGTTTATTCGTAATTTTGACCAAACAAAAACATCCAAACGACGAATATTATTAAGAGTTGTGGATGAACTGAATAACATTTTTAGTGCTCTTCGCGTTAAATGAAGTGTTAAAAATCTCAACTCTTCTTCCATCTCAATCGGCTTGTGTCGTGAAGATTGTGCCTTCTAGGAAGCGGAAGGCAGCGGATTGAGTAGACATAAGGAGGACGATGCGTATGAAATTGCATAAATCTGACAAATTATTGCAATTCATTGCATAACCGCCACCCACACGCCGATCGTCCGCGCTATCAGGCAATATCTTGATAAATTGATTTGCGCAAATCAGCGACGAAACGAGTTTCTCGTGGTCATTTTGTGTCTTTTGTTGTGTCGCTTCTTTATCACTTTGTAGAGGCGCGAAAAAGGGAGCGAAGAATGGACGCGATAATTTGCAATCTCACCCAATAAATGAGGCTCTGGCATTTGGGATGCTCTCTTGATGCCCGCTCCATGACTCTTCATTCATCTTGCCAGAATGTTGCCTCTTTATTCTCTCTCCCTCGTTATTCATGGGTTTCAAATTCATATGCGATATATATTTTTCTTAACTTTATACAGCATATAAGAAATGATTTTTTCCCATATTGCCGCATGTGAAATGTTGAGGAGTCGTGAACAAAGGGAAAAACTCTTCAAATCAAAAACTCTCCGGCATATCTTTATGATCAAAATCTCAATCCAATTCCACCATCCAACACCTGAGACCGTGATAATAAAAAGTCGAGCAAAAATTCTTATCCACACACACACTCATTGAAATATTTATCAGATCGAATCACAACAGCGATTCTGTATATGGCAATGCCTCAATAAATGTCTCGCAAACTGTATGTGCTTTTGGACGTTTCTTTCGCATGAATTTTAAAGTGAAAATCTTCCCCTCATATTTCCCAATTTAAAGCATCAATATTTGCCAATCTGCAGAACCCGCACAACTCTTTTTTTGCTCCTATTGCCCAATTTTTCACATTTACCACCTCATCCCTGCGTGAAATCAATAAAGTGTGGAAGACACTTTTCCATGCCATTGAGCGGAATTGGCGGAAAAATTTCCCATCACGTCTCTATTAACGAGCGCCAAAGGAGCGGAATGTTCAATGAAACAATTTCATCCTCTTTGATGAATGATTCAATAGGCCAAAGTAAGAGATTCGTGCCGACTTTGCAGTGCATACTTTAACCACTCAGACGCCACAGCTTCAAATTGACGCGCCATTAAGAGTCAGAACAGTGAATGACACCCTCCGGGAACGACCCTAAGTATCCACCCATTCAATCATCCTCCCGCTAATCCCTGGCTTCCTTGCACGTTCTGCACCTCCGAGCACTTAACAACCATCTTCCGAGATTAAGACGGCGGTTTGGCGCTGCGAAGGTGGCAAAATGACTCTTTATCTCCGGCGAAGGAGCGTCTCTCACACCTCCTCAGGAATAATGATTCCTGTCGCTGTGGGAAAAAGCTGGAAGTGTGCGTAATTTTATTAAGGTGCGATGGTCCGTGAAGCACGCCCGAAAGATGCTGGCCACTATTTCTCCATTAGGCGAGTAATAGTCTCATTTGGGGGTTGATTTTTCTGGCAATTTCCGGTGGGAAATTTATTAATTACCGAGGCAATTGCCGTTCATTCTTCCGAAGATAGTCTCACGGCGGCTTTTATGGGCAGTGCGAGAGTGGTTTCACAAGTGGGAGTTGGCAGGACATTGATTTCCTCTCCATTGCGATGAGAGTTGGGATAATGTGGTGTCATTATATCCTATGTTTTCATTCAAATGAGTGCTTTGCTGATCATGACGTTGAATTTCGGTTATTTTGCAGGTGATTCTGACACGATGAAGCGCACACGGTTCGTCGCACGCTATTTCAATTTCTTGCACATCTTCGTGATTGTCATGAAATGCGGCGCGGCGGTGGAATTGGACGCAACAACGACGCCGTCGACGCTGTTCAGTGGCGATCAGCCGAATCCAGTGGCCGGTGAGTGTGACTCCGCGTGCATCAGCAGCAAATCAGTCAATATTTGTCCCATTTCTCCAAATTCACGCCCATGGGAAAGGAGTGCTGGTTAGCATATCGCGCGCGCCGCGTTAGAATGAGCCGCGCGAAGTGGGAAATGTTTCTCACATGGCGGTGAAAGAGTGTCTTTCGCGCGCTCTTGTGTTTTCTTCTCTCATTTCCGAGAATCGGACAGTCTGGTGTGCTGGAAGTGTGTCTGTGTCTCTACTTCCATTGATGAGAATCACCACGGAGCGCGAGAGAGAATTCTATTTTATTGAACATTGTGGCGGAATGGCGAAAGATGGTGCGCGACGGTAGGCGCAAAAAAGAAGTCACAGCAGATGAAAACATACCATTGGCCGTTTAGAGGCACGCCGAGATTGTATATATATAAAAATGTCAATGTGGATCTCTGGATCGCCATGAGAAAGCGCGAAAAGCCTCCCACTGTCCGATCGCGCGCACATCTTTCAATGGGAATTGTCACAGAGTCTCGTCATTTTCTCCGCCATCAATGAAAAGCGCGCGCCCGCGAGTCAGGTGGAAAAATTTCACTTCCCACTCCACACAGTGAGCCGATGCCAAATGATGACATCCAGCGATCTCTCCGCGTGACCCCATCACTCACGGCGATGGCGCGGGAAAAGCCGATCGCCAAATCATCAATGAACGTAAATAAAAGTAAAATTTATCCATGCGACTCTCATTGAGCACCGGAATAGGCGGCAGATGGCTTTTCGAGCCGCGGCGGATGGCAAAATGAGAAATCGAGCAGCACACGCTCGCCGATCTAGCAACACTGTTGCAATTTGGCGTGCCATGGGAAAGATCTCGAAGGCCCATCATCGCCGATTCCTTATCTCATCGCCAGAGAGATTGATTTGTGGGGAGAATATCGCCGCTTCGGAAGACACTTTCACCGCTTTTCCATATAGAATCCGCCTAGAAGAAGCGCCGACATCTATTTTACACGTCTCGCGTGTTTTCATTCAGCGTAGAAAATCCGCAATTAAATTAACTAATCGTGAAGACTGGAAATTGCTAAATATTTTGTACTTCTTTTGCATTTTTTTGACTTCCAATAGTATTGCTTCTTTTTTAAATTAATATACACATGAATAGAAATATTTCAAGGATTTCAACAACAACAACAAAAACAATGTATTGAACTGTAAAGTGTAATTAAATGGTTGCGTAATAAATCATTTGCGCATCTCTTTTTGATTGTCTCGTGCATAAAAATGCGCGGCAAGACAAAATATCGACGCTGCGTGGAAAAAATAGCATAAGAGTGGTAGAAAATAATAAAAATAGTCGAGAGAGACACAGAGTGAAGCCACGACACACTAACCTGGCTCACAATGAAGATCTGGAACTGGTAATGTTCACGAGTCTCGGCATGCAAGAGAGTGCGCCAAAGAGTGAAATGACGATGGCATCTCCCATTGAAATGCACCTCGCGCGACATTTTCCATCGCAACTCGCTTCATATGTTCAATTCAAGAGCGCGAAAGAACCGAAAATCTTCCCACAATCCTTCGGCGTGTCAAAACAAACAGACAAGGAGTGATTTTTCATGCCACGTCGTGGCTAATGATTTCCCGTCAAAACTCTGGCCGATGTTTCGTGTAATTTGAGGCATTTTATGAGGCTGAACCGTGGAATTTATTGAGACGAGCAGATGAGAAAGATGCCTTGTGATTTATCTGGCTGATGAGAAAAACCTGTAATGCTTTTTTGTGACTCTGGCTGTTCATGTTTCGGGGCTCAACTTCACTCTTTGGCCGCTAATTAATATTTATCTCGCTCTTTTGGAGGTTTCTACTCATGCTATTTACATATATGCCTAATGCGTCACATCTCGCTGGAGCTGAACTTAAAAGCTCTTATGAATTTCCTGAGAAAATCTACTGTCGCGAAAACTGATAAGGAAATTGTGGGAAACTGTTTAACGGTGCATCAGCATCACTGGGGAGCTTGTGATGATTCCTTTTATGTGTGCAACAAAGGAAAAACAGAGCCTGTGGCTGCTCGTCGAGGGAGAAAATGTCCCTCGAGGCGGGGCTGCGGGTAAATATTTACGGGTATAACAGTGTGTTTGCTTTGCAGCTTTCGTCAACAGTGCCGCAGTTTCCGGACGAGCACTATTCTCGCCGCGTGTGGAGTACAATGAGTGGCTGCCTGTGGGCCGAGGAGATCCGCTCAAGAATGACCCCACGTACGACTACAGCCCGCCGTTCCTGGAGCGCGTCCGCTACTGGGAGTCGGGCAAGCAGGAGAAGTCCGGCGAGATTCTGCTCCTCGGCGTGCCATCCAAGAAGCCCAGCATTCCCTCGCGGAAGGACTTCAAGTACCTCACAATGCGCAGGAATTTCTACCAGGTTGAGAGACATCTCTAAGAAGTGCGATTCTGAAGGAAGAATTCTAAATTTCCGACTGTCTTTCCAGCTGCCGACGATCTTGATGCCTCCGCCGATGCAGACCACGGAAAAGTACCAATCCTCGGTGGAGGCGTGGACGCAGCGGCCTAAGGATTCCCTGGTGGAGGCCTCCATCAAGTCCAGCTACACCAAGCCACTGAGTGCCATGAACTACGGAGAGATGGTGAAGCCGTCGAAGGCTTCCTATCTGCACGCGATCCTGCAGAAGGAGACTCTTCAGCGACCCACGACTCTGCCCCCTCCGCCCGCCACCTCTACCTCCTCTTCAGTCATCATGCAGAGAGTCCCCAGTATCTTCGAGGTGCACCAGTCATCGGCCGTGACCGTCAGGACAACTCCGAGTCAGGAGAGCAGCACGCACTTCATTCCCACGGCGCCGCCCACGCTCACCACGGACGCCTACTTCTCGCACTACAACCAGCCGCCGGCGCCCATTCCGGGCCCCATGTACCTGATCATCGAGGGACACTCGAAGGTAACCACCTGCCGATTGCGCAACGTCGACAAATGTCTCACTTTTACTTTTCCCGGAAGTAATTTGCATGTGGCGATCGAATGTTGTTGCTTAACTAATCTGCGGAATCACTTTCGACAGGTCAAAACCTACAGTTCCAGCGACTCGCCGGACCGGAAGCATCACGCCAACATCGTGCCTGTGGTCAACACTGAGGATCCCGTCGTGCGGCGCGTGGTGAACGAGGAGTCGCCGAATGGCGTGAAGCACCTGCACTTCAGGCAGCCCGAGAGGCGGAAACCCACTCCGCCGGCGAGGACTTCAGCCATGGACAGCCTCCTGAGTCTGCTGGACGTGTCCTTTGGCGGTCTGCTGAGCGGTGAGGGTGCCGAAGAGCAGCAGAATTCGATAGAATCGAATGGCTTGGATGGAAATGTCAAGGGCGGGGACAAGAGGCAAGCGAGAATCCTTCAGGACACTTAAGAATATTGAATTGATGACTGGCGAATTCGATTCATAAGCCAGAGATTTGTCGAAGAAAAATGGTCCTTCTCTCCAAAGAAGAGTGTTGTAAGAGCTCTCAACAATCCTTAAAATGACGTGTCATCGCCTGCAGAGCGTTGAAATCTGTTCTGAAGAATGCAAACTTCGATTTAAACACTTTTTTTTTGCAAAATTTGGCCTTTCAAATTTTCACGCGTCAATTTTTGGGCTCGAAAACTCAATAAGAATTGTTTCAAAATAACCACATTTGAATGAAATAATTCATTGGTAATTCGAATTGCGATAAACAAAACTCAAAAGTGGTTAAAATAACACAAATTACGCTATATTTATTCAACTAAAGCCCAAAGCTTGTTGATTAAATTCAAAATGTTGCCACAATTCCATAAACCGAGCCCATGAATTGCACCTGACCAAAGACAGTGTCAACATATTGACCAAAATTGGCCCAAAATAATCCCTTTGGCGCTCCAATAAACTTATTGATGGCATTATGAGCCATAAGTGGGTATTTTCCGCATGAAATCCCAGGGGAAAAATCAATGCCGTGGGCATTTTGGAGATGGCTTATGTGGATCGAGTTCGCCAAAATGCACGAGAGTTCCCGTGTAAATTATTGAGATGGCTCAATTGTCGGCTCACATTTATGCCTAATGTTGAAAATTAATTTTGTCCCCAGTATTTGAGCAATGCCTAAACCAGATTGGATATCATCAGTGACGGCAAATTGTGTTGTCCGCAGTCAATTTAGATCAAAATTCTGTACATTTGATTGTTATTTGAGTGTGTTTTTGAGAAAGAATGCTTTTTATTTTCCTGAAATGTTTCAATACATGATAGACAATAACTTCATCTCTCAACTCGATAGATAAATGTGTTTTTTTAATTGCTCTCTCTCTCTCTTAACATTTTTTTCACGATTAATACATTGATTTTCTATATATAATTATTATATAATTATGTTCTATTACTTAATGATTTCTTCTCATGTATTCTATAATTCATAATAGAGAAATACTTTGTCAAGTGTTTTTTTTTCCTTATACTTTTACAACGTAAATATATATGTATATGTAAATTTGAAAATTTTTATCACAGATATATTTAAAAAGAATTCCCGCAAATTTCTTCCATCTCGAAAGGACTTATCAACATTCCTAAATTTCTCTTCATTTCTCATTCTTATCTTCAACAAACTACTGTGCGTGGGTGGGGGAAAAACTTTCTTCCTTTTGTGCATTGCGCTTCTGGAGACTTTTTTCTAGCATTCCCTCACAATTCTCCCGGAAAATGCCACAATGCGAAAAGTGTTAAAGATGAGAACTTTTTATTTTACTCTTTCAAAAGCCTTTTGCAACTTTTCATTTTCCCCAAAACATTCCTCATCTCTCACTGAAAGAGATATTCGATGTCGTGCGATAAAAGAACATTTTTGGCACTTCTGCCAGGCATTCGCGGAAAAAGGGGTGGAAAAACGTATGTGTGTGTGTGTGAGAGAGATAAATTTGAATAAGAGGCGAAAATACGGTTTTCACTCTCCGTTTTTGGGATGCAAACACTGCATGCCACGTAAATTAATATTGTTGGCAAAAGGTAAGAAAATTTTCTGCATAAATAAATATTCAAATTCTCACGTCTCTCTGTGTGAGAATTTTATGTGTGAAACACTTTCTCATTCATGTCCTCCAGACATGATATTTTCCCTCTCCTTCATCTCATGACTCTCGTTATGGGCATGAGAATCACTCTTAAAAGCTCCTCGCACTTGCCTTCGTGTTGCTCTAATTAGGACAAAGAATGATCCCCGGGACAGTTAATAACAATACACGAGACTTACGTCGTTATTCCCACCCTTCAGCACCGGATGGAAGCCGGTGGATTCGCTCCTCCTATAAATAAATTTTCCTCTGCTTTACCTCCGACTCATTAATTAATTCTCTCATGTAGAATAAAATACGATGGAGACACACAAAGGAGAGCCCATAAAAATAGCCTTAACTCTTGTTGGGGGGTTGAAGTCTATGGGTTTGCTTGCGCCCATAAACTCCGGGTTTAAACCTCAATCTCGTCCAAGCACTCGCCCATCTTCGGCCACTTTATCATTTATTTACAGGGATTATTGGCCAATTAAAGTGGAAACAGTGGTTCTGTGGTGGGAGAGAATGAATGTACATCTCTGGTAATTGCAAGCTTTTGCTCCTCATGTGGCAAGCACAGTGCAGTCCAGAGGTAATTACACCCGAAAGTGTTTTGGTGATTCGGAGCAATTATTCCGATTAAATTTTCATGCGGAAATTGCTTTAAGATAGTCATTAAGAAGCATATAAATAAAACATACTGGCAAATAAACTTACTAAGAGCGTTCTTACCTCTGGAAACAAAGTTATAAAATGCGAGCTTTTAAGCTACATGACTAAGAGGTCGTTAAAAAGAAGTCTGTTGTCACTGTTTTTGCGAAATTCACGCAATGCTTAGTCACACTGAAACTGCCGATTTATACGAAAAAAAACAGACATAACGCTCTTGATAAAGGCAGATTCCAGAGATTGAGGCCTAATCCCTCGACCTATGATCAACTTAACTTACAAATCTACCTTCTGTCTACTTTAGGGATTACAAAACATACTCAAATACTCCTTAAAACACTACAGGATGACATATAAGACAATCTTATCCGCGCAAGCGGCTCTTAGGGGTCTCTCTGCGCCTTGTGCGGCTTCGCCACGAAGGCCTGCAGGCTGAAGTATCGGGGTGTGTCCTCGGGCGTGACACTGGTGATGTGGTGAAATTGACACGGATTGGAGATTTGCGATTTGGGTGGCAGCTGAAAGGCTTTCACCTTCTTTGGCGGCTTTCGCTTTCTGCCAGGTGTGCTGAGGGCGATGTTTTCCGGGTCACTGATCAGCCTCTCGATGCACAGCCACAATTCCCGGGCCGCCTGACTAGAGTCGAAGCTGAATCCAATGATTTTCCGATGGTCTGCAAAGCCATGAGGAATTCATTAGTATCAAAATCACTGTTATTCTGCCTATTTCTCTGCTCCGTTTTTTGCGCGGGAATAATTAATGTTCTCGTGTTTCATGCAATCGCGATTTTCCACACATTTCATGATGATTTTCTTTTTCTGCCATGGAATTTATTAAGAGCATTTGTTTACACATTTTTTCACAATTTCTTGACTGACAAACAGTATTTACAGCCATAATTCGTGTTAAAATGAACGGAAATTAGAGAAAATCACCAGCGAGCACAATATGCTGAAGAAACCACGTTTTCCAGCAGAGATACTGCTGGGAAAATGTGCTCAACTTGGAATAGAATGTTGAGCTGTTTTTAATCTTCAGTTAATTGCGTTCTTCAATTTATTTCAACACATTTCTGATCATTTTTGAGCTCTTTTAATCTTCAATTGAACACTTTTAGTCCTTATCAGATGGAGTAAATATTTTCATATTATTCTGTATTTCTGAGTGCAGAAACAGTAATTTGGTCAATTGGCGCAGAGAACGCGAGCGCCGCTAAGACACTATCCTAAATTTAGCGCTTTTTCGGCAGATTTCAGAGCACTTGCTAGAATGGGGCGAATTGCTCACCGGTTGAGAGACACATGGTGTGGAAAGCCGGGCCGGCGACCTTGTAGCTGGACAAGTTGTCGATTCTGTCGTTCCAGAGGGCGAAGCAGGAGCCCCGCTCAGTGAGGGTGAATGTGACGCGCGGGGTGTTTCTCGACTTGGCGGATCCTTTGTCGTGCAGCAGCACCGGGATGCCCGTGTAAATCAGCCGCCACTCATCCTTGCCCACGTTCTCGTACAAATTCGCCAGGGACGAACTGACGAAAATCTGCAAACAGAGCACATCACATGTGGAGTCGCTCAAATTGCACGCATTACTATGTAAATTTCATATAAAACATTAAATTAAATATTAACAATTCAATTTCCACCAGCTTCTCATGCTCGTGATGGGAATTCATGAGTCTGTCGAGGGATGCTCTAGTGTGGGGGAGTGAAGAAAAGAACCCCAATAGTGTTTATCTGCGGCGTAACTGTTGCTGGATGGAATATTCCAGAGTATTGGAAAATGCAGCGAAATCTCAAATATTTCCTACTAATTGTACTTGAGGGAAAGTTATCAGGCGCCTTTTTTTGCAATTCCTCAAGTTCTCTCTGGCGGCCAAACTATGCGCCTTTGCGTCTCGTGACAAGTGTGTAATAATTCACCATCTGGATACGCGCTATGAGTTTTCCTCTCAGTGTGTGTTTGCTCGTGAAATATCATCGCGAAATACCTATGATTACTTTCAGCACACTCAACTGCATCCAAATGCAAAATACCATTTCGCATTTGGTGCAAATTGTGTGTGAATTTCCAATTTAATTGTGCCATGAAGATGAATGGAGCATTTTTCCCAGCGAGCAATATGATTTCTTTTTCTCATTGATTTTGCCATAATTCACCGCGGGTAAGAATGACACAAACAAGCGCCCATTGCTGCCCATATGCAGTGCATATATTTTCCTTTCAGTCCAGCTCAACACAGGAAAAGTGTGCGCCTTTTTTCCATCGAGCAAATAAATCTCTGCCGTAGCGAAAGAGTAACGACTTTTCTTTGCCTTATTGAGAGCATCGGCTTTTTGTTCTATTCTGGGCCACATGATATTATATGCGCTTATAGTCATAGAAAAAGGCGATGCTTTTCCTGCGTGGAAAAAAACGCCACGATAAGGTGCTGATAAATAGACCTTATCTGGCGCGGAGTAAATAAACGTTATCACTTTCGTGAATGCTGATAGCGAAAACATATAATTCAGCCAAGAGTGTGTTTCACACACAGTTTTAATTTTAATTACATTACGCTCGGCAATGATGCATTTTCTGGGTCACATGGAAGGTGTGGATCTTTTTCAGCTGCAACATTGAAGAAACTTCCACGGACTGAGAAGAAAACAATCAATGAAAGTGGCTCGGAATGAAACATTAATTCAATTATTAAATGAAATTGCATTTGAATTGTGCAGAAAACACCGTAAAATGCCTCACTTATCGCGAAAGCATCACTGCGGATGGCGTTCTGCGAAGCAGAGATGCGCGCACTGATTGTAGGAATTTTTGCTATAAACTTAAATCACTGGGCAAAACAAGAAGCAATTAGGAAAGAAAAATATAATTTTATTTAATAGAGTCATCAAAATTTGCACTCAACATATTAAAGGAAAAACAAGAGAGTTTAAAATTAAAATGTTATGCAAATATTCTTTGTGTGTTTCTTCAAGGAATTTCCCTACATTTTCTTCCTCGCGGTAAATAGTGAATATTAATCTTAGAGTGTTTTCAATGTATTTTTCACACTTTGTTTACGCATGATTCGTAAACTTGGTAAACTTTCGTTCACATCTCTTTTCATTTGTGAAAGAAGTGTGAGATGAAGAAATTCTATTGGGAAAAACTTACGAGATTTCCATTCCGCAGTGTTTTTCTCAATTTCCATCATAAGCACCATCAGAATGGCAAAAGAAGAGGTTGAGAAAGAATTTCCCGCGCAAAACTGGAGCATTTTCCACACTGGGAAGGGAGAAAATTGCGTACAGCGAAAGCCGTCTTTGAAAATTCCTCAAATTTCACGAGTGCCTCAGAAACATTACCTATTAATCCACATGGATCATTTGAATGATAAATGTTGCGGTGGGAAAAGCGCAAAAGAAATTTGTCACAGAAAACTTTCTGTGTGAAAATCTTCCCCAAAAAACCCTCTGGGCGGAAGTTGTGCAGGCAAATTGAAGTCTGCCTAAATCAATAAAGTGCGACGTAAGATGTAAAAATCCAGCTAAACCACCATATAAAAAGGCATGTTGAGTGTGATAAAACCGACAACACATTTTGCATGAGTAAACATTTTATCGCGCGCACCCACATGATATTGAGAAATTGTTGACACAATTGATTCCCAATGGAAATGGAATTTTCCCGCGTCACTCGTGTGAATGCGTAAGCAAATTCATTTAATATTGTAGCGAGATTAATTGAATTTAATTTTGGCCCCGGGAAAGTGCGTTTTTCTTCCACCCAATAATTGCGCCCAACACTTGCGCGCGCCAAATTCGCGTGAAGAGAGATGAAAGAGAGCCCAAATTGTAGCATAAATCGCCAGACATGGGCGGATAAATGTTTATAATTTCATTTCGCCATTCACAGACGAAGATTAATTAATTAATTTTGCAGAATGGCCACAACGCGCTCCTCCATGAGGTCACATTGAGCCTCCAGTGCTGCGTTTTGCGTCTATTTTCGGGACACACACCATCAGAAGTCCACGAGAGACACTGTGCAGCGCTTTATGGGTTGGCTTTTGTGTACAATAAAGTGTATTTTCACGGTCGATGCTGTAAACAATCAATCTTTATGTGTCTAGCGGAGATATGTTGCTGAGCGCTCACAAGAGGCCAAGAGTGCTCTCGAAGGGCGATGTCTGGAAATCCAATTCATTTTGTTGATTGACTTGAGAAAATTTGCACACAACAAGTCATGTCTCATGGGAAGGATTGTCTGCTAAACACAATTCGATGGCAGGATGGGAAACCAGGAAGACCTTCTGCACACTTGTCCAAGTCAAAGGCGTCTCTGCTGGTTTCCGTGATGCTCAGTGTTCATAAAATGAATTCCCATTCGATTCCGAAGTGATCATAATTCTTAGTAAACAAACATTTGGTATTTTTATCACGATAAACCGTTGGATTTTCCAGATAGACTTCATCAGAAATATTTTGAATAACATGTGCCAAGTGAGATGCTTCCCAATGTCGCACTCACCTCAGTTCCCAGGCCGCTGAAGAAACTCTCCACTTGGGCTTTCTCGCTGTCTCCAAGAATGCCACTGTTGTCCGAACTGATGGAGTCATCTGGGTTCGAGTCGGTGTGAATAAACAGTCCATTAACGCGCCTCAGGGCCAAATTCGACTGATCTCCCGATTCGGGATCTATGCTCCAGTCCTGGGCGGCTTCGCAGATCTCTGAGCCTTCGGAGGAGTCGCTCGGTGGGGCGCTGTCGCCAACTGAGCCCAGGCGACGCCGGACGTGAGACATCTGAATATAGGAAGAGCGATATTAGCTGAAAGTTTGGTCAGCTCGTGGGCGCATTTGCCACAGGAAAATTCAATTAGGTGTCTATTAATTCAATTTTCAGCGCGCCAGTGAGAGATAAACTCCTCAACAATGTTATCTTGTAAGTTAGCAGCACACCACACCTTTATTTGATTAAATACTCAGGCCATGGAACTAAATATATCAAAGCACTCATTCATTGCTTTGGCCTCTCGTGTGGGAAATGGAGGGAAAGCCTTGACTCATTTCGGATATTGGACAATGGCTTGGGATTCTCCGGAGAAATCTCCCTGATGGGTTCTATACAGAATGGAATATTCCCAGATATGGAGTGGCTTTTAAGCCGGTTTGCGTAATTGGTAAAGATTGATTTTTCAAAACAATACGAATTCCTCAAACTTTCCATGCGCCTTTTGAATAGCGCGATTCATCTGGAACTTGCTCAACTCCCCCAAAATTCCCAATGATCGCATTGACCGAATGAAATTGAATTGTTGACCTCAAACATATTTTCCTTTCCACACACCCAAAACAACAGAGAGCTGAAATTTCCCACAGAACTTCTCCGCAAAAAGGCAGAGCTGAAGTGCAGACAATGTTTGCAGTGTTGGTGAAGCTCATCAGTGTCTCATCAATAAATTAATACGCCAATTAATTCCCAGTATTAAGCGTGCAATTTTCATCATTCACTCCATTATTCAGCGATTCCCAATTCACGCAGGTGATTGACACAATTTCATCGAGGTAATTCACATGGTCACCCATGTGAATCTTCCCCGAAATCAGCTTCCCGTGGGGAGATTGCTGTGCCCATTCAAGTGGAGACAATGCGATTTGAGAGCAAGTTTGATCAAATTTCACGCTTGACGAAATCCACTATAGATAGTGATAAAATTGCCCTCCCCTTATGTTTTTGAACTCCGTCTCTTTGTCCATAAATTCACTCCTCATCTTATCTTTCTCTCCTTCTCTCGGTGAACCCCTTTCGCTGAGTGGAGTGGATGAAAAACTCGAGATTCTTGCTCAGCCCCGGGGGAGCGGAGATTCTTCAGGGATGTTTTTCACTTTATCAAATTCTACTGGAGTGAAAAGAGTGTCCTGAACAAACATCGTGAGACATATCCTAAAATTTACGTCAAGTTGTGGATAAAGAATGAGAATTTATGTTGACGTCTTGACAGCCAAACAACCGTATAATACTCTCGAGATTTGACGATTGTCGTCAGCGTTGTGGAAAAGGTGAGAAGATAGCTCTGACTAAGCTATGACCACTCAGGCTATTTGCAATCTCTTCCACTATATTTTCCATAGTGAAAATAACATCCAATGCACGGAGTTTTTTTTCTCCTCCAACTGCGACTACAACTTTTCCTGCTTGTCAATGGGAAAAAATGGGCATGTTTGCTCTCAGTTCAGAAAAAGTGTGAACGCAGACGAAGCTGACCAATTGATTTCACTCTATGAATTTTTCCGCTTGGAAGGAAATCAATATTTGCCTAGGACTTTTCCCTTTTGCCATGATGCAAAAGCAAACTTCTCCACCTAAGTTGGGAATGTGAAATTTTTTTTAGCAAAACCACCACTTTTCCAGGGGATAGTTTTGCCGTGGCGAAATACAGAGTCTTTCTCTCATGCAAAGAACATAAAGCTCTCGGGTAGAAACAGTGGGGCTTCTTTTTTTGTCAGTGAATAAACATTGCATGGAATCGTCATCTGTGGAAAATGTAACACTTGACGAATGTGTGGGAACGGCAATGACAAAACACGGAGAAGGATGTGTTACATTATCTCTGTGTCATTTTTGCCACCGCCCACAGAACCGCACAAAGCCGCCATATCAATAGAACCGGCGTCCCGAATGGAAGACTTTCCGCAGGGCGTTTGAAAGGAGCGACAGTGAGGATAAAAGATCAAAAATGCCAGACTCCCACTCACTGAATTTCCATTCCTTTCAATTTTATTAAAAACCACGCAACGATGCACTGAAAGGATTTTCCGTCTGTTCATCTCATCTCGTAAATGATCTCGTCGTTTGCGAACATGCATGCGACGCTGTAATGCTGTCATTTAAATGCATTTCTTTCACGTTACGTGTGGGAGTTGGTCAGCAGAGGTACGTTTAGAGATTTGTGACATAAATTTGGGAAATCACTTCATCTGCATAAGGTTCAATAATCAGCGAAAAGCAGTAAATTTTCCACTCTTCAAATCCCTTTTAGTCTTGGATTTACGTCTGCAAAACGTGTCATGTGAATATACTTTTCGAATTGTAGTCATTTTATTTATGCTACTATCTTAACGACCAATTTCCTGTAGGCTCTTTAAAGTGTAATTTAAAGTGCAAAATACCCCGACAAAATGCCATCAAACAAGTTGTTATTGCACAGTCTTTAAGAAATTCATAGGCCATTTTGTAGACAGGTAAAAATATTACACATTTTCTTTAGCAATAAATTTACATAACGCATTAAAGCTGTCTCGTGCGTTCGTGAAGCCCTTTCCGGAGGGGCGGGGACAAGAGTCGAGCACCTTAGAAATGTGGAAAAGGTGTCACAAAGCCACAAAAACAAACTGTAATAGAAATTTTCCCTCTATTTGCTTACTGATGTTTTCTACGAATCTGTGACAAGTTATTTTGCGGTTTCGACCTGAGCAATTGCAAAGCTCTTTGACCACTCTTTCATGCCTTTCGACATTGCACAGCGCAATTTTCTCCGCCTCGCCCCTCGGCGGTAATGATAATTTTAATGTCTTTCTCATTGCAAAGTGTTTATTGTTGTAATTCTGCTTCATTGTGCGTCCGAGGCGAAGGTGAGAATGGTAGAAATTTTTGTCTTGTATCATTTTTTCCGTCTTACATTGCTCAATGAGTAAAGGAGGCAAATTTTGCCGCTTCACTGCACGTACACATAAATATGCGCATAATCAATCACAGAATATTGCAAGATGTGTACATTTGTATGATCGATTATTGTAATAAGATAAATGAGAGGGACCCTTTGAGTGTGTGTGAGAGAGAGAAAAAGCACACACGATTTCCACCAATCAACAATTTGTGTTGGCAAATAAAACATTTACATATAAAATCCCAGTGGATTACAAAATTCCCGGATAATTTCTGCGCAAGTTTCCTATATTGTTCAATTAATCCAAATCAAAATTTTCCTCGCTTTTTGGTTAACAATTAGCACGCACAAGAGCTTACGAATTTATGCAAAATTACATAAATTTTTGATTTGATTTTTAATTTGGGAAAAAAACAACATCGACAAATTGCCAACAAAATAAACTCTCTTCCCTAAACATATCGATCGATTTGGTGATTGTGAAAAACTCGGAATATTCAATAATATTCAATGACTCGTCATGGTTTTTCTCCCGCATTTGCGGAGCGAAAAAAAATACACTCAAGGAAAATTACTTTTAGAGAAATAAAATCCGACAGCAAGCACGGAATGTTTTCGTGCGCCAAATGAGCAATTCAAGTGGAAATTAAAGTGGAAAAAATTGGCACAAAAGTCTCAAAGTCAAGGTTTCCACTCTTCGTGACTTTTACGTAAGACTGCCAATATTTACTGATGGCAGCTCGTATGGTCAAACAGATGCTGAACAGATGAGAGAATATTGCTTTCCCAGACTGATTCATCAGCATACATTTATTCATGAGCGCCAGCACCTTTTCCCAGGAGGCTCAATTCAGGCATTCTCCAGCTCGATCAGGTGCAGAGCAAACATTTTCCCCACCCAGAATCATTGATCAATGACTCGTGCTTTATACCCTCAATAATTTCCCACCGAAAGCCCCATACAGTATTTGATGTGGAGCCGAAAATGAAATGGCATTTGATGCAAAATGATATTGAATATTTTATGCCGGCGCAATTTCCGTCTCTGGATAATCTCGCCAATTGCGAAAAATCCACACTGTCTGAGGGGTTAATTGCTCAACAATTTTCACGCGGTCGCTGCCCCGCGACAAATTAATTTTCTACCGTGGTGCTGAAAGCTCGAATTGCAAAATGATTCAATATTCAAAAATATTGATTTTCCAAACGTGGAATTCCATGGAAATTCACAGCTTGAAGCGCGAGTGAGTCAGAGAAGTGTGAGATTATTTTTAGCGATGAATCTCTCCTGTTGATCTTGAAATTTAACATCTCTCGCTGTGCACAGAGCAGTTTTTGTGCAATGGCACTATTTGCCATTAAATTAAAACTTTTAATTGAAAATGCAAATGACTGTAAATCAGTGTTCGAAGCGTTAATGCATTAAAATGATTTTAAAACACATATTTTATGGCATAGTCAATTTTTCTATAGGAAAATTACAAGCTCTTCTCACTCTTCTTCTCACACTCAACAAATCATAATTGCGCGTCTCTCAACTGAAGCACTGCGAATGGCGGAAAATAGCAATGCTTTTAAGCCATCAATAAACCCCATCATCACTGAGCTAATCGCGTGTACTTTCCACACAATCTCCCTAAAATATCCGCACAACAGAAATGTCATAGTTGCGCACCTTTTCTCACCAAGGAAGTCAAGATGGAGACTTTATGGTGTAATTTTATTTAATTAAAAATTTCTCCAACAATGCATTTAGATTGATGGATACAGAGAAGCACTTTTTCTCTGGTGCGTCTCAGAGACACGCTATATTTCTCTACCTGTAAGCGAGAAGAAAAAACAACTTCTTTTTCTCATAATTGTGGTACACAATAAATATTGTAGATTGCATTAATATTCGCTACAATAAATGGTGAAATGCCGTGTGCAGTTAGTTTGTCTCTTTCGCGGGAAGATTTTTGCCGCAGCCAAATAGCGGTGGTTATTCAACAATTACAACATTTTGTCTGTGAGCTTTCTTGTGCTCCTTTTCTTCGCCTCCTATGACTGCGGAGAAATTGTGTATCTTGCGATTGATCATCATTTGGGCTCATCTCGAAATATATCGCGTATTACTCAATTTTCCCCCTTTTGAATGGCATTTTTTGCCTGATCACTGATCAAATAAGCTCGCGCTCTTCCGCACGATCATCTGTGGACAGATTTGGGCGGGCATTCACTTCCGGTCTATCGGCTGCTGTTTGAATTATTATTGCTACAGAGTGGCTCACAGATGGCCCAATTGCTCAGATAATCGACTCTTGTTCGATCTCTAGCGGCACATTGGACATCATTTGTCATTGGTGTGATCGTGAATAAATGTGCCATTAGTGTCTGTGGAGAAAATTGAATTTCTCAAGGTGCTTTGTCTCTATTTAACCTTCCAAGTGCGTGAGGACAGACAGAATGACAACATTTGCACGTCGAGCCCGCATTTCGTCGCTGGCGCTGAACGATTGCATTGTTCTGGAGGGCCGTCCGTGCAGAATAGCGGAAAAATACCCGAATGGCTACAACAAACTCTTCATCGCTGCCATGGACCTCTTCACAGGCGAATGGTGAGAGACTTTCATTTCAGCTGGTCTCAATTTGCCACACATTTTCACCCGCTTTTCACCCTCTCCCGCCAAAGTTACGAGCGCAACATTGATGTGAGGGAGCGATTCGACGTGCCGCACGTCTTCAGGGTGCACTACAAGCTCGTGAACATCTCCGAGGACGGCCAAGTGACTCTTCTGAGCCGCAGCGGAGCCATAAGGAGTGGCCTGAAGCTGCCCAACAGTGAGCTGGGCGAGACGATCAAGAGGCAATTCAATGAGCTCCTTAAGGAGGGCGGACTCGATGTAATGATGCATGAAATTCCAGCACGATCTCACATGCTTATCTCTCAAGACAGTTCGAATTCAACAACAACTTTCAGGTGACGGTGACGCAGTCAATGGGCGAGGAGCACATCACGTCCTTCGGCGTCTGGGAGGATGACGCCTAAGAGCCATCACGTGCACCGGTTCATCAATAATGACTCAATTTCCCCGCCATTTCCACGCCAAATTGCATCCACCTCGTCATCTTCTGACTGCGAGTCTCACTGCGAACTCTTGTGCCATATTTTAAAGAGGTGTGATAATATTGAAAAAATAAATAAAGCACTAAATGACTGTGTGTTTTTCACACAATACAATCGTTTTTTGCCGCTGTCTCCGGGCGATTACAGTACGTGGTCAGTAGATTGTTCCCCTGCCGCTTATTTACTTTCCATCCACTGTATTTGGAAAGCCCAATGGCAATAATTTCAGTGCGAGAATCCAGAAATATAATATAACAAGTGTGACTGCGATTATTCAACGCGAGTAGTGTTGAATATGTAATGTAAGATTAAATAAACACCATAAAAGATTAACGATATATTCTCGGAAAAATTCCCATCTCGCTAAAAATGGCCTGAGTGGCTATTTATTGTTTAATTTCCGGGATTAATTAAAATATTACAATTTTCCCTTTGATCCTTCGCCGGCGCAAATTGCTGCGCGCCCAAAAGGTAACGCGCCAAAAAGATGTTTTGGCAATTTAAAAAACAAAATTACACTCGCGAGCAAGGCGTTAACTGTGCTCGGGTCATTTCCGTGCCAGCAATTTCTCATAACAATCCCACCCAAAAAGAGTGTGTAAAGCCAGTTCTGTGTGCCCTCATATGTGACAAATAAAGGGAGACCCCGATGACCCAAATTGCGTGAAGCACCGAATTTATATTCACGCCAGAGTGGGTGAATCGTCATCATTGAAAACATATCCCGGGTGTAATTAATTCCAAATTGAATTATTATTCGGGTAGACGAGAAAAAGCCTCCGACATCTGTGGCCGATGGGTTTGTTGGCATAATTTGGCATTTCTGAATAAAATAATTGGCCAAATAATTCATTCGGGCATAACTTTTCCCGCAACTCCCATCGATTGTGCTTGCACACAAGTTCTTTTCGCCCAGAGTCTCATGCCGTGAAAAGTGCTGCCGGAGGAAATTGCCCTTTGCCCAAGCTCATATGTGTAAAATATGCGAATATCTAATGGCAGAACATGCTACGTAATGCGTTCCAGAACAGCCCCTAATTTACGCTTTGCAGGTCAAGTGTGAAAAGGCTTGGCGCAGAGTTGAGAGGAAAAGCGTGCATGGGAATGTTTCTAGTTATGCTTAACAGGTGGGCGAGTGAAACATGGTGAAAAAAGGATTTTAAGCAGATTTGAGCAAGGAGGGATGAAAAGAGGAATTTTCAGCCAAATATTTCAGAGGATTTTCCCTTCAGACGATGATGTGATTAATCAGACTCTGTATTTGAGCATCTTTTGTGCTTATATCCAACATCTAAGCTCCTCTCAACTCATCTTCTCATGCACAGACAGAGAAGTGATTGGGCTGGAAAGAAGCATGATAGCTTCATCAAATTATTCCCCTGCACCCTCATACATATTGTCCACGCGGGTTTAACATGAAATATTACTTTAAGTGCCACATCATTAATACACTCTTCGAGAACAATGAACTCTTCCAGCGTTGCATTAAGACACAGAGTGTAATGTTTGAGTGCGTCCGCGACGAACAATTAAGTTTCTCTGAATTTGCTGCATTCCGCCTAATTTGAATAAATTACGATGGAATTCCGAATTGAATAATTTAAGCTTGTATCGTGATTGCATTGAGTGAAAGAGAACCGCTTTTTGCCGGTGTGCAAGTGTTTTTTTTTGGAATTATCGCACCAATCGGAAGGTGAAAAGACATGAAATATTGTGCGACTGGAGAGTCAATGGAAGTCATTAAAAGTGGGATACTTTCTCTTGTCCGCATCTTCAAAAGATGCCCCAACTTTTGGTCATCTCATTTTCGCCATACTGCAAATGGGACAAAGTTATCTCAGTGGGTCGGATTTTGCAACTTTGAAAATTAAACCAACTTTTCCCTCCCCCGCCCAGTGAAATTGGATGGAAAAACTTCTTCTGCCAGAACACACGAATGGCCCAGGAAAACTATAACATTGCGTGGATTGTCAGAAAATCTCACAGCGATTCATATCAATATTCGCTCATATTGCCACGAAGACAGAGTGAATGATGGTGAGATATTGAAATATGACTTCACTCCAATATTTTCCACATCATTTTATATAAGTTTCCTTGCTTACTTCCTCCAGAGACGTGCCTGTGTGTCAGGAATTCATATATTCATAAGGGAGAGAAACTTTCAAAAGTATTGCGCTTTCAGAAACGACTCACACACACAGTACCCCGAAATTCTTCGAGATCACTTATGAAAGCGCAATGGAATTTAATCAAAAAGCAAGTGGACTCAGAGATATGCTGTCAAGTGTAAAATAAATCTCAAAGTGAGTGTGTCAACAAAAAGAGATAAACAAATGTTGAAACCTGATAATTTCTCCCAATGCGCCTCAAATTTACTTTTACTATTTACTTAATCGCAAGAAATCGTAAAATTCGTTACCATTTATCACTCCATTGGACGCATAACAGTCGTTTAGACATGGGAAAACCTCAAGCTGACTTTTTCCTCACTTTCTGCCAATTTAAATGTCTCCACATTATTGCCTCGAAGATTTCCTCACTGCAATTTGCAGTCAAATGCAATTTCCCTATGGTGAAAAATTCAATAAGAACACCCTCTGGAAATATTTTCCCATAGCATTTTGTGGTTTCCATTATGGGATGGAGAGGGAGGGGTGGGCGAGAAAATGGGGAAAATTCAAGGCAGGATAGAAAGAAAATTGTAGGGCATTATCGGTCATATCGCATTTACGATAATTTTTATTTGATGTGATAAATTGTATCCTATCGAGGTCTGCAATCGAAACCCTCGCAATTCTTAGTCGCCCTTCGGCATGTGGAAATACAGAGTTGAAAGGGAAAATCCACATGGCATACATATGAAAAGCGCACAAAAGGGGAGCTCTTATCAGCAGTGATTTCCCCACAAAAGCCCCACACACTCACATTAATGCAAATTGCACCACTAAATTGACTACATTGAGGAAAAGTCACAAAGTTTCAGCACAATAGAGTTGCAATATTTGATGATTTCTGCATCTAAAGCACTTCTGTTTGCAAATGACGTCTTTGCGGGTGTTTCTGCTGACCTTCGCGTCTATTTTCACAAAACCACCGATGGAAATGCATTATATAGAGGAGTGTTGGACTCTGAACACAGTAAAATAAACAACACGCGCTGTTTTCTTTTGTATAACAACAAAGAAACTTTCATCAACTCATTCATGAGGTTGATTTTTTAAAACTGAGAGCAATTTCATAGCGATAGATGTTTGTGAAATCAATAGCTTAAGTAAATTTCCATCTCATATTCGCCTGCCTCTCCCCTGTGAAATAAATTGTATATATTGAAATAAACTTTTCCATCTATTGTCGTGCGCAGTGAAATTTGATAGGAATATTTTGGGAATTTGCAGCAGACATGAAATCGAAATAACTTTGGGAAAAGAGGTGAATTTGTACTTTATCAAATTCAGAGAAAAACCCAAATGGGGAATGGATCAATTTCAAGGTGTCGCACACCTCTTCCCTACCTGTTATTATAACTTTGGAGCACCTGGTGCAAACAGATGGTGTCTCTTTGGCAAACAAAGCCCAACCAGCAGCATCTGCTTCCACCGAGAGATTGGTCACGAATTTCACTGGGTATAACATTGAATTTCGGCTGAGTCTGCATGTGAAACCTCACACTGGAAAGGCTGCGAATAATCGCTTGTGGGTCGCGTTTCACAACAATCCTCTCTCGCCCAGTTGAATTCGAGAAGTTTCCAGCCAATTTTGGCGCGCAAAATGGCCAAGTGTTGAATTGTACTTTGCAAGTTTGTTGAACTACACTCTTTTTTCTCTGCCCGTGACAAACAGGGGATGGAAATGGTGGAAAGAGTGCGATATCAAATCACATCTATTGTGACAAATTCCGTCCTGAAAGTGCCAAAGTTTATTGTTCCATCCAACAGCAAAATGCGCACAGCGGGAGATGAAGAAAAAGACGAGATTTGCAGCGTCTCTCTTTTGCACTTGAACCATCCGCCCAGGGAGAAGGAAAGCAAAGTGTATGACAGCATAAATTTATCATGTTCCGTAGCGCGACTTCGGCAAAGACTTGCATGACGACATTCACATATGAAAGTCGTTGTCTCCTGGGCCACAACCAAAATATTCGTCGCTCCGGGCGATCAGGCTGTCCATCGAGCTCTTTCGCGCGTGCATAAAATATTCATGGGGTTCTGCACTGAATCTCTCTCTCTCTCCCCGAGCCGTGGTCAAAAAACGCCGCCCAAAACGTGTTTGCGGATAAAAGTTTATGTATCGAGAATGGTCCTCTTGCTGCACACACAAAATGTAATTGCCATGATTGTGTTCCGTCTCTCGCAGCTGTCATTTCAATTTGAACTCAATTAATAAAATGCAAAAATTACAGTGTCGCCAGAAAAAGCGCGCGACGCCCGAGCATGAGAAATTGCATGGATTGGCGAGAAAAGGGCGCAATGTTCCATGAACTTGGCGATAGTGCATCAACATTGCACTGAAGAGAATGCCAAGTGCACTGAAATCTTGTAGTAGTTCAGGTTCAGAACACTCAATCACTCATCGAAAGACGTTTATTTTATGCAAATTTGAGAAAACAGTGCAAACTTCTCCCAAAATTTACCCCAAATTCACATCCAGAGTGCCTCGAGTGTTGTTAAGAAATTGCATAATTATGCTAATGCACGCTTTGTTTGATTAGAATCCATTTGGAAAAATTTATGACTTTCACAAAACTTCGCTGGAAATTTCAGTGTTTTTCTCAGTGCACAACAAGAAGCGACTAAAAGCCATAAAATGATGCACTCAGAACGACGAATGGTTGAAAAATGATGAGCTAAACCGCGCGTCTCTTTGTGAATGGGAAACAAGAGGAAACTGCAGAGAATGCAACAGAAATAAAACAATTCCCTCGCGTCCAGGCATCATCGTTCCCCAATGAAACTCTGCAGAATTACCATATAATTAAAAGATGGCTCCGGAATTTTTGCCCGCATTCAAGTTGAGATTTCTTGGAAGTTTCATGGGATTATATTCGTGTGTCCGCCGCTTGACCACTTCTAAGAAAGACACCACCAAAAAGTTTCAACTGTGCAAATCTCTTCCGTGCGGATTATTGTACGATCACAGCGCGCTGAATGCATAAGAATTAGCAATTTTATGAAAGAGAACTTGACTTAAATCCCCCATCCAGTGCTGTGGGATTTTCTGCAAGACAGCACGACAAAATTGCAACTCCAAGAGTCATTCTCAATCACGCAAACGCTCCTGCAGAACGGAAATAGTGAAGTCCCACGGTGGCGGAATTAGCATTAATCTAATTTTCAGTCTGAAACTTTTATCAGCATTCACCTTTTGTTGCACAGACAAAGACAGAGTGGAGCTTAAAGTCACCCTCGGACGGTTTATGTCGCGAGAGAGTCCACTTTAGTCACATATTAAATTATTGGCGCAATTTTGGGGACTCCGTACGAGCGATAAAATTTATGTGGTAAATGATAAAAGTGTGCTGATATTGGGGTTTTTCGCTGTGAAAAAGTTAGGACACTTAGCATCCCTCCGAGGGCGGATATTAGAGGAAATTTCTATTCCAGAAGATTATCCTTTTATGGTAACGTCATTATTGACCTCCAAAATGCCTTTAATGGGGTGTGTAAATTGCTTCCAAGTCGACTTGGAGGGATAAAAGATAAAATGACGCTGTCAATTTGACGGCAATTCTGCCGAAAAACGAAGTAACACAGGGGAATTTTAAGCGCAATTCCCAAAAATGTCCTGCATAGGAAATGGGAAGAGAGATAGTGAAAAGTTTTAGCAAGTTTTGCATCGAGAGGAAATGGCCAGAGAGAGAGACATTCCTCCAGAGATTAGCATGGAAGTTGCCGAGAAGAGCTGTGGCGAGAATGAAAAATATCGTGTCTTATGCATGTGAAACTAATTTAGTCCGTTGTGGTTGCCTGGCCTCAACCTGAGCACACACACACACCTTGCATCCGGACGCCTTTCCGCACTCCCCAAGGGCCAAAAATGCTAATGGCCAAGGGGCAAATACAGCGCCTTAAATCTTTCAGTCAGTTGCTATCTCTTCACTTCTTTTCTAACATATCATCTAACCTTACTTCTTAAGGCTCTTAAGAGTGAAAAACAGCCAAAATATGAGCATAACAATGAACCCAAGAAGATTTTTCAAGATACTTCTGGAGAAATCAAAGTATTCACTCAGGAAACCCAGGAAAAACCCTTTTCAAGTGAATTGTTAGTTTATGAAATAGAGAGCAAGATTAGAAAATGAATTTACAAGTTATTTCACCAAAAACCAACTAAATATTTCCAGAAACTTGCTGATATCGATTTTATCACTCTTAAAATGATCTTGATAACAGCATTTAAAGGGCGTCTAAAGTTAAAAGTTAATATTTTTCTCAGCTTCTGCTGGGAAAATTTGCACTGAAGTCATCACCATAATATCTCCCCCTTGCTAGTGGCCAAAAAGTGCAGCTAGCGTGATGAGTTACCCAAAAATTCCTCTGCGGTTAGTCAGGGCTGTTTTTTCTGCGCTGCACCTGTGATTGACCCTGACAAAGGAGGAGCCCTTGCCTGACAGAGACTGATGAGGCCATGAGCCCGAGCCAGCGTCTAATGATCGCACGTCGGAAGAGAGGAAGAGCGATGAACAGCAGATTGCTGGCATTTTGATGTGTCCGATTCCCAATTAAATATCAATAATACCTCATCATCGACAGATGATGAGCTTAATAGATCGTGCGATTAAATGAGGTGTTTCACTATGACCAAAGCCGATTTGCGCCAAATCATTTCAACCTCTTTCGAGCTCTGAAATACGACTGGAATATTTGCATAATTGGCAAATTAATCTCGCGACAGTGTTGCGGAAATTTTTACCTCTTCAGCGCGTCTCAAGTGTTTTTGAGCACAGAAATTAATTTAACATTGTTGGTTTGAGATAAATTGCGTCATTCAGTCGCGAACTTCAAACATCTTCTTATGGCGAACGTGCTTTTCGGCGCGCGACTTTTCTTAGCAGAGTATAAAACAGGTATATAAGCGCGATTGAGTGACTAAGGCGGTCTTTAGTGTGTCGCTTCTTGGCTTTGGAGAAAATTTTTGCATGCGGCGTGTATATTTCTTCATCAGCCAGAGAGGAAATTAAACACGACCGTCAAATGTAGCATCTCGCTGATGATTAGGCGTACAAGTTGTTGGTACTTCAATAAATAACAGCGAAATGTCGCTTGAGGAAAAGTTCTGCCAATAGGCGCGCGAACAATGGCTCCGGGGAGGGGATTTGTGAAGAATTTCACCTTCTGACATCGACACCTTTAGCCCTCTTTTCTCTCATCTTCTGTGCACTAATCCCATCACGCCGAGGGGCTGATCAGTCTGGGAATTAGTGACGGTAATGATGATAAATAATTTCAAAATTCCTGTGAAAACACAGCCAATCTTAAGCTCTCAATGAAAACGCTGTAAGCTCTGCTCAAGAAGGGATTCAAGTGTGGAGGAAGATGAAAGGGTATCAATGCAGATCAAAGAGAGCAAACAGAGATTTTAAAGTAACTACATATATGATAAGTGGGAATTATGGGAAATTTCGAAATTACACATTAAAATTTTAGAATTCTCTCAATTTTATGTGACATACAGAATTTAGCATAGTGATGAAGTGAAACCAGAAACATTTCAAGTCACTTTTTCCCATACAATCCGCCCGACTTTCACTCAATGATAAGGCATTTTTTCAGAATATCACTTCAGCCTAAATAAAAAATGATCAGAAATTCTCGTTTTCTCTTGGCCCTGATGCGCTTCCATATATTGAACGCGTTAATGAAGATTTAAGAACAATTTCCAGGCGAACCACCTCCATTTACCTTAAGCACTGAGAAACACACAGTGAATTTCCCAATAAACAACACAGTTTCACGGTTGAAGTTAAGATTTTTCCTCTACATTTCCCACAGAAACCCCGAAAAGAGACTTCGCTTGCGTCACTGAGTCATTGATTTACCGTCAACAGCCGATAGTGTCATGAGGTATTTTCCCTCCCCGCCCGCAGGAGGGCTGATTTAATATCTGCGCTCGCCGGAAGGGATATAAATATTGTGTAATGTCACGAGAAGGAGCAGAGCCGAGAAAAAGGAGTGGTGAAAGGCCTTTTGTCTTGTATTCATTAACCCACTCAACGGTGAACGGCTCCTTTCAGCTCTTCCGCTCTCGATCATCCACTGTATCACAATCACCCGGAGAGGGTGAGTTTTTTCCCACATCAGAGACAGCGAGATTTGCACCAGCATCGAGAGTTATTTAGTGGAAATTATGTTGGGCAATTCAACTCAATTTTCACTGGCGACGAAGATTCCTCTGGGGCCGATTTGTACTTACAATTTATGGGGTTTAGCTGAAGATGCTCTCGGAATTCTTCTATATCACCCTCACTAATCCAGTCCACCAGCTGTGCTGCACTTGAGATCACTGGCACACACACACTTTCACTTGGCCACTTTCCACTTTCGGGAAAGCACTCGGGAAGCGGGAAAACTTTATCCACAGTTCGCGGGGATGAAATACTAGCGCCGACAGAAGCACGCCGATGAGAAGCGCTCGAAACTCCACGCGAGAATGAGTTGAGCGTTTCATGGCAGACTCTTCGAGGCTTTGCACCCAAGCCACGGCAGCCGAGTCTCTCCGAGAGCCGGAGAGAGACCGCGCCGAGCTGCTCAATGAAAGTGTGACGTCACGTACAGTTGGTGGTCGCCGCGGCGGAAAGGCAGCCAAGCGAGGCCACTTTTCACATGAGTTTCTACGCCCGGCATCGAAGGATAATAGACTGATGGTGGGAAGTGCTCTGCCAGATGCTCAAGATGCCCATGAAATGCTCTACTTTCCTGTGACACGGGAAAAATCACCCGAAAAGGATCACAGCTGTGCACTCGGAGAAAATGTGGGCAGCGTGGGAACGAAATCAGGAGGATTTAGAGAAGTTTTTATTTGTGATATTCTATAATAACAGACTTAAATAAAAATTTAATATGTGGTGTTGAGATACGTATTGTAGATATTTTTTACTTTGATTATCTTGAATCATTTCCTAAAGACCGTGTTTTTTTACGGTTTTGACACTGTTTTTCTAGGTTATGTTATGTTTTGATACCAAAAAACATTCCAAAATATCCAGTTTTTGCGTATGATCTGCAAATATTTCTTTTTCATACTGTAATAGAGCAATTTCCATGGCATAGAGACCTTGATTCAGGATGTTTAATATAAAAATTGTACTAAAGTCAAACATAACCTCCATTTTTTCTCTACAAACCGAGAAATTTTGAACTATTCAAACTCTAACCAAAACTCTTGAAGAACTCTTAAATGTATTCTAAGTTTATGGTCAAGAAAAGCGATAAAGTTTTTAGTTGATTGTCGTTCAGTGTTTTGGTTAAAAAACCAAGTTCACAGGAAATATCATTTTCCTAATAAATGCTAAATGCTTTGATTTCTTTTTCTCGTTTTTTAGCCATGAGCAAATGAGTCTACAAAGTGTCATCAGGAATTTTGCATACAATTTGCAGAAATGAGAGAAAGTGGTGAGATGAGAAGCAGATGTGTCCGGTGAATTTCTCCGAGTGCAGCTCACTTCCTGAGCTCGAGTGGAGGCGGAGGGAAGTGCTGTGTCTCGAGGGCTGGTGGCAGTGAACAAGGACTGTGCCATATGTGTGCTAGTTGTATTTTTTGTCAATTTATCTCACTCCCGCACCAGCAATCGTAATCCCGACAAATCTTCCCCCGAGACATCGTCATATTTCCTCAGATTTTCCCACCATCCCCGAGTGACGTGGATGGCGGAAGAAGACATGATGTCCTCATGGTAATTCCTGGCTCTATGATAATTTCCTCATCGCATAAACGCCAGTGCCAGAAAAGCGGCAACAATAACATCAAACGGCCTGCTCTCCGCGGATAATCCAATGATGAGAACGCCCGAGAGCTCAAATGAACATAATTGTATTCATGTCATGGTCTCAACAATGGACCGTGTTTCTTCTAGTCGCGCGCTTTTTGCTTAGTGCGCAAAAATTCAGCTTTATTTTCACTTTGAGCACTGGCTGTGAAGTAATATTATGCCATTTTATTATTGAGTTCTGCGCGAGACTTCTAATGCCGCGGAGAGATTATTCCCGGGGGAGAATGGAAGATGCCATCCAACGCTTGGTGTTGAGGATGTGTGTAATATTTTGTGGAAATTCAAACAAATTCCTCCTTGATAAATTACTTTGACACTGGAGACTGGGGGAGATAGAATGCCAAGACGTCTCCTCCCAGCGTGCATTCCTCGAGAATTTATTAAATCCCGCACCTCTCGAAGACACGGAAAAGAGACAACCTGGGCGAATTCGCTGCATCTCCAGAATTGAGCTGTTCTCGCGCGAGAGAGAAAGAACATGAATCAGAAGTGATGTAATCTGGCGAAGCTTCTCTCGTCAAATTAAGCACCTGCATCGCGTACAAATGAGTCACGGCGGTGGAGAGAGGAGTCCATTGTCGTCATGGAGAGTGTCAAGAATAGTTCCACGTGCAAGAGCTGAAGAAAGAGAAAATATGTATAGCAGGAATGCTAATCTCCAGGCACAGCACGAGTATTTCTATGCAAATTGCCACCTGAAGAATGCCACTTCTTCGCTCCGGCCGTGATTATGCGCCTTCTTGCCAACAATAGACGGGAGAGAAGAATCTGTTGTTTGAGAATCTTGTGCGCGCTCCTCCAAAGCCCCGCATAGTTAATACAATATTAATTAATTCATTCCAGCACTGTTAGTTGCGCCAGGAGCAACTTCTGCCACTGATCCGACCCATTCTCCCACAATTATATTCTCATTTATCTGCCCAGAGACACGCCAATCCGAGAGACATTCCATCTGACACTAAGAGCCCGCCTGAGATTCACCGTCAGTCGCAGTGCTGAAAAAAAAGCCTCATGGACGAAAGGCATTGGCATGTTGGAGTGAATTGCAGTAATTGGAGAAAAATAATTAAATTTGCAACATGGGTCATTAATTCATCAGGCCCTGGGCGTGCATAAATTGGCTCTTTCGCCGACCCTTTCGGATATTTTAATTATGTCACTCACATGTAAATATGCTGAAACAATTTAATTTCATTGCCACCCTCTAATTGGTGTTTGAAAAGTTCATTAAAACGATTATTTGTCGTATCAAACGTCACAGAGTATTGATTTTTAATTAGCTCTGCAGAGATAATTTGTGATATTCAATACGTCCAGAATTGCTCGACGTTCTAGCATTTGTTTTAAATGGTTAGCATAATTCCACAAGTCCTTTCTCAGAAACTTGCTAAACATCAAGTCAATTTCAGATCTAATGGGAATCGATAGTGATAATTTCAAGTGTGGTCTTGCGGAGTTTGCTTAGCAGCAAGAGGATCTCTGATGATTTATTCCGTATAGAGAATAATTTTCACCATGTGTTTCAGGGGTCATTACCAAAACTGATGCAATTTCCTAATGCTCAAAGTCATCTCAATAAGCCCCAGTTGAGTTCTCAACTATCGCAATATCTCTCAATTTGCCAACACAATGCGTTGTGCAGGTAATTCAGCGCTGGACAAACACACACAGAGCATCTCTCAAACTCATCTATCTCTAGATAATGCTGGAATTCATCATGCTATTCCAATTAACGCAATGGATGCAGAGTACACCGAAATATACAAATTAGATGAACCAGTTGAATTTCATCCCCTCTCAGAAGTCAGATGCGAATAATTCATATCTCGTTGAGTAAACCAGAAAGGATGTTGTTTTCCTGCAACACATTCATGCCATAGCATTGTCTTTTCTTTTCATCTCTCTGGGATAATTTCACTCCAAAAAGTCGCAATTATACTCCATGTCACTTACTTGCCATGAGAAAAGCGTGCTAAATTAATTAAAAAGTTTCATGTCTAACATACTGCATTCTTAAGAGGGTTTTCTCTCTTCCTTATTTCCCATTCATGCTCCCCAAATGGCTCTTTTCGCCTCTCTACCCCATCCCATCATTGGACACGCTGGCGTGTCTGGGAATGAGGTGAAAATGGGACGAGAGAAAAGCTCCGTTCTCTGCATATTATTTAAGAACAAGGCATTTGGATGGAAAACAGTGGACAAGAGATGGAGAAAGAAAGAGATTTTTCCGCAGAAATTGCAAAATTTATTTCCTTTCTCTCTGCCATTCTCAAAGGGTTTTTGCAAGTGAGACTTGAAGGATTTCCCGCGTTCGTCACTGAAGAAAGTTGACACAAGACAAATTGTTATTGCTTCCTCTGCGCGCCCACCCATAAACTCGCCCCTTTTATTATTCCACATCAATGGTGAATGTTGTTTTCGATGAAGTAATTCTATTTCACTTGCCATTTTCGCGGTTAATTGCCAAATAAAGCATGTCAAGATGGAAAATGGACCATTCGAGCGGTCAAAGCTCCTCTTCTTGTTCCACAGAGTATTAAATTGAGTGCTGTGGCGGAGTAACACCTCCAGAGAACGACTAAATCATCCGACAATCTATACTTGAGAGCCCCATGGAGAAGGAGTAGAAGTTAAAAATAGATTCACACTTCTTTCCAGTGAACATAACGTCGCGAAAAATTCATAAAACTCACCACTTTCCTCCACATTTTGCTTCATTTTCAGGCCATAATTGTATCTCAGCGAGAAAATGTCCGTTCAATAAATCTGCCAGACTGAGTATGAAGCTGAGAACAATTTATATGGTGTACTCATGAATGGATTATGTAAAGAAGTGGTCTTTGTCTCGCAAAACGAGACTATTATGTCCCAGTTCATTGTCTTGTGCGATAAATTAAATAAACATTTGCCATTTGGCGTGCGCAAACGATTACTTCTCAGCACTGTGATTAAGTCGCGTTTCATTTTTTTTCACCGCCACAGCAAGGAAATACGAAGGACAGATGATTTTGAATTTTCAAATTCTCTCTCTCTCTCTCGCTCTCAGCTGCCTCGACTTTCCACCAAAACATCTCCGATGTGACTCAGCGACATTGGAATGCACGTGAGAATGAAAGGTATTTTGCAGATTAAGTGACTTTTTATTGAAATTTCTCTAACCATTTGACCGACAGATAAAAAGTCTCGGCCCGATTTTCTTGCATCAAATACCACTTTTTTCCCCTCTTCGCCGCAGGCTTATAAATTATTGCCACAAAACTCACCTTCTTGCGAAATTTTATGTGTTTGTGTGTCTTGTTTCCTCGCATTATGAGTCCAAGCTTGAGCACAACGTGCGATAATGAGAAGGTGATTGATTCCACAAACACTTAGTATTGATAAGAGTGTGTAAAAATTCTTCGAAATTCTCAATAAATCGTCTGGCCGGTGGAAAAATAGCCGAGGCGTTTGATAAGAAAGCGACATAGAGTTTTCCCAGAAGACAATTCTTAGGCCATCGAAACTCTCGAGTGGTTAAACACTTGGAAGATTCCGTGCCAAAGTGACATGAAAATATCATTTGGCGGAGAGATTTTCAACATCGAAGATGCATCAAAAAGTCGAGGAATTCACTGGGGAATTTCTTGTGTGTTTTCTTGTTGCATAATCTCACTTCGACGAGGGCTTTTGACACACATAGGCGTGCTTGTGAGCTTTAGCTGTGTATACTAAATCAGACAGAGATTTGAAGGATTTTGCGATTTTGGAGCTTCATCAGTGAAATTTGCCATGAAATTGGGTACTTTTGCCGAGCGAAAACAGAAGATCTGCTGGTATAATTGGTGCAAAATGATGCGCTAATTAAGCGACATGGGGATGTCAAGGAGAAAAAGCCTCGTGAGTCTTATCGGTGCTTCTCATCGGCTTGCGAGATCCAATTAGACAGCCTCTCTGACCCACTTGAGAGATCTTGAACCCTCCGCGAACTGAGCATCCCTCCTGGGGCGATTTTGGTGGCCAGAAAATCATGTTTTTCCACAGTCAATATTGTTGTTTGTCGTGAAATCAAAACATTTATTGCCCAACATCCACAGCCGACTGAAACTAACAAAGGGAATGTAAACAATTATCTGGCATGAGGCTCCGAAAGAGATTCGAATCACTGGCGATGCATTAATTCTTGGGCCGACACAGCCATGATCATTGCCTGTGAGGAATTAAATCAGCAGCAAAAACGAATAATAATTCATTTATGGGAAGTCATATGGAATGAATAACAAATTCATGATGCTTCACATTGGCGTGACCTTTAGCAGCGCAGAAATCTGTTTGAGATTGAGCATTTATTTTCCTTTTGCAGGCAAAATCACATCTTGATTGAGCCATGAGGCTGTATTTGTAAATATAGAAGGTGAAATTGTATTATTTATAGAAATTACAAGGAAAATTACATATGAGAAGATTTATGAGACTTTGTCGCCTTTGTTACTCTCCAATTCCATAATGAATTTTTCAAATGTCCAATGCTGATGATTCTCAGTTTCCTGGACTTTAGTTGGAATACGTAATCATCTGGCTGAAAGGCTCAGCAAAGAGTGGAGACTAATTTAATATCCATACTGATGGATTTGGATATTATTCAAGAGAATCTTGCATGTGGCGGCAAAACAGATGAATTTCCTCCGACGTGCGAATGCAAATTGCACTCGTGCATCACTGAATTAATGCCCCACATGCAGTTGATACACTTTGAATTCCAAATGGCCAGGATTGTTGATCCTTCAGCACCACTTTCTTTTGTTAACCCCAGCAAATTTGCAGAAGCCTCACTAATGCTGCAAATCTGGACGCCTGAAAGAGAATTTCCAGCGTGTTAAATGCAAGTGAGTGTGTTTGCATTTACACGCCATGCATAATTGTGCTAAATTGTTCGGTGGGAAAATTACCTTCCTGCACTTGATCCGCAGCGGCGCTTTTCTTAAACACCCAATTAAGTCCCGCTGACTTCAGATCCACGACACTCAGTCTCTCACACTTTTTTCCTCAGGCTCATTATGTGATTTGTCTGGGAGATTAACCGTTTCCCCCCTCATGTGCTCGAAGGCCACTGCTGAGGATGGCAGGAAGGGATCACGTTCCCAAGTGTCTGCGTCATCGACTCGTAAATGACACCTTCATCTTCAAAATCTCATTTCCGGGCTGCGCAAGAGGGCAATAAAGTGACAGGTTCTTTTCACGTCGAGTACCAGGCCGTGTAATTGAATAAATTTGAGCCGTAATCGAATATTTTGCCAAACCTATTTTTGGCTGAATTTTATCGTTCATTGGTCACTTTCAAATCACTTTCAGTTGGAAAAACTCAATAAATACACATTTAATACATACAAATTCTATTATTAGTCAAAACATATCAATAGGAAAACCTTTTCAGGATCCCTATGGATATTGATAAAAGTCGCAAAATTGGATTTATAGGAATTTGTCACGATTTGCCATGGCTTCCTGCCCCAAAAATGAACTCAAGCGCTCCCTTTTTGATGTAATAAAACCAAAATAGAACTGCTATTCACTCAAATTCTGTAAATAAACACACTTTGGCGACTTGTTTGCACTGTATATTCACTTTTTTTTTCCTCCCCCTTCACATTGAAAGGTAAACCGCCAATTTACCCTCCTTTATGCGATTCCACCACTCAATCATTTACTTTTTCTCCCACTTTTGACTCCACATTTGCCGAATGAATTTCATCCGGCGCGAGAGTGATTGATTGAAAAGGTCAGGAGGTCTTCGGCTGAGATGAAATTCTCCTTCGACAACGGCTTTTCACACAGCCCAGAGACTTTCGGGGATTTCCTCGTGGGTGTTAAAGGGATTTAATCTGAAGAGATTGTTCAATTTCCTCCTAATCATCGTCTGCGAGTGGGCGAGGAAAACACTCTTCTGAGTCAATTCGCTGAAGCACTGCCTTTGCTTTTTCCTCCGCAGACATTCCGCTGGAGGAAGCGTAATAAGAAAAGGTCAATTTTAATTGACCCAAACACACTGTGGGAAGGTTAATTTACTACAATGAGACCAACAGAAATGTCTGTTGGACACTCTCCAAGTCAGGGGAATTTTACCGAAAATCCGCTCCTTGAAATTACCACAGAGAAAAACGACGAATTGAAGTCGATTTATTACACTTTTCAGCACTCTTTGGGAAAAGTGTGCCTGACGGGGGCGTAAAAAATAAATTCAACACGCAAAATCATTAAATATTCCACTAGCAATTGAGAGGCAATCCTCAATTTATTCCACTTAACCAGAGCATTATTGTACATTCTGTATTTTCAATTGTATTGAAATGTTGTCAATACAATGCCACGTGTATAATTACTGTTTTTATTCATGCAAATTTCGTGACATTTTATCCATGTCATTAATTAATTATCATCCCCTATTTAAATTACTCTCCTGAATTAATTTTTTTTTTGCTCCAAGCGGCCTCATAAAACATACGCCATTGGGAGTAAATTTAGAAGCAAATTATTATTAAATATTTGCATTGAATGTTTATTATCTCATTAATTTCGACAAAAGTGCAGCTAAAAACTCTGCCCTACAAACTTCCTTTCTTCCGATGAAAATTCCTTCCTCGATTTCCTTCTTCCTCCTCGTCTGAGTCTATTAATTCCTTTCCGTGCTGTGCAAATAATGGCTGAGGAGGAAGAAAAAGTGGGACAATGAATAAATAGTGAAGCATTTCACGAAGACTCTTAATTTGTTATCCTGCCGTATAAAAGTTCCCTTTCACGCGATTTGCCGAGGATTATGGATCCGAAACTTCGATGACGCAAAGACAGAGGAGATAAATGGAGAATGGTTTGTCGTGATGGAAAAATTAGCAGAAGAACGAGAGGAAAGAAGACAACAATTTGCATTGAATGGTTGTAAAGAAGCTTGTATTTGTAACTTAATAAATCAAAGGAATAATAAATCCTACTTTGCCATTTTTCAAGCTGTTTAGTGTAAATGTTGAGCACTTTGTGAATATTCTCTAAATACCTTTTGTAAAATCTTACACCAAGAAGTAAATAATAAATATTTCCCACGCGCGAAACCGTACAACGGCCAGCTCGGACTCGAACCTCGAGCGTTTCCCGCGCTTTTCAGTACTTCTTGGCGAAGTCATCGAAATCGTCGAAGTGCTCGTCGTGGAAGTCGTCGAAGCGCCTGTGGTGATGCGGGCTGGCGCTGGAGATGGGCCGGCAGTGGCCAGGCGGCGGAAGGAGGTCGTGGTCAAAGCGCGGACAGGGATGATCTGCGACTGGCGAGGCGGCTTCGTAGCGACGAGACAGGAGAGTGAACTCCTGGTGAGCACTGCAGAGTGTGTGCAAACGCTGCAGCAGATCCGCTTCCGGCAGATCTCTCATGTGCAGCAGCCGAGCCACGGATGCTCTGAAGGCTTGCAATTGAGACAAGCGATGGTTGCAGTCGGCGAGACTTGTCTTTATTCTGGTCATCTCATCTCTGAGATTCTGCAAAGAGAGATTGTCCTTAATTAAAAACACAGGGCTTCAGAGGATGCTTGAAGTGAGCTCACAGTGATAACTTGCTCATCCCGACAGCGTCGCTCATTTGAGGACTCCACAGCTGATCTGGCTCGCGTCTTGTAGTTGGAAATCTGCGACTGAAGCTTGCATTTCTCCGTCTCCAGGTCGTGGAGGCGCGCCTGGAGTTCATCAATCTTCCTGGATCTCTCCAGAGCAGTGATCTTGAAATCAGCCGCTTCAGACAGCTGAGACTTCACCTCAGCAAGCTGGGCTTTCACCTCCAGCAGCTGTTGGAAGTTCTTCTCAGCATTCTTCGTGCTTCGCCGAGCTCTGTGAATTGCCTCATCCCTCTCGGTCTGGAGGACAGCTTTGGTGCGTGCCCCGTCCTCCAGGAGGGCAATCTTCCTCTTCAGCAGCTCAAGATGAAGATCTCGACGCTGAACCTGCTCTCGCAGCACTCTCAATCTGCGCTGGAGAGTGTAAATCACGGAGCTCTGCAAAGAAATGAGAGATCAGGGAAATCTCTCCATCGACAAGTGTGAATCCTCACCTCTTTCAGTGGAATGTCATGGCATGATCTCTCGCGTCGCAACTTGGGCAGATGATGGTGATTGTGAGAATGATGATCCCAGAATGTGTGGTGCTGATGGACAGACAAGGGACAATGAGATGGAATTTCTCCGAAAAACTCACCGAACTCTTCACCTTTTCTCCATGAGATCCGCCGTGGTTCTCGAAGAAGATCGCCATTCGCTCTGCGCGCTCCAAGAGACCATCAGCCATGATGTGGGTGTCGTTCCCATGCGCTGGTGGCTCAGTACACTCGCTCCAGCACAGAGCTCTCGCCAGACGCACTAAATACTCAGCCAGGCAAGTGTGATCCGCCCGCATGGCCTGGAGATCCGCATGAGCCTTCTCGAAACGCTCCTCAATGGAACATCTCTGGGCTTCCTCGGCTCTCAGGCGACACGACGTGGTCTCCTCAGCCTCCCGATGGCGAGTGCCCTCCATGGCGATCTGTTCCCTCAGACTCTCCACTTGCTGGTGGAGCTGCTGGCTGTGACCCACCATTTCCCGCAGCTTGTCCTTGACCAGAGTTTCGCAGGGCTCAGGGACGCCAATAGTGTTGGCCACGTGTTTGAGGAACTGCAATCGGTCGCACTGGAAGCGCTCCAGATTGTTCTGCAGACGTCCACAGCGGCTCTCGAAGCCTCGCAGTTCTTCTCTCAACTTGTCACCGCACAGCTCATTGTCCGTCAGCCGATCCCTGGTCATGTGCAACTCCTTCTCCAGCTGCCTATTCCTGGACTCCAGATCGTCCGCCAGGGACTTCAGGGCGTCCGTCTGCGACTGCATCCTCTGCCTCTCCGACGTGGAGGTGTTCTTCACAGTCAGCAGTTCGGATTCCGTGTTTGTCAGCGTCTCGCAAGTCGCCGTGACTTTGTTCCTCAGGCGCTGGAGCTCCGTGACAATTTCTCCGGCCTTGGTGAGGACCAAGTCCGGCGATAGAACCGTGTTGTCACAGACATCAATGCCCAGGCAGAGACAGAGGCGTCGCAAAAGATCATGGAACTGACTCTTGGTCTGCTCCTTGTGCGCCTCCTCAGCGCTGAGATCACACTCCAGCCGGCGCAGTTTCGCGCACAACTCCTTGGCTTTGTCCTCGAGGCATCTCTTGTCGCGCTGGAAAGTCGACACGGTGGTCTCATTGCGCGTCTGGGCATTTCTCTCGCGAGTCTCCGAAGCCTGCAGTCGAGCCTGCAATTGATAAATGCTCTAATTATTCAAATCAAATACAGCAAACTTCTTGAAGTTGTTAGAAAACTTTCTGACTGTTATCAAGATATATTGCCGCTTGATCGATTTTCAAACGCATTTCAGTCACTCCTGAAAGTTTTATCAATTGAAATGTGCAGAAATTCACAGTTCCACTGCACAGAAATTTTTCACTGGGTTTTTTTTCTTGTCAGAAACTCACCTGAAGAGATCCAATCATTGCCGATTGTCTGGCTGTTTGAGCCCTCAGAGACTCACATTCGCTCTCTTTGGCGCAAAGAGCGCTCTTCGTCTCGGAGAGATCTCCCAAGAGACGGTCTCTCTTGTAGGTGGAAGCTGCCAGTTCACTCCTGAGTGTTGTGACCAAGTCCAGAGAGTGTCCCAGGTCGCTGCTGAGAGCCACCGGACAGGGAGGCTCCGGGATTTGCTGGAACGATCGAGATAAATAAGAGAATCACTTTAGAGAAGAGCAACAAGAGATGTCCTACATGATGATGATGATCGTAGGAGTGAACAGAAGGAGGATGAGTGGGAAAATTCCGCCTCATTTTGCCGTCAGTGCTTTGATATATCAAATCCGTGAATTCTCGATGGGAACTGAGGCCAAGAGTGACACGAATGTGGATTAAAAGGTAAAAGTTCCTGTGGGAATTCCTCGCGAATTCGCGCAGTTATCGAGCCCACAACGAACACCGCACCAAACCGAACAGGAGGAATTAGTTTATCAACACTGTTATGGCAACGGCGGGAATTCCTCAACCATGTTCCGGAATTCATTGATTCCCAGCCAAGGTGAGTGACTCTTCCCTCCTGTAATCCCATCAGGCACGGGAATTGTCGCCGTTCTCCCCAATTGTGGGCCCACTTTCTGCCCTATATGAAATCCAATGGGATTGTATTGACAAAACAAATGCAAAACATCCCGGAAAATTTTGGGGGCGACACAGGATAAGGGTATGGCCATAAACAGGGATTTTTTATTCCTTTCAAATACTGGCGGGACATTTCCCCAAAAACCACCCGCGCACACACAATTAGGGAGTGAATTAGTGGCTCAAACGCACACAATTAATTATCACACAATGGCGCGCACTCACTTCGCTGCACAGGACATTAAATATCTCCCAATCTCTCTCGCTGTTGCCCGACTCGTCATCATTTGGCGGATTTCCGGTGGCATTGTTCTGATCCTCGCTGCTGATTTCGCTGCCTCTCGTGTACATCCTGCACTTTCACTCTCACTTCAGCCACTGAACTGCCCGCCGAGCCGCGGGGAGCGCCAGCGAGGGGATCTCGCGCCGAGGGCGTTTCTAGGCAATAGTAATTTCCTCCCGCCTGGACTCCATTGCCGAAGAAGTGCTGCCCTATTGTCAGCCGATGATTTCTTTGAGCCCCTTCTTATCTACTCAATCGAACCACTTCACGGCAATTTTGCGTGGTCGATTCCGCGAAATGGATTGTTTATTGCAGAGCAATTCCAGGACTTAGTGTTACACGTCAATTTTCGTTACAGTTTTACGGCATTTTAACATAATTTTCAGACATTTTAGCAGGTAATATAATATAAATTTTGCAATGAAGTGCAAATGGACAGTGAAACCATAAAGTTCACATCGGATGATTTTGTATGGTGAATTGTATATTCATTCTCTCGAGGAATCCACATTTGAAAATTTAGAACTCCTCATTCGAGGATCTTCAAGCATCTATTCATCATTATACTCTTTGATATCTTTCCACTAACATTTTGAAATATTATTTTATAGGTGCAAAGACGAACAACTTTAATATTATTCTGATATCTCTTTAATTTTGTAGAAGAATATAAATGACAATGTGAATCATTGCAAGTATTTAATTTCGTGTGATTGACTGTATTTTTAACAAAAATCATTACATAAGAGTGGATTAAGTGACAGAGAAATACTTTGATTTTACGCGTACTTCATTCCAGGGTACACAGAAGAAAACTTCTAACTCAAAGGTTTTGTGTTTAGTTTATTTGCAAATTGGCAATCCATACTCAATGCATTGTTTATGGGCATTTTCTGGGGATGATTTTATTGCCCCAAACCTCGGGACGACACGTAGGTGGGATGAGATAGCCCAGGAAGTCTTGCCGTTGGTGTGCGCTTCCGTCGCTCTTCAGTGTGCCGCGCGAGAGAAAGAGGGCAGTGGGAATAGCTGTGACTTTGTGCGGCTGTGCCGAGTGGAAGGTGAGCGTACAAGGATTTCACGTGGTGCCTCTGGCACACACTTCTCTCGTGGTCTCTCTCCACACGCTCCTTCTGCGCCTCTAAATCCACGGACGTCACACGCGTCTTCTGCAGTCCTAGTCGGAGATTTAGACTCTGGAACGTGCCCTACTCAACACAAAGGGATTAACGCTCGAAGGGCGACACTTTCTGCACTTGGTGTGTGTATCTAAATCCGCTGGCGGGCCGTGCGCGCGAGCGAGACGGCGCGACGTGGCGCTTGAAGGGTTTCGCTCGCGCGCGCGAGATCCTGTCTTTTGCGGCCGGGTAGCCGGGCCAGCGACAGAGCGTGCCGGGGAAGCAGCCGGGCGTTGCGCCCCGTCTGCACTCCTAGTGGCTCCAGCCGAAGCTGCAATCACGGTCGGCACCACGCACGCCTCCCGGCCACCGCGTCCCGGCGACCTCCTGCGCCTTCTGGCCGCCGAGTCGACTACACTAGAATATTCGAATTTATAGACTCTCTCCTTCCGTGGCAATCAATTGCGCTCTTCAAGTAGATGCTCGCCGGGGCAATTAGCCAGCCACCGCCACATGTGAGTGGCACATAAAATAATTTCTAATTTCATACTATGCCGTACATCTTCGCGGAAAAAGTTCCATCTCGTGCTTCTTTGTAGTTGCGCGCCATCCTTTTTTGGCGCGTCGCGACGCCTGTAACCCGCCCGATGTTACACCGCTCGGCGTGCCATCGGGACGCCGTCGTGCCGGGGCGCGCACTCGGCCACCGAGCAGCGCCACCTTCGCTGCCGGCTGCGCCCTGTGCCGCTCCTGCTATCCTGTTACAAAGGTTACAAAGATCGAACGGGTTATATCCCGGAACGAAAAAAAATCGCGTTTGTAACATTGCGACAATGGCGCGATAACGACACCTCCTTCCGCGACAAGGGCCACTCAATCGCCATCCGGCCAAATCAGCCCCATCCTGCCACCCCCCGGGAGTCCTTCGGCTGGAGGGAGAGGGCGCTCTCCGGCAGCTGCCAATAGAGTCTCGCCGTGAGTTACTGCGGGCGCCCGAGATATTTCAAATGCGCGACGTACAAAAACGAACAAGAGAAATAATAAAACAGACTCAACCAGGCGGCCATATATTTTTCACGCGACACTCTTTCTCTCCGGCAGATGTGCAGATGGGAGATGACAGCCGCAACCTCACCACCGGCGACTGGCGCAAAAGCTATTAGGTCTAGCCTAGGTCTAGACTGGGGCTAAAATCTAGGTGATATGTACCAAAACCCAGCCTTGGCCAGGACTGTGACGAATCTCTTGGGATTAACTCTCGTCAGCCGCTTCGGCTCTCAACGCTCACATCGGCAGCAGAGGCGAGGTGAACGAACCATCAACATCTGGCCTTCCTTTAGCTGCTCAGCTGACTCTTCCGCCTCGCTCTGGCGAACTCCACAATCATCTCTCCATCACGACTCGCGTGGCGCTCTGGGGAGATGATGGTTGCCTAGTAGAAAATGTTCCTGAAGGATGCTGTTTCATCTTTCATCTCACAGCAATCTCGCAACTCGTCTGGCGAAACAGTCGCCACGCTTGCTTCGTCGCCAATCGCCCGGCGCCCACTGAATCTGCCACACCGTCAGAAGTGGGATTTTCCGGCCCTCCTCTGAGGACTCGGCGGCGCGTGCTTCATGCTCGACAGTTCGGCGTAAAGTGAGCTCGCGCGCGCTCTGTCTGCGCAATCTCCCACGGCGCGTGCTCTAAAAATAACCACCCCCTCGGCAGAAGGTGGTTGTTTGATGTGGGATCGGGGTCGGGAAAATCGAGGCGTCGCGGCTCCGTTCCTAGCACTTCTGCTGCCTTGGTGAAAAGGAACGGAAAGCGATTGCCGTCGCGACGTCCGCTTTCCCAGGAAAAGCCGGAAAAGTGCCACCGTCTCTGTCCTCACCGGCAAAACTCCCACCGTGCTATTCTCCGCAAGAATCAAGCCAAGAATAGTATCGGGCACTCCGCACCCATTGTGCTGCCGATGCGTCGCGGCACGTCTGTGGGTGGCTTGGAGGTCCTTGCGACGCAGCTGCATATTCTGGCCGTCTGGTAGGATTTGGCGGAAGCCTGAAATTGACGTCGACAGGACATGCGAAGGAGGGCGAGTGTCCTCGCGAAGTGTCCTCGAAGGACAACCCCTGTGAAATGTCTGTGAGCATCGCCCGCGATGCTGCATTGTTGGTAGCCGTCGTAGTTGTCGTCCAATTCGTCGGCGTCCACCTCCTCACACCGTGCACGCCTCCTCAGAACCTCCCCATGAAATCGCATCCCTGCCCATCGGCAAACCCTCGATTTGCCGCCAAGATTTTTTCAAGAAACAGCGCGAAACTTGAATTTCCTGTTTGGCAGCTATTCTTGACCCGCAACTAGGTCCAGACGCTAATCTTGACCTCAGTTAGGGTTTGCTAGAAATATTACTACAAGTAATTTAGTTTATTGTTTACTGCTTGACTTGAACCACTTAACCTTAACCCATGACGCGAGGTATGCTGTTCAAGATTAATCTGCTGAATGCACTTATCATTGAATTTTTTCCAGATATTTTCAATTAGGACCGGTTTCTAAATCCGTTTAAAATTTCTCACGGGTAATTAAGAAGTTTTGTTAACACTCTTGAGATTTCATAGCGCAAAAGGTCCAAAAGAAAATATCTTTTTCTTTTATTTACAAATTATTAATCTCAATTTTTTTTTACTACCAATTACTGTCGCTCTAATTTCACACTTATTTGCCTGTGGCTTAGAATGAACCGCATGCAAAACCTAAAAAAAAAACTTTTGGGTTAAGGTGCAAACGTCTCGTGAAACTAATTGTACGTTTGCGGCTTCGCACGTGTGAACTGAGCAAATTGCTCCAAACGCTCCAAAGCAGCCTTGAGTGTGTGCGGATCGCGTCTGAGTGTGTGAGTCTCGTGACGCTTCTCCGGCTCCACTGACGTCGGCGAAACAAAGGCAGAAGCGAGCCGTGAAGGCAAGTTATGCGCGCCTGGTCGGCGAGTGAGACAGGTGGGACTGCCTCAACTCGGTCGCCTCGTGCGATCAACACGCCCACATTTATACGCTCAGTTGCTGTGATTCCACGCTCTGCTCCGCGCGGGCCCCACAGATTCGGCTCCTTCCACTTCCGGTGGGCGTCCTTAAGCTCCGTCCCACGCACTGCTCGGCCGTGGCTCGGGTTCTGGCGTGTCCCTTTCAGGACTCCGCGTGCGGCACGTGCAGGCCTGCCTGGAGAGGTTCGCCGGCCGCCCGGGCGTTGTGGGCATGGAAAACGTGGGGCTGGTTCGCGCGCCCCGTGCGCGTCAGGACCACCCCCAGGCACGCGGTGTGAAACACACCCACCCTGCCGGCCGGGCGCGCGGAAAGCTCGCAGTGCGCAATCCACGCGCACTCTCGAGGGTGAACAAGGGGCGAACGCAGGGTGTCCTCCACCCACCCGGGCCGTAAATCTGCCAGGGTGCGCCGTGGATTCTGGTATCCTGTTCAAAAAGCACCATGCGTCATTTTGACTGACGTTTTTTGGACAGCTGTCAATCTCCACGGGCCAGGCCGCCCGGAGAGTGGGTCGGAGGTCACGCGACGCGGGGTGGCCCGCGCAACTCCCGCCGGGATCTTTGGGTCATTGGGCTAGTAAACGGCAGGGACAGGCACTCATGGGTTGACACTATCTCGACGCGAGTGTGATGCTGGCCGCCCACCCAGGACTCCCCTCGAGAGCTTTCGCGCCCCTCCTCATCGATTTTTTTTCCTTCTCTCCATCCTCGTGGCGGCGGAAAAAAGCGGATCCCACGCTCTCTGGCAGCCTGGTCCGCATGCCAGCCCGCACTTTCCCGTGGCTCGAGAGTGCGGTTGGAAGACGCTGGCTTCCCACGGCGCAGATAAAAGTTCCCAACGGTCGCTATCAATTCCTGTTCCACAATCGCCGACTCTCTCGCGCTCACGCCCCTTGGCCAGCGGGACTTTCCACAAGATAGACAGAGAGCGGCTGCTACATATGTATATATTTCGTCTATTCTCCACACAATATACATATAGAGAGAAGTGTACATCTTGAAGAAGTCGTTCTAATACTGCTAAATAGCCACTCTATCGTCTCTATTTGTCTCCTAGATAAATGCACACGTTCAAGGCATTAAATATTCACTCTTTTCATTTTATGTACATTGACATGACATCCTTGATACATTATTATTTACGTATGAAGGCGCGCGTCGCACCACTTCAGCATCTTCAGTACAAACTGTGGTTTGTCTTGTAAGAAAATCAAGTCTTTTCGGCTGTTTCATCACTTAACCTAGTGGCGATTTGTCGTCCAATACACCCAAGCACACAATGAAGGTTTAGGTTTAGGCGGAAATTTTACGGGTTTACAGGTAAAGCACTGGAGTTTTGCCTAATTCACCTATCTAAATGTCCATTAAGCGAAAGTCTTTAACAATATTTTACGTAGTTCAAAACAGATTTAAGTCGTACTATATACTAGATCTTATAGACTTTAAGTATGTTGTAAATATTCATGTTCTACGTATTTAACTTAATCTCTCGGCGTTAAGACCTATATTTACGTCTCTGTAAGAGCTCACAATATATCTCTTCACCAATATTTACACACTACGCGTACGTCATCGATTCACGTATGATTTGAAGCCTAAGCCTTGACCTAAACCCTCACTCTGTGCCTCAATCACTTGGCATGCTATGGGAAAATTCTGTTTAGAGTTGCTTCTCCACTTTCTCCGCCTTGAGGTTCAGTTCCAGCTTGAGCTTCTTCTCGCCGTCCTTTTCCTCTTCCGCGTCGCCGTGCTCAACGGACTTGTTCATCAGATGCGGCGTGTTCCAGGGCTGCACGTCGCCGGAAGCCCAGATCGAGTAGACGACCGTCGTGACGACGAAGATGATGAAAGCAATCCAGAAGACGAGTCGCCACTCTGTTATGCTGCGGTTGGGCGTCATCACGCCCACCACGTACGGCGCCAGGATACCCGTGATGGCACCGATACCGTTCGTGATGGCCATGAGGGTGCCGGCGTAGTTGGGACTCAGGTCCAGAGGGTTGACTTTCATGCCCGGGTAGAAGGTGCCCATGATGCCCATGGCGATAGTGAAGAGGATGACCACGAGAGTCCGGTCACAGCCGGCGTAGGACGCGGCAACGATGAAGATGGCCGGACCGACGGCCGCGATACCGGTGAACCACTTCCTGGCCGCCGTAATGGACAGGAACCTGCGCGCGATGCACCAGTCGCTGAGGAAGCCCGTGAGGATGGCGACGATCCACATGAGAGCGTATGGCAGTGAGGAGTAGATGCCGTTCTCTTTGATGGAGAACCTCAGCACGTCACTCATGTACTTGGGCAGGTCGGTGACCATGATGAAGAAGCCCCAGTCGTGACCCACCTGGGCGCAGATAAGCGCCAACATGGGGGCGCTGGTGAAGATGGCGCGCCATGGCGTGGGCGGGAGGCTCTTGTCGCGCTCCAGGGAGCCCAGCTCCTCCTTCAGGTACGCCTTCTCCTCGTCCGTGATGAAAGGATGGCTCTCGGGATTGCTGTAGCACAGGACGACCTGCAAAGCAGAAGGGGAGGAAAGGGTCAGTCTCACGTGGCTCTGAATCGACTTAATCCCATCAGCCGTGACTCAGATACTCACGAAGAGGACAAACCAGAGAACGCCCAGACCGCCAAAGAAGTAGAACACCGAGGCCCAGCCGTCGATGTTGTGCAAAAGGACACCAGATATGGAGTTGCCAACAATAGTGCCGACCTGCGGAGAAAATCCCGATGAGCCGATTAATTTATCATTAGTTGGACACCTCATCAATCATCAATGTGTGGCTTGAATCTAATCACTCGTAAATTGACTAATAAAAATCTTATCAGCAATAAATCACACTTTTCAGCGGAATTTTGAACTTGGAATCTCGTGCTGCACGAGATCCCAATCGCTGCCCATCAATGGATAAATGGACTCTTTGTTTCCAATGATAGATAATTGATTTTGGAGTAGTTGTCACATGTTGCAGATAAGCGTGAAGAGGGGCTTACCAGGCCGCCGCCAAACACGAGTGAGCCCAATTTGCTGCGCTCCTTCAGCGGAATCCACTGTGCCAGAAGAGCCGACAGGGCGGGGAAGGTCGTGCCCTCGCCCAGACCCTCGAGGAATCTCAAGACGATCAGAGCCGTGGAGCCGCCTGAGGATTGACGAAAGACGTCACAAAATATGTTTAATGAGAAATTAAGGGGGAGATAGAATGCCCAAAAGGGATGTGAAGTGATTAAATATTTGCAAGATTCTTCTGTTCAAAGCTTTTGTTTTAAATAACAGAGAACATTGGAATATGTATTGAAGTCGAACATAAGCACAGAAAAAAGTTTCGAATTAGGAAAATGCTTCTTAATGGTTTCTCATCTATTTTTGAAATAAAACTCGCACTTTGGTCAGACTGATAATGTCAAGAATAACCAATTATTTGTAAAGATATTGCTAATTTTTCCGGTTTAAGCAGTTGCGCATTAACTTTTTGACTCTATTGATCTATCAGAATCTTGCAAATATTCCTAAACTTCTTCTAATAATTAGAAGATGTGACGAATGCCATTTCCTCCTTGGGTGAAAGACTCAAACTCACCCCAATTGATGGTGACTGGCGTGATGAGGGTGAAGATGGCTGTTGAAAAAATTCCCAGCGACAGAGTGTACTTCCCGCCGAACTTCTCGGCCAAAAGTCCTCCAGGAAGATGAGTTACGACGTAACCCCAGTAGAAGGCGGACAGGATGAGTCCTTGCAGCTCCTCGCTCCACTCAAAGTCTCCACCGCCGCCATCGTCACCGCCGGACGGGTCCGCTGGGCAGTAGTCCTGGCCGTCGCCTGTGATGTTCTCATAGTCCTTCTTCACCATCTCCGTGATGGCCACGGAGAGACAGATGCGCATTGTGTAGGCATTGGCGATGGCCAGGAAGCCCATGATGGCCAAAACGACGCGCTGCGGTATGAGAAAGCCTGCCCAAGGAAGCATGAGATCAGCGTGGTGAAGATTAATGTGGAACGCGCGTTATCAATGATATGGCGAAATGATCTGCGCCCCATTAACAGACTGTAACTATTCTGTATCAGTAAACAAATAAATCATAAGTACAATAACACACTCATTCATGTATTTTATTAGATTTTTTCTGAGTGCCTCCGACGCCAATAAAATGATATTGTTTTATGAATTTTCCAAACGCCAATCAATTGTTGTGTGTTTGTAAAATTCTTTTGGATTTCTGCTTCTGATCCACTTTTATGGAACCGCACACACAATTGTCATTATTATCTCTGTTTGCAAGTTGTTCAGCTCAGGTGTGGGGAAAAATGAGGGAGCTGATGATGTGGAAAGTTACCAAGAAATTTACACTTTCACACCCATCAGAGAAATGGATACTTTACTTGATTAATTGAAAAATTACCTGAGCAATAGCAGATGTTTGCATTTTTATGGCAACAAAGGTAAATATTTGAAAATTTATTCAGAAATACTATAAATTCTCGCATAAATTACTGAGCATTGCGCAATCGTGACGATCATTCTCATATGTAATCCTGAGAAGAAATACAGGAATGCTTATCTCTCATCTTTTCGTCTGATTTTTCTCTCTTTCTTAACAAAAATCATGATTAAAAACATGTTCATCAAGTTTAGCGCTCATTTCGACACCCATCAACATCCTAAAGCATAAATCTCATGCATTATTGTGTTTTTGATGAATTCTGCACGCGAAAATGAACAGAAAAATTGATTCGGCAGAGCTTTCACCAGGCGTCTCCATCGTCAGTGCTGAGAATTCATTCAGAGAATCGCGCACAGTCTTGCGAGATTGCGTGCATAGAGAACCATGCAATTTAGCATCAATTTTCCATGTCAAACTGCAACATGGGAATTTCTGAGCATTACTCAGATGACTTCAGCAGAAAAGATTGCAGCCCAGGGCAAAAGTGGCGGGAAAATGAGAATGAAAGTCAGGTAAATTTCCTGTGTTTATTGGAGACTTTCACGACTTCGTAACCTTGTTGTCAATTGACTGCAGCAAATTCATCAATATATCACATAACATTGCCTAATCTGCGTGGCGTCTATTGTGGTGGGTGTTTTTCGACAAGGTGCAAGAAAAAATAATCCACGCGCTCTTGAAGTGTCGGCAAAAAGGGGATTTTGTCCGCTTTAATCGCTTCGCGAATGTGCGCGGTGATTAAACTTATGCTTTTTCCATGCACATATTTTCGCCATCCGGCAAAAAGCATATTCCATTTGTGGGTGTTGGTGCAAAAAAGAGGAAATGCTTTTCTACTTTAATTGAATGTTTAGTTTGTATAGCGCACGGATAATGAATTGAGCTCGCACAAAAGTAGACCACTAATCGAACATTCTTGGCATTAATTCACTGGTATTGTTTGATATGAATCAAACACAGTTGTTCTCTTAGATAACAATAAGATTTTTCACAACCCAGTTGAAAAGCTTCGCGGCGCGAGAGAGAAAAAATATATCTGTGAGGTAATTCTAATGGGAGGCAATTTTAGAGCTTTAAAATCAAGGGCAAAGTGCGATATGACGAAATCATCGCTAACCGCTCACCGCCTTTTTTCGTTATTTACATACTTTTCATTGTAAACCAGATTGGCGAGAGAAGAAAAAGCCCCAATTTCACAAAAAAAAAAATGATGATGATCATTTCTTGCTGCAAATGAAGCTTTGAAAGCACAGCTTCAGTGTTGCAATTACATGAGTTGGAATCAACAATCCCGACATGTAACCGTGCGAATTGATTTTGCATAATTAATTGCCTTCTATATGGCTTTTTTAACATCCACTTTGTATGGCTCAAGAAAGTCTTAATTTGAATTTATAAACCAGATCACGCTGGAATCCCACTCTTTCGCTGTTTTTTTCTCGCGCGCGCGCCGCAAAAAAACTTGTTATCACGCTGGCGAAGCTTTTGGCTCACTTTTGGCGAAAAATTTCACGCTGTTTCACGTGGAATTTTCTTCACTTCTGCGGTGCTTTTACATGTGATGGAAAAAATTGAAAGGGAAAACCGCAAAGTTGACTACGAAAATTTATTACACACTCTTTCATTGAGAACGGAAATTTATTGTTGTGCTAAATGGAACGAATTAAGAGATATTCCTGTGAAAATTGTATGTCAGAATTTGTAGTTCGCGCACTGACAAGTTAGGAGGAAAACGATATTTTCGTGAAATTTTCACATGTTTCACACTAAAAGTGGTTATTAAATATTTATAATACATCTCTTCCCAGTGAGCAAAGTCAAAGGCCACAAAAAATACCTCATTAGAGATGTTCGTCGTGTGTAAATTTTGATGAATTATGCGTAGAAAAACTTGTCCACATTTGTCACGTGCCACTAATTCACTTGACATTTGTGGTCAGGAATCGCGAAGGTCAAAGGGCATGAAAAACTGTCGAGGATGAAAGTGCAAAGCGCGTACTTACAGCGCGACACTGTCTTTCGCCATCCCGTCAACATCTTGCAATTGCGCTTCGATCACAAAATCCACAGAAAAAAATATACTATCACACTCTCAATTGGCGACTGCAATCGCTCTCTCTCTCTTGTGCTCCAGGTGTGATCAATTACTAGTAGGATCACCACCTCACCACCCACATTTCCACTCCTCGTGCGCGCACTCTCACAAAAAAACCGCGGAATTCCAGGTTATGTGTGAATCGCCTTCTCCGCGATCACCGCACAATCCAAAAGGTAGCACAACTTCTGTGGGAATGAGAGTCGCGATCACCTGTTGTGGGTCTTTTATAGGTGCTTGTCGGCTCAACACAATTGGAGGTGATGAAGCGAAAAGTGAATTTTATAGTTGCTCACTTCTCGAGTGTGCTATCGGTTGCAGTGAAGGATGGGCGAGAAAAAAAGGTATTTATTGGTGGCTCTCGTGATAAGCCAGTCCATCGAAAATAGTCCATTCGCGCACAGACACTCCAAAAAGAGACATGCGGAAAATCGCCCCGTGGAAATCCACGCTAAATTCCCACTGAGTCAGTTTTATGGCGCGCAAGGAAGAAAGCACTCGAGAAGCTGCTCATCTGCAAGGTCTCGCTGGCACACTAAAATCCAAGCTCTGCGATAAGAAGTGGGGCTTCACTGTCGCAACTGTGGAAGCTGCTCTCAGCGGAGACGATTCAGCCAGACAGCGGGCTTTTCTGCCAAAATTCCCGTACAGACACGAGCAGGACTTTTCTCAAGTTTCTTAAAAAAGCCTGTTTCTGGCTTAGAAACTGTCAGCGGAATCTCGGCTTGGTCGATAAACAATTAAATTAAACACCCTGAGTTTGATGAGATTAAAATTAAAATTCGAAATGATTGTAATAAATTACATTTTTACTAACAAATTGGAATTAAATATTGTCCAAATTTTTTTTTCCTTCTGTGAATATCTACTAATTCATGTTTTCGCGATGTGCATATTAAATTTATTCATTTTGCTTGAGAAAATAGCTTGAAAATGCAAAGCAAAATTGCCCAGATATGTTAATTTTTAGTGAATAAAATTGCACTCCAGTGAGCAACATTAAAACCATAGCATAATCTTATCAAATCCCTCTGGAATTTTCAATTACTTCATGTAAAATTGTCGTCATGGAAGGTCGCGTGCAACTTTTTGCTCGTGTCTGTAAATGATTTTATTATCAGAGTGTATTTGAAATACTTTTAGCTCGCGAGCTTCCAACCTGGAGATTTCTGCTTCCCATCATGTTCATTTAATTCTAAGAGTCAATACAGTCGAGTGTGATAACGACTGAACGGCGATAAACCATGTTACACGACACCAATTAAATGTTGATCGCTTTTTCAACTTGTCTTTTCCCCGCTGCCGCCCCGAAAAGCCCATTCCGGCATGTTTTTAGTGCGAATATTTAAAAAATACTGACCATTTAGTGGCACCACAAATTCCTTGCACTTGAACGCAATTACGAGTCTGATGACGTCGATGTGGTAAAATCTTGTTATGCGATTTCTAATTGCTGTGAAAGCAATAGATGTGTTCTTTATATATTTCGCATATTAATGTTTTTATAGTCAATTAAATTATGCTGGCAAAGTGTGCTTCAGACTACGCAATGTGGCTGCGTCAAATTGTTGTGGCGATTGCGTTCAATTTTCAGTGCATTTGGACCTGAGCTGATAACGGGCAAAACTAAGATTAATATTTGGAGACTTTCGAGCCTTTTTCAACTTTACGAATCGCATTTTATAATCCATAAATGTAAGAGGATGCTTTGAGTCTAATAAATTCTATTGATGACTTCTGTTTTGTTGCAAGGTTATGAACGAAATTTTTTAGATATGAATTTTAACCTAAAAATGTCTTGAATTTAATAGATAATTTTGACATCCTGCAAAACAAAAAAATACTGTTTGACTGAATTATAATTTTTAGTAAACTATTCTTCATATTTCTTCATATGAAACTCAAGAAAAATCCTTTCTTTCAAATGAAACGAATAAATTCAACCTTAACCTCAAAGTTAATATTAAGATTTTTTGAAATGCAAGATAAATTTCATTGATTTTGAAGATTTCATCCGGTATGAGATTCCACAAATTTATCTGCATGTCTTATTCTTATATCACAAAATTCGTCATCTTATATTATAAGATATCAATATAAAGTTGCATACAGCAAAGTCAAGTTGTCACAATAAAGAAGCGCTGAAGTTTGAATAAAAAGCAATAAATTGAGACTTCGTCTGCAATCTATGCAAAACTCAACTCCAATCGCGACGATTAGTAGATCAAACCTTGTTCATTAGACAATCAGAAATTGCTTAATGGTCGCGATGAAAAATGGCTCGCGTGCAGCTCTTTTTTCGTCCAACTTCGGCGCAAAATTCAGTGTCAAATCGCTTGACATATTTTGCCTATGCATATTTGAGTTACTTTTTTTCACGACGGAATATGCAAAAAAGCACGACTTATCAGCGCAGCGCTGAAGAAACTGAAAGCTCGCCAACATTAAATCAAATGGTGGGGAGAGAATACAAATTGTGCGCCATTGAGGAGTGCATTGAGCTTCGCAGTTTTGGCTCAATTTCCTGCATCCGGATTCACTTGATTATGGACACAATGTCGTGATTTTCTACGTATGATGAGTGATTACGTTTTGCTGGGGGACTGAAAAAAATTGAAATGATATTCTGAGAGAGTGAGAAAACCATAATTGAAGCCCTTGACCTTGTTAAGACACACACGCTTAAAATGCGCGATAAATGCACCTTTAAGCAGTTCTCGCCGGAATGCCTAATGAGCCTCCTCTGGCAAAGCCGCAGCATTTGCTCAACTGATTTATTAGGAAATTCTAGCTTTGGTTTATTGATTCTAATGTGGCGTGTTTGGCGCGGAAAAAACACTTTCCTACGCCCGGCCAAAAAATCACGTCGCATGACGTCGTGAAACCGCACGGAATTCTGAAGAAACTACACCAAATATTTGACATACACACGCCTCAAATTGATAGAATGCCATCGTTTTTTTTTTTCTAATAACCAAAAGCAAGATAATAGAGTATAAATTTCCCGCAAAATATTTGCATACCCATATTTGTGTCTCCGCCTATTTAATGTGATTAACTTGCACAAAAAGTCCCATCGTTTTGTCTCTGCTGGTTGGGATTCTCTATTAATTGGTACCGCAAATGTCTTTTCTTCGTGGGAATTCCCCATAACGAGATAATTTCATTGGAATGCGATGGAATACGGCAAAAAGTGAATTTGCATGCTGTTCACACACGAGATTTGGGCTTTGAAAACTTCACGATCTCGATTTTTAGCCAAATAAATTCAAACATTTCAATCTTCTCAGCACTTTTCCCCAATTTCTACAAATTGATAAGACATCCCATGATCAATAGTCAACATTCTCGCAAAACTTCTTCATCCAACTTTCACTTTGGCATGAAATATTTCATTAATTTCACTGAAAGCCACGAGAACTGTTATGTCAACAGAGCTCACAGACAATTTTTTCGCACATCAATCAGCCAAAAATCACTTGGAAAGTGCTTTATTGGCGGGATGAAGCAAAAATCACGTTGTGACCATATTTATTTAGCGCGACACGTGAAGGAAAACTTTACACACGGATCGAATGAAATTGTCCCAGAGCAAAAACACCCGAATTGGGGTAACCTTGAACTCATAGAGGCACTGACGCACTTTGAGGGCAATTTCAGACTGCTTTATTTTATTGGATTTCAATTAAATTAAGCTGAGCGGCGATAAAAAGAGATCCTCGTCGTCTCAATTGAGTGATTTTCAGCAGTTCTTTTTCAGCCAGGAATAAAAATTTTAATTGGAATTATTTTACTACTTATTTTGTAATTTCTTGTGCCTTGTAAATGTATTTTTTTCTATTAGAAGTATTTTAAATATAAAATTGAAGAATAAATAGAACGAATTGATGTGATTAACGGTGCGTTTTTGAAAGCACAACCTCAAACACCAGTCACTCGTGGCGCTGAAGGCAGTTGAAGGGCGAAGAAGTGTCAAGTTGGATTATTTTTATTTTCCGTGTGATGTTTATTTTGCATTTTCCTCGTGAAAAACGTGAAAAACCATGGAAGTGCTGACGGAGCAGCTGGTGAGTAGTTCTCTGCATATCCTCCGGCTGCTGTGCTGAATGTGTCGTTTGCAGGGAGTGCCCAAACGCCAAATATGTGAGACCAAAGTGGCGAATCGCTTTGAGATTCTCGCCAGCAACACCTGGATCAAGTTCCTGGCCAAATACTGCAAGCTCATCCCCTTCCCCACCTACCAGAACCCAATTGAGGACTGGGCGGACTTCGGTGCGGACCCGCACTGGTCACGGCTCTACGTGAGCGTCCTGAAGAAGTACACGCACAAGGTGATTCCGCTGCCGCGCGTTCGCCATGAGCCCATCGACGGCGAGATGCCCTTGTCCTACTCCCAGATCCTGCACTACGTCAGCCAGAGCAACCACAAGAACCTGTGGCGGGCGGCGTACAAGCGCCACGTGGAGTCGCAGGGCGAGAGACGGGACGCCGCCGAGAGCATCCGTCGGAGCGACAAGTCCGTGAATCTCGTGCCGTACGACGTGGTGCTGCGCGAGGCGGTGACCCGCACGTACGGCTGCCCGGTGGTGCACGCAAAGCTGGACAGAGTGTCCGACGCGGAGGCGCTGGCGGCGTGCAGCGAAAGCCAGGAGAACGCCGACGCGAATCTCTACCCTGTGTTAGCGACCATCGAGAGCAACAGCCACTTTTTCGTCATTCACGACCTGGCGCTGAGCAACACCCTCCAGGACTGCATCACATACAGCCCGGCCATCCTGGAGAGGTCGCACAACAAGCCGCTCTTCCTCATCTACCAGCTGTGCAACATCATGAAGGCGATGCACCGGAAGGGACTTTTGCTGGGCGACATCACGCTCGGTGACATTTACCTCACGGAGAACCTCTGGCTGCAGGTGATGCCGCGCATCGAGGCTAACATTCTGCAGCTGGAGAGCGACACGGAGGAGGTGTATGACCTCCTGCCCGCGAACTCCTCGCCCGGCAAGAAGAGGAGCGTCTTCGCGCCGCCTCCGGAACTGGGAGCGCCCTCGTACTCGCTGCGCGACTGCTGCGAGATGTGGTGCAGCGGCCAGCTATCCAACTTCGACTACCTCACAATCCTCAACAACTTCGCCGGACGCCGCATCGGCGTACCCGGACACCACCATATCATGCCCTGGGTCAGCGACTTCGTCTTCCGCAACGGCAACAACTGGCGCGATCTTTCCAAGTCGAAATACCGTCTGAACAAGGGAGATGCTCAGCTAGATCTTACGTTCCAGCCGCTGAATGGCGCCGAGATTCCCCACCACGTGTCCGACGTGCTGTCTGACATCACGTTCTACGTGTACATGGCCAGGCGAACGCCGCGCAGCGTCCTGTGTCGCCACGTGCGCACGGTGTGGGTGCCGGCCGAATATCCGGCGTCCATCCAACGCCTGCAGGAGTGGACACCGGACGAATGCATCCCGGAGTTCTTCACGGACGCCAGCGTCTTCAAGAGCATCCACGAGGATCTGCCGGATTTGGAGGTGCCCGCCTGGGCAAGCTGCCCTGAGGACTTCGTCACGAAGCACCGCGAGGCGCTGGAAAGCACTTATGTGTCCGAGAGGCTGCACAACTGGATAGACTTGACCTTTGGCCACAAACTGAGTGGCGCGGCGGCCGTGAAGGCTAAGAATGTTTGCCTCTCAATGGTGGACGATCACCAGAACCTCTGCCAGCGAGGCGTTGTGCAGCTCTTCACGCACGCCCACCCACCTAAAGTGATCCCCAATGTGTGGCTGTCTAAGAACCAGCCAAGAATCCACAGCCAAATAGCCGAGACGTCCAAGAGAAGGCTCACGAGGAGCTCTGAGGATCTCACAACGCAGCCTGGAGAGCCGCACAGAGAGAATACGCCTTCGCGGCAAGTAACTACGACGCGAGTGATCCCCGAGGACATGTCCATCAGCATCGAGAGATCCATGAGTTGCTATCAGAACGTGCAGAAGACAATCATCTTGCCCAAGGACTACAATCCCGTGTCGCAGCTGATAGCCGTGGAGGCTGTTGACGTTTTTCTGCGCAAAACTTTCCTCAGCGACGGCGAGAATTCGCCAAAAGTGGAGATTCCATCTCGATCCAGCGCTTCCTACATAGCAGGCGAGACAGATTCCGGCTCCTTCACCAACAGAATCTTCTCGGAGACTTACGAGGCGAGTCTGAAGCACAACAAGCGTCTGCTCAATCTGAAGCACAAGAACCAGATCGTCCAGAAGTCCACGAGGAACTACAAGCAGATCATCGCTGAGCACCGACTGCGCGAGCTGCAAATCCTGGGCTGTCTCATCGTGGAGATTTGCCTTCCGCACAAGATGCGCCCGCTGAACTCGGCGGCGTGCGGCGGGACGTTCGAGCAGCGCCTGGCCACATGTCGCAGCATCGTGAAGGCGGAGAAGTCGAGCTTGCCTGCCTGCGTCCAGTATCCCGTCCAGCTCTTCCTCCAGCTCACGGCTGACGAGGCAATCATCACGGAGAAGGGCCTGCCCATCCCGTCGGCTCACCAGATCCTGCAACCGTTGCTCGCGAATGCTCTCTTTCCCTTCCCGCCGTCCTATATTGGCGTCTTCGCCACCGTCGAGACGCTGCAGCGCTTCCGCGGCGCCGCCAGGCTCCTGGAAATGAACACCTTCTTCGAGTGTGATGGCAAGGACTGCGCCAAGTACGAGACAGTGGATCGGACGCGCATGGCCTTCCGCCGGAGGATGGCGGAGTGCAGAGTGAAGGTAAGAGAAGCGGTTAAAAGCCTTAAAACATACTCAGTTTTAGTCAGAATTGAATTCTGACTTGCATTGGCTCACTTGTTATCAATTTGTATAAACGCACGAATATTAATCATTTGCTTTTGTTCCTCAAAAAAGGCGTGCGTGAGTCTAATCGATTCTATCCTGGAGCCTATCGGCAACGAGCAGTTCTCCGCAGTGGAGTTACTTCTGCCGCACATAGTGGAGCTCATGTCGCACGAGGACACCGCAATTCTGGCCGCATGGTATCTCTTCGATCCGCTGGCAGCTGTTCTAGGTCCAGAGGAGACACGTAAGCACCTGCTGCTGCCGCTGCTGCGTCTCTATGACTCCGACGGCGGCGCCCCAATAAACTTCGACATGGCGCGCTCGGGAACAAACGCGTCGTTCAGGAGCAAAAAGTCTGTCAAACTGTACCACCACAGCTTCCTCTTGCGACTCATCGTGCGATTTGGCTTGCGGGTCTTTCTTGGCAACTTCATAGCGCCTCTCATTGAGGCTGTGGGCGGCTACAAGGAGCCGGAGAATGCACCGGCGCTGCACTGCCACGATGCCAGGCATCGCGTGAAGGCGAACAGAGGCCCGAAGCTGAGCGATGAGCCCAACTCTCCGGACTCTGGGGCGGAAGACAGGGCAGCGCTGAAGGATAGCTCATCGTCGGATCAGGACGGACTGTTCTTCTTCGAGCACGAGGAGGCGTCGAAGATGGACGGTGAGGAGGACGCTGAGAAGAACATCATGCACCTGATGGATCAGCTGGAGTTCAAGTCGGACGGCAGCGTGTCAGAGTTGCAGTTAAATCACGCACAGGCGGAGGAAGTGACAGAGGATTCCGTGGTGGAGAATGATGATCCCAAGTCGCCCACAATTCCCATTCCGCACTCTGTCAGGCGGAGTGATCAGGTGTTCTCGATCGGCTGCGAGGTTGGCAGCCGCAAGAGCGTGGACTCCAATGAGATTGCCGCGGAGAAGCCGCACGAGCGCGCGCGGAAGTCTAGCAGGATCTCAGAGATGAGCGCTGAGAGTCTCATTTGGCTGTCGCATCGTCTCGGGCCGGTGCTCACGGCGCGCTATCTCACGCGGAATCTGCTGAAGATGCTGACGCTGTGCTATGTGGGCCAGGAGAATCTCTTGCCGGACGACTCCAGGCCGCACGCGGACATCAACAGCTTCTCCATCGCCTGTGGAAGAGTGGCTGGAGACTACAGCGCTGCCAAGATCCTCGAGTGTCTCACGGCCATTGCTGCTCTCTTCGGCGAGCAGCTAATCCTGCTGCAATATCTCCCGCACGTGAGTGAATTGATCATTCTCTGCAAGAAACGCATCACGCCGAGTCTCGAGGGAGCGCTTATCAGCTCGCTTCAGCTCGTCAAGTACCTGGTGCCCTGTCTCAGCGACTCCACCATCATGGATCAGTTGCACGTGAGTTCGTCTTCTTGAATTTCAGTCCATTTTTCTCTCAGAGCAAGTTTAAAGCTACTGTTTCGTTTGTTTTTTTCCAGGACATGATTCTCCAGTCGATTGTTCATCCCATCATCAAGATCTGTTCCAGCCGATGCCCGATGCCGAACGGATTCCTCGCCAGGAATGTGATTGCACGGAAGTTGCTAGACACGCTCTACGTGCTGTCCATCAGGATTGGCCGCGAGATGACGCGCGAGCATCTATGCGTTCCGGCGCTGCAGCGCTTCTTCCTCATCTTCGACAAAGCGTATGGCGTGGTGGAGAATTTGTCTGTGAGCGACACGAAGGCGGGCAGTGAGTGCAGTCCTGTGCAGGACGACCTGTATGAGGAGGTGAAGAGGGACGGCGGCATCCAGGAGTGGACGCTGCAAGGCTCTCCGCTGCAGTTCTCCATTGCCAAAATCAACACGTCGTTGGATGGAGTGTCGCCGCCGCTGGACGCCGCCGCGGCGGAGATCAAGAGTCAGTCAATTAGAGAGAAGGTGTTGGAGGAGATCCGGGACGTGTTCACGCCGAATCTCGCGCACATGGCTTACGTGCCATTCCTCAACTTCCTCGGCGAGACTGTAATGCAGCAAACGGTGAAGAATCTCGCGCTGATCCTCAATCTCTGTCACGAATTTGAGCAGCCGGAAGCTGCGCCGTCCGCGGACAGACAGCAGCACAGCGATTCGCTGAGGCTTCCCGTGCCGGGAACGTCGAAGGCCGACGAGGGCGAGGGCAGTAGCTTCGGCACGGCTGTGGTGGGCAACAGAATCGAGGTGAGGAGCGCCAGGGCGCCGGAGATGGGTGTGATGGAGGTGCTGAATATGGTGACGTACAAGATGGACCACGTGAGCACGACCAGGCATCTCAGGGGAAACTGGCTGGCGTACTGGGAGCACGAGATTGGGCGCTCCGACAAGGACAACCATCTGAACCTGAAGCAGATCAAGCTGCAGAGCTACGCCGGCCACGCGAACTCCGTGCGCAGCATCCTGGCGCTGGACAACGAGAACAGCTTCATGTCAGCGTCCAAGGACAAGACGGTGAAGCTGTGGAGTCTGCGCAGCGAGGGCGACGGCTCCAAGGTGTCCACGTGTCAGTACACGTACACCAACCACCGGAAGTCCGTGCACTCGCTGGCCTTCCTCGACTCGCTGCGCCTCGCGGTGTCGTGCGACTCGTGCGTGCATCTGTGGGATCCCTTCGTGGGCAGCTTGATGGGTCAGCTGGACGCCACAAGGCACAGCCCAGTCTCTGTGGTGCGCACATTCCCTGCGCCCAGTCCGCTCGTGCTCGCTGGAACCGCGGACGCGTCCGTAAAGATCATCGACGCGCGCGATTTGTCTTACGTGATCGACTGGAAGGTGAGTTTACATCCCAAAATGGAAAGAAGATTGGACAGAAAAAGAGAGATTGAAACAGTGTTTCTAGTTTTAAGAAAATGTCGGCTAATGACTCTCGATTACCTTTCAGCTGACGCAAAGTGCTACAGGATCTGTTCGCTGCATGGCAGTGTCGCCTTCCGGAACGTGGGTCGCCGTGGGATTGAGTTCTGGCCAGCTGACAGTGCTAGACAGCCGAACGGGCATGATCCTGGCCACCTGGCGTCCGCACGACGGCGAACTGCTGCAGTTGGCGGCGCCGAATGATCACCAAGTGATCAGCTCCAGCCTGGATCACAGTATTTCCGTGTGGAGCGCCCACGACGGCAGTCTCCAGTTCCATCTAAAGTAAGTGACTCCTGGGCCGAATCCCCATCGTCAGCCTCTCTAATCCGCGTCGATTGCTTTGCAGGAATCCTGCCGAGCCCACTCATTGCCTCTTCTACAACAGTCCCGAGCTCATCTCCGGCACGCCGGCCAACAAGATCTGCGTGTACTCCGGCATCCAGCCCGAGACGTCCTTCCTCGTCACGAAGCTGCGTTCGGACACGCTGAAGGGCGTGCTGACGAGCCTCGTGGCACTGCCGCTGAACCGCATGCTGCTCGTGGGCAGCGACAGCGGCAACATCACGCTCATCTGCTGAGCTGTCCAGCGACCAGAGGCGCATTTAGCTGTATGGAAAGTATGTGATTTATTTTTGTTGTCCTTTTAGATACTCAGTTAATCCACCCACAAGTAAACGTTCCAAATGATTCCTTTTATTCACTCTCTCGTTTATTTATATGCTGTGAAGTTATTATCTTGCAAATATACACCAGTTTAGTGATGAGAAGCAATCGTTTTACTTGCCAAGGGGAAGATATTAGGCCGAGTGCTCGATTGTCAACGCTTGCAGCTTTCAGCGGATTTCGTGGCTCTTTTGCAGGTCTTTTCAGAACAAGAGGTTCACATCTGTTAGAAAACAGCTCTTCAAGAAGATTTCCCAACGAAGAAATGAGTCAAAATTTCACAAGATTTCCTAAATTTGCAACTCCATGTAAGAGAAACTATAATTGAGGTCAATATAAGTGAATTTATGCGTTAAAAAGACATTTTTTCATATGAAATATGAGAAACTTGGCACAATTTCATATAAATTTCCAAAATTTCGTCGTCTAATTTGAAGAATTTGTCACAATAAAAATTTACAAATTTTTAAGTCATCAGAACTGAAAATGCAATTTTCAAAATTTAACGAAAATTTTGATGCGATGAAAAAGGTACACCGAAATATAATCGTGTGCCAAATTTCAAGTCAATCGAGTAGCAAGAAGTGGTCGAATTAAGTCTTGCACAAGTTTCTGTAAAAACGTCGGAACGAGATAAATTCGATGATGAAATCGATTTTGATTCCGGAAAATCATCAAATTGCCTTCCCGCCACGAATTGAGGAGATTGTGGTGCGAAAGCCGGCGCGGAAATCGCGCTGTTGGCCCCTCGCGAGGCGGCTTAGAACATTTGGCGTGAGAATTCCGGGGAATGTCTGTCGTATGCGAGGCGCAGAGTTGGAGAAACTGCCGGCGAGCGAGGCGGGAAAAGAGCGCGAGCGCGCGGGGAATGAACTCTCGGCTCTGTCTCTGTCTGGCCCGTGGGCCAGGCCCGAATCTGCGCGTGTGTGTTGGTGGGCGCGCGCTGGTGTGCGCAGCGCCAGTGTTGTGACGGGCGCGAGCGGCGGCTGAAATTCTGTCCGCTTGGTAACAAGAGGATAGTCGAGGACAATGTTGCAAAGCAGCGGCCACGACTCGCGGGTCACCCAGAGCGGAGCACCGGTTGGGGCGGGTCAGTGATGGGTGCGAGCGAGAGGCCCGAGGAGAGTCCGGGCTGCGGCATTATATTTAACCGAACGAGCACTTTCTAACCAGTCACGCCACCAGGCCGCCAGAAGCGCCAGCGCGCCGCCGCGCGCACGCAGTCGGACGAGATTCTCGGCGCTGCGGATCGAATTGATGCGACTGGCAATCGAGTGGCGAGCAGGCGGCCAGAAGAGGCGCCGGCGCGCCGAGCTATTGACGTATCGGGGCCGCATTGATTACCAGGCTCGCGGCCAGTGCGGCCTTCTGGGCTCCTCTTCCGGCGACACGCCGGCGCTCGAGTCACTTCCCCAGACTTCCCCGGAACTCGCTTCTCGGCGACTTCCTGCGCTCTCTGGCGTCCCGGGCGCCCGAGCGAAATCACACAAAATAAGGTGCAGCTCGACGAGCAAGAAAAGTTGCTCACGAGCGATTCTGAGCATTTCACGTTTAAAATCGCAACGCCTCTGCGACTGGCGCCCGAAAATCTGGGATTCGAGCATTTCTTTTTGACTTCACGAGAATCCGAAGTTGCTTTAGACACATTTCAAAAAGAACCTTGAAATTCCAGAAAAGAAGACATAAAAAATAATTAACAATATTTAAAATAAATAAAAAGTGAAAAATGAAAGTAAATTTGGTTTTTAATGTATTTTTCATCACCTTTTTCGAAAAAGTCTTGGAAAAAGTGAAAAATTCGTCTTAATTCGAACTTTAACAAAATATATCATTAAATTTTGTAAGTAAAAATCGAAAAATTAGCCGAAATATTGATGTTTGAAAAAAATTTTTTATTAAAGAACCCCTTTTTTACTGCGTGAGAAATTTTGAGCATTTTCGAAAATTGAACTCGCGAGATCACAAAAAAGCTGCGCATTCCCGGCGTGCATGAGAAAGACGAGAATTCTTCACTGGACACATTAAGTTTATATTTCTATTCATAATTTTCCACTTGCTGCCAGATTTCCAGGTCTAACTTCTCCTCGCGGCAGGAACTGGGAAATTGGGTGAAGGGGTTAAATTCCTGAGCATGCAAATAGCACAAAACGATTCCAGAAGCAACTCAGCGCAGCTGGAAGAGCAGAAGAGCCGAGAAGGACTTCCCGACATTCCCGAGCACGTCTTTTTGCTCCCTCTTTCTGCCGCTTCACTCCTCCGAGAGGGAGTTCTTTTTCACAACCTCGAGTCGTCGTCAGGACAACAGCAGAGTCCTTCGGGCTGCCTCCCAAGAGCAGCAGGCGACGTTTTCCTGCCGCTTCTTGCATCCGCATGCTATTCGGTTAAATATTCGACATTTTGCCGGCGCGCGTCAGAAAAAAGAGCACAAAATCCCGACGAAGGGAAGTCGAAAGGGTTGAAGGTGAAGGAAAAAAATTGCAGATAGAGTAATGTAGCCGAGTCACAGGGCAGCAGATGTCCCCGGGGGCGCTCCTGGGCCAGGTCGCACGCCGTCTCCGGATGGCGAAGGTCGCGCGCGTGCGGCTTTGGGCGCCTGTTCCGCGTGGCATAGCAGTTGAAACGAGTTTGGAATTCTTCGAATTTCTTTTCTCTCTCTCCAGAGTCCGACGCATTCCGAGCGCGCCTCCGCCCCCAGAGGGAGCCTCGGATTCCGCTGGCCGGAAGAGCTCGGCGAGAAAACGCTCTCGTGGTGGGATTTTGCATGGGACAACTTACGGACGCCTTTGGACTCGCGCACCAGGGCCGCAGAGGCCACCGTGACGTCACGCGCGGCCGTTCGGCATAGGAAAGTGTGCGAGCGGCGCAGCGGCCGCTTCTGCTGGCCTGGTGGCGCGTGATGAGGGGGAAAACAAGTGACAACTAGTGAAGCCGGCCTCGCCACTCGATCCGGAATGAGACGGCATCTCCGCCATGACGCGGCCTCCACGCAGCCATCTCGCTCTGGGTCACGTGGGCGGGGGCCCTCCATGGGGGGACTCGCCAGGCATTTCCCCGAAATTCCCGCGCGGCGCCCCCGCAGACGCCTCCCGGACGCGCCGTCCCGGAGCGTCTTTGCACGCGTCAATCTTTCAGGGGAAACATTTCGAAAGTTTCCCCGAAATCAGCGGCTTGGCGGGAGTCCCCCGGACGCCAGCTCAACATGGTCAGAAGCGCGCTGGTGCGTGGCCGCCTCTCACTCGAGTTTCAGCAGTTTTTCCCGCGCTACCAGGCGCTCATACTTGCGGAATGCCGCCCAAGTTCAAGTGCACGTGTAGAGAAGAGAGAGAAATTCATTCAACAGCGATGCGTTCATTCATTCCCGTCTGACAGTCATTATTGGCTGAAATACGACAGTCACTCCCGGTGATATTGAGCTTAAACTCTCCTAGTCAAAGGGTGGGAGATAAGGTGGCTCAAATCCGAGCCACACTTCCGAATTTGCCTGAAAAATCCGACGATTGAAAAATACAAGCAAGATTTAATAAATTCCTGAGGCTTTATTGAGGAGTTACTTTGTTGGACTGCGCGTGATGTAGCCCAGCCGAGTGCTCTCGTCCAGCAATGCTGGCAGAGATCTCATGGTTTCCATGGCGTTCGGGATGATGAACTGCGGCGGCAGGACAAAGCCGTAAGTTCCCTGGTCGCGGAACTCGAACGTCCAGGAGATCTTCACGCCAGCCGTGCCGTAAGTGTAGTCAATGGCGGTCCCGGAATGCTCATCTGCAAGAGATTTAGCCAGTGAAGTGAGTGATCAGGAGGGATTTTCGCAGTCTCATCTACTCACAGAGGTTGTAGGAGCTCTTGACTTCGTACTCAGTGCCCTCGAGGGTTCTGATAGCGTCTGCCATGGCATTTCCAATGGTGACCTGCAAGGGAAACGCTTAATTCCCTCTTGTATGGGAAGAGTGCTGGGAAAAACTCACATGGTTGGTCGTGTCTGGAGTGTCCTCGGCGACATAGCTCCAGGGATAGAGCAGCACCTGTCCATAGGAGTGGAAGGACAGGAACACCTGGATCTTTTCCCGGTTGTCATTGACGAAATTACCCACGGATCGCACTTCGGGCTCGGAAAAGCGCTCAGGTCCAGCGTAGGTCAGGGAGCAGATGTCATCGCTGGCTCCAGGAGGTCCGGCTGAAAGAGAGCCAAGGTAAACTATGCGGAAGAGGCTTTTATGCTTTGCTACTCACGTTGCCATTCGTATGCCCAATTCCTGTTGGGATCAACGCCATGGCTGGAAGGGGAAGGAAAATATCAACGTAACATTCCGGGAAGCAGAGATTTTACCCACCAGATCACTCCCTGACGCGATCGCGTCTTCCTCCAGAGTCTGTTGTGCGTCTTGGAGAAAACGAAGCCATCGGGATTCACCATTGGGAAGATATACCAATCATAGCTCTCGGCAATGCGCCTCACGTCCGCGTCCTGGCTGGTGAGGAGCTCATTGATAACGTACGTAGCGGTGGCCGAAGTGATCCACTCGCGAGCATGAGTGTTGGCCTCAATGAAGACTCCCGGATTATTTTGCCCGTAAGAAATCAGAACTCCCCTCATTGGACGTCCTTCAGTGCTGCGTCCGATCTCGATGTTGGACACGACGCCAGGATTCTCGGCGATCTTGTCGTCCAGGAACTCGAAGATGGTCTCCAGAGAGTGATAATCTGACCACTCCATATCACTGGCGCGCGGGGCGATTGCAGGACGCTCGTTATCGATAAGTCTGGGCAGATAAGATTAAGGTGAATTGGGAAATAATTTCAAGGGTGCTGCAAATAGACACGAACTTCTGGACATCCTCGATCTTCACTGACGCCTCAAGGTTATTCTCCTCTAGAAACAGTTTGAAGTCCTCCATCTGCCCGGGAGCCACCATGATGTCTGCTTTCTGGCCGACATTCTTAGCACTTGCCCAGAAGTCGAATGACGGAGTGACTTCGAATTCCAACTTCCTCAGCGCCTTCAGCTGATCTTCACTCTGTGGCGTGACGGAGAACACACGGTAGTCACTGAACTTCACTTGCTCCTGACCCAGAACTCCGGCCAAGCAGATCAACAGAATCGGCCACAGCTTCATTGTCGCTAAATCCACAGCTAATCCCCAGTGAACTGATCACTCATCCACTTGAATTGGCTCTTATATTACCGCCGCGGGAGAGCTCTAGCCCCGCTGATATGATCATCCGCTACCTTGTCAGGTAATTGAGTGGCCTGATAGTGTTATTTATGCTCTTTATTTACACCGTGTACTGTACAGTGATACCTCGTGTTGTGACATCGATTCTAGTCGAAGTAGCCCAGCTCCCTGGTCTTCTGCACGAAGCCGATGAGGCCTTGCACCGTCTCGATTGCGTTCGGGATGATCTGACTGGCCGGGAGGATGAAGCCATACGATCCTCTGTCGCGGAACTCGAAAGTGTACGCCACTCTGATGTTGTTGGACGCCTCACCGTAGAAGTGATCGTGGCTAGTTCCAGAGGCAACGTCTGGAGAAAAAGAAATCAAATATCAAGAGCTGCAGGATAACAGATAGCAATTGTGATGTGAGTCCCAGCTCTACTTACAGAGTGTCGTGGAAGTGGGTCCAATGGTGTACTGAGTGCCATAAACGGCCTGAATCCTGGTTCTGGAGGCTTCCATGATCGCCATGAGATCAGCATGGTTTGGTGCCTGAGTCGTTGTGTGTCCCCAAGGGCTTTTGAACAAAGCACAGTTGATTAGATGATCTTTACGCATTCTGAGCTAACTAACCTGAGAATGTACTGGCCATAGCTGTGGAAGGAGACGTAGACGCGAATGTTCTCAATGACAGAGTTCACGTAGTCCGTGACAGTTCTGGTCTCGGACTCGGAGAAGGCATTGGGACCAGCGTAGGTCTCACTGCAGGGATTGGTGCTGGCGCCTCCCTCTGCACAAGAAAATTGTCTCATCAATCATAGCGTAAAAGCACACTCCTGTCGCAGCACTTACGCATCCAGTTGTAGGCGTAGTTCCTGTTGGGATCGGTTCCCACACACGTAGATCCAGCATTGGGACGTCTGGTCTTGCGCCACATGCGATTCTCATCCTTGGTGTACTCTACGCCGTCAGGATTCGTCACTGGGATGATGTACCAGTCCACATTCTCAGCAATGTCCCGGATCTCGGGATCGTTGGAGCGGAGCAGCTCGTTGATCACGTACGTGGCCGTGGCGGAGGAGATCCACTCGCGCGCATGGATGTGTCCCTCGATCACCATGCCCTTGTTGCCAGCCTTGTAGGAGATCTTGAGGCCACGAATATCGCGTCCCTCATGGGACCGACCGGCCACGAATCCCGTCACTTGCTGCGGGAACTCCTCAATGATGTGGTCCAGCCAGGCGTAGATCTCGTGCACGCGGTAGTAAGCGGTCCAGCCGAAGGCGCGCGGACGCACCAGAGGATTCTCCTGATCGATCAGCTGCTGCACATTATTGATCTTCAGCTCCATCGGGATGCCATTGGCGGTGGAGAACTCTTCGATGTCGGGCCGCTTGTGCGGCGGCACCATGATGTCCACTTCCTGGCCCACGGCAGACGGATAATCCCAGAACAGGTATCCACGGTCCTGATCTTCCAGCTCCTGCATCCGCATCAGCTGCTCATCACTGGTCACTGTGAGCTTGTACACTCGGTAGTTGTCGAAGCGCGCCTTCTCGGCGACACTTAAGGCCAGCAGGCCCACAAACACGATCGCGATTTTCATCTCGTCCCGGACAAATGATCGCTCTCCGGAGAGTGCGGCGTGCATTTATAGCCTCCCGCCAGAACAGGCGTGGAACGAGTCAATCGCACCTCTTCTATCACACCAATAAATCAGCGGCCACAGAGAACTGATAAGGCCAATCATGATGGATCTCTGAGCTTTGGGCTCCTGATTGAATAACAAATTGTATTTCGATGCTGGGGAATTCTGAATAAAAACATGCGAAATGTGGTTATCACGCGGAATTGTGACTTGCACTACTAATCCCTCTCCAAATATTGACGTTGGAAGAGAAGAGGTGCACGAATGAATGAACTGTAGAACCGTAAACCAGGAGATTATTTAGGATCTTTAACAACAAAACAGTTGCAGAATAAGAAGGAATATCATTTATTCTTATTATTTAATCCTTTCGAACTATAAATACAAGATTTTCTGACATTTTAGAGTGAGTATTACTTGTTTTCGCACGAGTGTAATTAAATCACAGGCTAATCTTTATGTTCACAGTATTGTTTACCTGAAGCAAAGGCCTTCGTTTCTACCACTGATGTCGCCTCTGATAAAGATACTCCTGCCGTTGTAGCCAATCATATCGCCTGAACTCCATAAGAAGTTGCTCAGGACGAAGACTGTGTCACCGATCGTGATTATAGAGAGTCTGTTTTTGCTGAAACTTAGTGGCATCCTGTCTATATCGTCCTCACTGACAATAATTCTGTGCTTTCCGCATTCGTTCTCTCGTGGAAAAATCAAAATTTCCTGCGGACCATATTGAACTTTGATGGCCAATTGATCGCCAGGAAGCCGATAAGCATAGACGAGTGTTTTGGAGTTAATTTGCGCCAGTTGAACCCAAGGTTTGAGGGACATGTTTATCCCGGTGTAAGTCTTGTTTCCCAAATCTTGCGGAAGAATGCGACAGACTGGGAAAGGCAAGAAGTACTTAGCCAAGTGTTGAACACTTTGGATGGCAGAATTCTCGAGGAGGAGCCATTTTGATGATCCTTTCACAGTGTAGCTGTTTTCTGGCGCGTACAGAGTCATTTCAAAGTCCTCATCAGAATCCATCGGACGATAAATGCCGATCTGAATCTCTCCTACGGATCTCACTTCATCATCTGTGGCTTCGTGAAAACCGCCGGAATTCGCGAATACCCACATTCCCAGGCTTCTGAAGAAGTTCTCAAACCCTGACGGCAGATTCTTGTAGTGCAGCCAAACCATAATGTCTCTCAGCATCGTGGCAGCTGTTGCGCAAGTGTAACAATTTTCTGCCTCTTCTGCCAACATTTCCGTCTGCGCACGACATTGAGCGTAAGTCAGGTGCTTCTGGTGGTGAAACTCAATTTGCTCCCCAGTGAACTTGGAGGAAGACTCAATGAGAATGTTGCTTTGATCGGTGACGCACTTTGCGATCTTTTCAGGGTAGCTTCCGAACAGGATCTGAAGTCTCCATTCTGGCATTTCTCGCCAGAAAGTCTCGAATTTCAGACAAATAGAGGACGTTGGACCTTCTGCTGGCATTCTCGCCACAACATCTTCAATTTTTACGTGGAGATACTTAACTCTCACATTATCCTTATTGTCCAGGAACTCGTAAAACACTCCCTGCGATTGGATCTTAATTTGAATCTTGGAAGTGTCAAAGATGTCACTGGGTCTCATGTGAGCCAACAAATCCACACCATAATCGCCGGGCAGGAAGAAGTTCCACTGAATAAAGCTCATTAGCGAGACGATGATATCTCCAAGAGGCGCACTGAACATTCCCGAGAAGGGTTTCCTGTACAGCATCTCGGAGAGCGACTGTGCAAGAATTTTCCCACTTGGAGAAGGCTTGTAGGAAAACATCCTGATCCCATAATTAATTCCCAAGTCTTGCCAATCTCCTTCAGTGAGATATCCATCAGAATTAAAGGACTCAAGTCTTCCACTCACTTCAACAACGTCTTCCGTAGTGTTTGACGATTCTCTGAGACGATTGAGATAAACTTGAGTTTGTTTCTGAATCCGCAGACTCAAGAGTGGAGTCAAAGCGTTGCTTCTGGAAGCAGCAATAGTTCTGGGAAAGATATGAGAATCAGGATAATACATTGTTGTATTAAGCAAGGCATTGAGAGCATTTCATATTTACATGATCTTGGGTTGGTGAATTCTGTGGAAATTGAATGCAAACTGCTTCGTAAAGTGAAGATGTGACATCTGGCGAGATCCCTGGAAGGCCATTAGATTGGGATTCAGCACTTCCATCCCACGAGAAGCTTGCAGTGTTGCGTTGACACTGAAGATCACTCCTGGTTTTGCTCCATGCTCAGAGAGTTCAGATACAATGGCGAATTTGGTGGTGAAGAACAGTTGAGCCTGTGCGAAAAGGCGGAAATGGCGCCCAGCATCCATTGGCAGGAAGTAATCTGTGTTGTCAAGAGCCAGAAAACCCTCATTGGACCATTCATTAGGCAAAAGTTGTGCATTTGGGTACAAATACATCATGAGGTTCTGCAGAGCGTACTGGAAGTCACACTCTGACGATTTGGAGAAGATTGTCCACGCAGCTTTGGCCACACTTATTTCGTACTTGAACGCTTGTTGCGCGAAGAAGTCTTCTTGAAAGTTATTGAATCGACTGATGAACTCTACATTATCAAGTCGTAAGAGAAGTGAATATTTCCTCTGATACGACTGGTGAAGGTCCATCTGAACCTGCTTCAGTCCTCCTGAGACGTCATCAAAGATTATATGTCCGCTGACGGCGAAGTCTTCCATAGCACTATTTTGCGTTTTGAAGTAAAATCCTCGTGATCGCGCTTCGGGTTCGAGTCTCCTCAGTAACTTCTTGTAACTTGAGGGTGTGTTTCCCTCTTCTATCATAGCCATGACCTTCGAGGCGAAGAAGTTGTACAGCTCATGATTGGGATCATCGTGCAACCTCCTCGCCAATGCCTCAAATTGCACCTCTCTGTTTATTTTGCGCAGCAACACTCGTACAGCAACTGCCCTCACTTCAGTTGACAACTCCTGATCGACAGCAAGATTCAGGAGATCCGTGAATTGAGAGTTATCCATGTATCCAATGGACTGCATTAAAGCGTACAAGGCATGAATCTTGAGACCTTCATCCTCCCTTAAGACAGTTTTCCACAGCAAAGGGATGAATTCTATGGACCTTAAGCACGCAATCGCTTCCAGAACTGTTCTCTTCTCGTCGTAATTTCGCGCATTTGAGAGTTTGTCAGTGTAAAATTGAAGAGAACTTTTAACGTGTTCATTACTCTCATGATAAGTCACCATCAAAGCTCGAGCGTACGCGAGAAGCGCCACATGAGGAGCATCTTTGGCCATTGTGAGATCCTTGAGGACGTTCAGAGCTTCAACTGACATGGAAAATGAGCGAATGCTTCCTGCCAGATTCATCAGCATCTTATCTCGATCAAATTCTGTTGTTGGATCTTTGATCAACTTCACGCAGAATATCGCAGCTTCGGAAGTTCCCACCAAAGGCAGGACCTCGACAAAGTTCCTCAACAACCACGGATTGTCGGAATCTTTCGCCTTCAGCGTCATTTTGTGAATTGCAGAGAAATCGTCCTCAGTGAAGGTCTTCATGAAGTCCACAATTTCAATCATTTCCCAACTTACCGGACTTAGTAGGAAATGTTTGATGTTAGGAGGTGTGTAAGGATCCTTAATAATAGACAATCCCTTCAGCATTCGCTCCACTTCGGAGAGCATCTTCTCTCTCTTTATCTTCTGCACGTTCTCAGGATTTGACAAGAAGTCATTGAACTGAAAGTTATCATCAGATTTCCGTCTCGAAATGGCAAATTTGAAGTCATGTAGATTTTTCCAATCAAAGAGATTCTCTTTTATCACTTCTGCAGGAACTGTTGCTTCTTCATTCAGCCGGAAGTCGTAGGAAGTATGCAAGAAGTGCTTCAAATCTTCCGGCTGCTTGGGTGTGAAAAAAATGTGCTGCTCCGTTTGGAGTCTCTTCATCGAATACGTGCAAGTTCTCTTCACGAAGTCATACTTGCGATAGTTACTCATTTTGAGCTCCTCCAAATCATAATGATCGCGATTGCTCCAAGAAGCACTTGCAAAATCCATGTTATTGAAGTCCATTGGATCTGAGTTTTGCTCTACTGAAAAACCATCTCTTTGCGGCTTGACAAAGTACATCTTCTCTCGTCCGTAAACGTCTTCTTCTTTACTCGCATAGTGAAAGGGTTTCTTCTTATCTCCGTGTTCATGAAGTTTGGTCGTGTTGAAGAAAAGCACACTGGCTAAAACTTTTATAATATCATCATCGCTTGAACCCTTCCTTAAGACTATCTTCCCATCGGATTTCAAGAGGAATTCGAAGGTGTTTAAGAGCTTAATGCATTCCGTATTCTCGCCATTTTGCGCCGTTCCATTTAACTGCTCGATTCGAATGTAAACTGTTAAGTTATCAACTGAAAATAAGAAAAAAAATGGTATAAAATCAGTTGAATGATAGTAACGCCTTGAATTATTTATTGAATCAAATTTAATTAATATACATAGATAAGAACACTCCATTTAGCTAGTCAATGAAGGTCGTAATTTTATGTGTAATAACAACAAATCAAATATTCAAAACATTGTTGTTTATTTTCATTTCAATCACGTGACAAAATCTCAGATGATTACAGCAACAGAACATTTTATTTTGCAGATCTAATCATACAGGAAACGCAGGAAACATTGTTGCAATTGTAATACACACTTCTCAATTATTCTCAATTTACTTAATTCGTACTTAACCTTGAAAGTGAACTTGACGACATTTTGCAAGAAAAGCACAAAATAGCGCCTTGGAACTTAGCGTGCACTTTAATTTCTACTCAAAGTGATAGAATAAATTCGACTCAGTGAATCTTACAAGGCTTCGCGATCATCTGCATGGCGAGGCGGACATTGTTCTCGAAGCCCGACTTCGCGATGCCGCTCTTCACTGTGAAATCCACATCGAACACTGATCCTGCGCCCCGGCCGCTGCCCAGGATGTGAGCGAAAGGCTCTGCAGGATCACAAGAATTCACAATCACGAAGATAGCAAACAAACACTGAACGAAGATCCACTTAGTCATTTTCACTGGCGAATCCCAGACGCAACTGAAAAGATTCACAAGGCGTCTGGACAATTTATAGCAATTTGGTGTCATGAGATTATCTGTCGACTGAAGAGGTGAAGATCGCGCAAAAATATTATGCAAATGCGATCACGGCCATTTGATATGATTTATTTGATAACATACTTTGTAGGATAAACAGCTGACTTTGCATAGTTTCATTTAACTGAACAGCGTTCTGAGCGACATTTTCACAGAATTGTTGTATTCTGCGGCTGATAAAGATGCAACAGTTAAATTAGGAGCAGCAATTGTGGAAATCTTGCTGGGACAATTTAACGCATGAAGATGAAACGATGCTTTGACTGATATTAGAAGCTTTAATTAATTGTTTTACTTAATTAATCAAGTGAATTTTTACTTACGTATTTAAATTATGCATGCATTAAGAATGGAAATGCGATTAAAGATTATTTCTTAGTAGTCCAATCTTATTCCTTAATCAGTCACCTTTTAAACCAGAAGATTTTTGGCTCAAAGTAAAATCATAGTCTTTGGATTTCTCATAATTTCATGCAATATTTCACAGGAAACTCATTCAAAAATTTAGGGTCTTCTTTCTGCAATTTATCAGGAAAATTTTTAATTTTTTTTATAATAATAGGTAGATCATAAATTTGAAGGGAACTCGAATTGAAGTGAATAAGACTTAGAATTTGGTTAAAAAATTAATAATCAAAGGATTCCAGTCTCAATTGCATTTTTTACATCTCATTAAGAAAGTAAATCACATCCGAATTGGTCAATATTCTGCCAAGCAGTACTGCAAGAGATCCACGATCGTGCTCAACTGAATTGTCTTTGAGTAAATATCGTCCAGTTTCTCTCGTCATGGTGACACTCGCGATTCGCAGCGAATCATATTCAGCGAATGTTATCGAGACTCGTGCAAATAAATACGGAGTTTGAATGGAATATATGTGTGTTATTTTGCTTCGCAATTGCTACAATTTATCAGCAGCTGGAAAACTGCATCTCGAAGATAAGCGTGATTAAATGCGATGTAATTATGTTGACTCAATGAGGGTTTTCAGTGTATAACTTATTAACCCATTGACGCACGAGATATTTAGCATCAGATAAGTCTTAAATTGAGTGAAAATTGATGGAATACTTAAGATTTTATCTATATTGCAACTATTCTTAGCATTTTTAACTATTTTTATAAGACATAAATTATTGCACACGCAACATTGCAGAATAATTCAAAGTGCTTTTCATTAAAAAAAAGAGAGAAATAAATTTTCTTTGATATTCAATTCGCAACCTTTTAATTTTTAGATAAGAAAAAAATCGAATATTTGAAAAATTATGAATAAGTTGAAAATGAATGGAAATTTTAAATTTTATAAATCGTTCATGATGGATTTAGCAGTGGAATTTATGGAATTCAAAGCTTCTTCTTTATCTCTTTTCACGACTTCATGACTTCACGAACAAGTTCAGGTGATAAAGTCAGGTGTAAGACAAATATCATGAAACTCAGAAATAAAGAGTGTCAAAACTCTACATGATATTACTTTTTTCATTCATTGGTGAATAAGTTGCGAGAAAAACGGATTATGAGTTGAAAACCTGTCAATCTTTAGATATGATCTTCTAACTTAATCTTTTCTTACGTTTGCCAAGCCCTAAACGTCCCTCATGCTATTGGGTTAACGTGACACAGAATCTGAAGACGTGTGGACTTTGACTTCTCCAAGTCATCTTCCTGACGCGATCCTCACCATCAGCACAGGTTCTCCCCGCCCTCGAGCAGCGGCCGCGATCGTCGCCGGGCGGGAGTGAGACGGCTGAGTCTATATAAGATGCAGCAGCGGCGCTCCGAGCTCAGTTGCGTGATTGTTGTGTGTGTGTGCAAGTGCAGAATGTTCACGTCCAGGTACAACAGTGAGCTGCGCACCTGGAGCGGCCGCCACCTGGCGCCCTTCCATCACGAGAGCGTCTCGCTGGGGCGCGCGCTCTACTACGCGCTGTCCTACAGCCGCAATCGCGTGGCCCAGATCAGCGACGACTCCGGCTTGCGGGTCACGGACGGCGAGCTGTGCGACCAGATGCTCGCCATCGCCGGCAACCTGCGTGCCCGCGGCGCCACACGTCAGCAGCTGATTGCCGTGGTGGCGAAGAACAGTCACCTGATCGCGCCCACAGTCTTCGCCGCGTTCTACCTCGCCATTCCCGTGAACACACTCGATCCCAACTACTCAGTCGACGAGATCGTGCACATGTTCGCACAGACGCGGCCCAGCATCGTTTTCTGCGATCACGACAATCACGCCACCGTGCAGAAAGCCGTGATCAAGATGGCCAGCGGCGCCAGGATCATCACTTTCGGCCCCAGAATCGCCGGAGTGGACAACATTGAGGATTATGTTGTGCAGAACAACAAAGAGGATCCAGCAAAGTGAGTTCAAAGTGCCAAAAACAAACACTATTCAAGCGGGATTCCACACTTTTTGCCATTATTATTTACCAATGAACCTATATTTGGAATATTCTCAATTCACGAGAAGAAATTCGTAGTGGTAAAACTGGCTGTTGCCTTATTACAGCATCAATCACTGAAGCAAGGTCAGTGGAACTTATATAAATGGTCACAATCATGCTAATCAGAGAGAATTCAGCACCAAAGCAAATTATCTACGTAGTAAACAGTAATTTGTCTTTTTAAATATGATGCTAATGAATGAGAAAAGATAGATTGAATTGTATAGAGTTTGTATAAAAATTTCGTAGGTTAGTTTGCGTGTTGCGTGATGAAAACACTTGAGTAAACGTGGTTGAAAGTGAACGTGAAATGAGAATCTTATAGCATGGCTTATCATTTTTTCGATAATTACTTTGAACCACAAGAGAAACATTAAATGATTAAGGTTCTTATTTTATCACATGATATTCAAAATATTTAATTAATGATAACTCAAAAGAATATTTGCAATATCATCTGAAGATGCTGAGTAAACCATGATAAGTAGATTCATACATCCATAAGGGGGAGATTAAACCAGATCCACAAGATTAAAATAAATTATGCAATTTGGTCATAAATTTATTTAAAATGAAGTTCAAAGGCTATTTTTTTAATTCACTCGCTTCCGTATATTTGAATGAGAATTTACTGGGAGAGAAAACTATTTTCAATTCATAAAATATTATGCATAAGAGCAATTTTGGCATTATCATGCAGGAAATTATGGTATTTTCAATTTCAATGTTGAGAAAATTAATTCTGTGTTACCTTAACCAGTAGTTTATATCCACAAATCATGGTTAAGCCACTTAACTGGCTGAAATTCTCTGACTTCTTCCTGTGCTTCAGCATAGAGGATGTCGACGCAGAGACCTGCGCCCTGATCCTCTGCTCGTCCGGAACGACGGGCATGTCGAAGGGCGTGAGCCTGACGCACCAGCATCTGCTGTATCTCTTCTCCTACCAAGTCCTGTTCGACTTCCATGACGACGCCAGGATGCTGTGCTTCAGCTCACTGTACTGGCTCTCGGGCATCGCGCACCTCCTGCTCACGACCTTCCTGGGAATCACGCGCATCATCACGCCGGCCACGTTCAGTGTCGACCTCTTCCTGAACATCATCGAGAAGTACCAAGCGACGCACGTGCTCTCCACGCCAGTGCAGCTCGCGGGCGTGCTGGAGAGCCCACGCCTCACGCGCACGACGCTGGCGTCCGTGCGTGAGTACATTGTGGGCGGTAGCGTCGTGCCGAAGGACAAGTGGGAGCGCATCCAGACCTTTGTGCCCAACGGCTTCGTCCTGATCGTCTACGGCATGAGCGAAGTGGGATTCGCCACGCGGCAGGTGTACAGGACCAACAAGTATTGCGTCGGGAAGCTGGCGCCGGATCTGCAGCTGAGAATCGTGGACGAGAACGGTCAGAATTGTCTGCCAGGCGAAACGGGCGAGATCTGCTTCAAGCCCAGGTTCAGATTCTTGGTGAGTGGCTGGAATTCTCTGGTTGTTGAGAAAGTAATTGATTGGAAATGCTATTTAGAAATTATTCGTGCCAATCGACGTGAAAGGGTTAATTGTGAACTTTTTGACCAGCAGTCATAAGGAAAAACTTCCCAAAATACTATAACTCATATATTTGTCCTTATTTACAAAAACCACGCTTTAAACTGAGAGTTCAGCAGTCAGAGAGATCACATTGGGAGGAAAAGGAGTCTCCGCAGCCACTGATTTCACCTCCTCTTGCAGGGCTACTACGGCAATGCCGCGGCCACGCGCGATATGATCGACGACGCCGGCTGGGTGCACACGGGCGACATCGGGCGCATGGACGAGGACGGGGATCTGCACATCGTGGACCGCCAGAAAGAGATCCTCAAGTACTGCAACCACCACGTGTCGCCCTCCGAGGTCGAGCAGGTGATCTTTGGTCACGCAGAGGTGGCGTACGCGTGCGTCGTGGGCATCCCCGATCCCGTCTGCAGCGATCTGCCGGCGGCCGTGGTGGTGCGCAAGGAGGGCGCCGTCGTAACGGAGGAGGACATCGCGCGCCTCGTGGCGTCGCGACTATCTGATCCGAAACACCTGCGCGGCGGCGTGTACTTCGTCGACAGCCTGCCACTCACGCCGTCCGGCAAGGTGATCAAGGGGAGGGTGAAGCAGATGGCACTGGAGCTCTTCCGGGCGCGACATCACTGATCCGCCGCCTTGCGTTTCACGCCACTCGCGCCGGCGGGCCTCTTATCGTTCGCATCCCACAGGCTGCCGCGCACGAATCTCCCCGCCACGCCCACGTTCACGCGCGGCATCAGCGTCTTCTTGTCGTGAATCTGCTTCTGGCGCACCATCGCCTCACGCACGCGCGCCAGCTCGTGCTTCACGGTGTGCTGGAAGTCAAGAATACATGCTTTAAGTTTCACTTGAAATGTCTTTGGCTATTATTTTATTTTAACTGTGGTGAATAAATGAGAAAAACTTTCCAAGCTGTCCTGAATTCATGACGTCAGGTCACTCAAATCACAAACGACATAAAAGTATGTTTCTTCTCTAAATTTCAGTGGAAAATGCACTTTATTTCCACTCACCTCGCTCACGTCCGTGCCCTGAAGCTTCAGGTGGATGAAGTACAAGGAATTTAGGGCGTACGAGAGGAAAATGTCCATTTTCACGCTGTCTTCCTGCGCCATTCCTTCATCTTTCACATTCAATGCTTTTTCCACCGCCGCGTCGACTTCCTCGAGCGCCTTGTCCAAGTTCAGCATCTTCTGCACGAAGATCTTGTCGTTTTTCAGCTCTCCAAAGTCCATTTTTCACGATTTTCCCAAAATTAGCGTCAGAGAAAAAGTGTAAACAAACCACACGTGCACTTGACAGTTTCTATTTTGACATTTTACACCATTCGCGCTGTTGCCAAATTTACATTCAAATTCACTCTAAATCGAAAAAAAACTACTCAAAAGTCTGAAACTCGTCCCTTCCGCTCCCAATCACCATAACGGGTCGGTTCTGGTCCTCTTGGTCCTCCGATTTCCCCAGTCTCAGGATTTGTGTTGTTGGGGAAAGGCGGGAAATCCTTATTCACTACTGTGGTCTCATTTCCCTGCTCGAGGCTCTCAATTGGAGTCTTTTCCCTCAGTTTCTTCCTCAACTCATCCAAACGAGGTGTGTCCTTTTTCCTGGAAGGCTCGCCATCGCCTCCAGAGTCCTTTGAGTCCGTGGAGTGGAGCAATTTCTGAGATTTTCCAAGAGGACCTGAAAAATGAATTTTATTCAATGTTTGCCAGCTGTGAAATAATGTCATGACTTGGAAGTGACTTACTGTAATTTATCAGATTACTTGCCAGGATTCTCGTGGGTTGAACAGCCGTAAATACAATTTTATTCATCGTGCAAGAAGAAGTAAACAAGACTCGCAAATTCAAGCAAAACTCTGAAGGAAAACAGCTGACGAACAATTGTTAGGTTTTCTCTCGAATGCAATGCATTTTTGTTAGATGGCGCTGACCAGAAGAAATTCCCGCGAAAACAGGAATTTTCAAATTTTTGAAATAATCTGCAACTAATCTTAAATAGAAATATTCTCTGAAGAAAACAATAAGAAAGACTGGGAGTAAAAGATGCACACAGTCTTGAGGAGTCTTTTCATTTAATATTCTCAACTGTCTTGCGAGTGTCATTGCGAGGTTAAGCAATTCTTCGCATCGATTCGATAAATGCTAATTTGCCACAGAGTGACTCAATTTATGAAAATCGAATTACACTCATACTTTCATTTGGCGCAGGAATTGGTGCGCGCCACTGGCGAGAATGGGGGCGAAAGAGAAGGAGAGGAAGACAATTATTGTAAACAATAGTGACTTCTTTTCGCAGTTTGCAGCCAGAAATGAGTGATTGCAAGGGGCAAACGACTTCCAAACTCAAGACTCTTGTCTGGAGTATTTGACTCAATTTCCTTTTCGTGTGTTCTTGGTTCGAATTGACAAATCGCTACGATCCAACAATACAGTTCACTGAATCACTGCTACAGGCGCTAAGGCTAAAGATATGATTTGTCTTGTGATTTGTTGAAACTTTCCTCAGCGTATCCGACAAATTAGAATAGGATATTTCAAAATTCAGAGAAGTGTTTTCAAAAAGTTGTTGCACTAGAAATATCTCAGAATTCAAATTGCGTTTGGCGACACACGCATTCTTATCACGGCGATATCGCGACACTCGCCACTGATCAGCCCCTCCGATCCATCGTGAATGCTCAATTGTGTGCGACAGCGACTCAGAGGCAATTGGCGTGTTTTTGCGGGAAGAAGAAAAGAAGCGGCTCCCGGACAGAGTCGGAAGCGCGTCCGGAAGCGCTGATCTCGTCCCCAGCAGCGATCGTGAGTGCAGAAAGTGGTCCAGTGCTGTGCGCCGGCTGGCGAGGACGTGAATGGCGATACTAATTGTCGGGCCATGACCTATAATTGCGGCCACTAATTGGGGAGTGGGCGACGCGTCGGATGCATAATAAATACCATAATTATGCATCAAACCTGGGCGTCTGTCGGGGTGAAACTGCGGTGCAGTGATTGCATCTTCCGCCCCCTCTACGGCCTCACTTAATTATTGGATTAATTTCAATCTGGGCGTCGATGGCACGTTTTGTGCGCACGGTTTGTCCTCGACACGCTGCCAAATGGTGCTAATTTCCAGTGCGAATGTGCAAAAATGTGCAATAACTCGTGAAAATGGTGTCAATCTTAGTTCAAGTGACGTGATAAATTAAGTTCTCTCATTTTTTCTATGACACTTTCTGAGATTTGTGGCTTTTCTGACCAATTTTATTACGTGATAAATACAATTATTTCCTGAAAAACTCAAAATGAAATTTTCTGTTAGTGACAGTTTAAATTTGAATTGGCAAATAAAAATGCATATAAAGTGGTCTAAAAACTGTAAAATTCATAATATTTTTCATTGAATTTGAGCGCAAAACAAGTGATTTTCCGAAGAGACCGATAAATATGCATTTCCATAGTGCTCAGTTGAGTGTAACAGGCCATCTCTCAGCTCTGCATCTTCGTGGGTGATGCTTTGGCTCTAAAACTGGAATTATTCCATGTGAGTATTGATGGTTTTTTGCCACCACACAACTCTGTCGCCCCCAAACATGAAATTGTACCCAATATCGACAATAGAATTTACAACTTTGTCGCATTTGTAATTCATTTTTCATGGTTCACTTCGCAGCAATTCATCGGGAAGATCACACGAATCCACACATGAAATTCATGTTTGGCATTCGATGGAGGGAAAATATTGAATTTTTATGTCCCATATTTTACTGCCTCTGAAGGATGAAGACCTCAATTGTTGTGAGTCGCTTCGTGCATATTTTCCCTGCCTGAAGCAGAGGAAAAATTCACAGTGTGCCATTGAAAATTCCTGCAATGAAGCATCTTCCGACAATTCCAATGCAAAATGCTGCTCAAGACCATTTTGCACCCTTTTGACGTTGTTCCGCCCTTCGGCAGCGGCGTAGGAATTTTATGTGCGGTGTAGGATATTCAAATCCTCCCTATGCAAGTTGTCTTCCTTTGAGAACTGCGCCACTGCCATTCTTCCTGTTTGCCAGGCTTGGAAGCGCCATAAAAGTCGAGTGGCTTTAGAAATATTGGAGAATTTATACAAAATACAAGGCAGTGCATTTTGCAGCATGCCAAATTGATCTCAATTTAGCCTCCTTGCCCGATTCTGTCCCTAAAGCTACACAAAGCTTCCTCGGTGAGCTTTCCATGATTGAGTTTGTGCGATGGAGAGAGAGAGAAAATCCCCGCACATCCATTTAGGGCCGGAGAAGACGAGACGCAAGTTGGGGGGCGAAATGGGAGCAAACTTTTGAAGTCACGTCTTGAGTGAGAAAACTAAAAACTCCACAAAATCTTATTCCTCCACGGAATAGATAGATATGAATAATTCCGAGCTCGTATGTGAAGCCCCAAAGGAAGGTTTAACTCTGTTATGCGGCCTGGGCGAATCCCATTCTTGAGCCACACACTCGCATGCCGAGTTCAGCGACCCAATTTTGACTTAATAAAATCTCACTTTATTGTGCGACTGGAGGGGCTAATAAATGACAACAAGGTGAATTCGTAACACCGCATGTCCGCACCCATGCATTATTCAGTGAGGTCGAATTCAAATTGCCGCCTAAATTTAACACTCACAGCCCGATTGGGTTTATCGATGGAGTCTTGCCGGACACTTTTTCTGCCTCCCAAGCAAAGGAAGATTCACAAATACACACAACAATTGCCATGTTTATGCATCACAGCAATTAATCACCCAACTAGAAGTTCAGGGTGGAAAATTAAACATTTAATTAATAATTTTACGAGGCATTTTTGCCAATTTTATCACCATATCAGGCCATGTGTTGTCATTATTCATTGCAATGCTAAAGTGACTGTAAATAAATCTGTTCCAATTTCAGATGCATAAAATATTAACTATTGATTGTGTTTTTTTATTTCAATAAAAATCAAGGGGTTAATATATTGCTAAATTTCATAAATCCGTCTACAATATGAAAATAATTACACTTTCCCTTCATTTTCAAAAAATAACAGGGAAATGTTCATTTAAACTAAGATGAATTTCTTTAATTCACAGAAAACTCACGGATTTTCTTAATATTTTGGAATTTGCGTACTCAAGAATTATTTTCGCCATTCGAGAAGACTTGACAAGGGTGAAGTTATCAGCCTCTGGCAAGTCTGGCAGAAATATAGTTAATTTTTCTGTCTCTCTATCGGCAATAAAAATAAAGAGAAAGTTTTCATCCCGAACGTGTGGGCGAGGAAGTTTTCCTGTGATTTCGGGGGACCTTTTCGTCCTCTGAATATGAGAATTATGACTGCATCAATGTGTGCCTGAATGGCACCCCAATAACTCGCTCGAGGAGGCAAAGTTGTGGCGTCGTGTGGCGGAGGAGATGTAAAATATTATTTTAATTTTTAATACACCCCATCAATTGAATGTGGGGCAGGCGGAGCCATTAATCACCAGGGAATAATATTTAGAATGGGCGAAACGCACTGTGGATGACACAGAATGCAATTTTCATCCATGAAAAATATCGCCCGTGGCCTCTCGATAAATTATGGGTAATTGTGACCTCCCCCAGTTAGTGTCACTGGCGAGATTGCCGCCCAAGTGGTCCCGGCGGGATGCTGGGGTGGGACTTTTTAAATTAATCACACGAGATGGGGCGAAAAAATGTGAAATTATGGGCTTTTTCCGCGCAGCTCCCACACTTCAATTTCCTCCCCCCTTTTTGTCCACGGCATTTTCTCAATTTCCTCCCCGGAAAAGCTCGATAGTTTCCCTCCCCCCGAAAGCTCTTGTCGTGGTTTCAAAAGAGAGCACACACACACACGACTTTGGGCGAAGAACTCTAATACGATATTCTGGAAGAGGAGCCGCAGTTTCACTCCAGAATTGATGATGCCTTTAATCAAATTCCCCTCCTCAGCAGCTCCACGGCTTTTCCCATCATAATTACACAACACGTGGAGCTCAAAGATGCGGGGGTGGATTTGATTTGAGGGAAGGCAGAGCACCAGAGATTAATTAGTTGATGGCTGCTGAAATATGCAAAATTGTTAGTGTATCGGAGGGTCTTTGTTGTCTTTTAATTTTCCGCCACGAATTTGCCGCAGGGAAATTTCTGAAAAAGTGAGAAAAAGCCGAAGAGTAATTAAGGCTTTTTTCTATGCAACTTTGCAGGCATTTTCTCCAGTTGACACTTCCTGGTGAAACTCTCTAGCAATTTTTTTTTTTGTTCAGAAATTCAACCGCATGTTCAGTTCTTTCTTACAAATTCATTAGCTCTTGTGCGGCGTCTTGTTCTGTCTGTCATTCAGAGCGGTTTTCCATGCTGGCATTTGCACACCCCTCGCGTCGTGCAGCGCTGTATTTCTGGTCTAAGTTCTAAGCCAAAAATAGCATGGCGCACAGCATTCGTCAAAGTCAGGGAAAAATTTATAAACTTCCGCATTAAATGCTCCAGTAAACGCAAAAATATCTCCTGAGTGTGGAGGAAAAAGTCCCATCAATATGTTCTGGCTGGGTTTTTCGTGAGGGAAATACGTAAAATATTTCAATGATTTTTCATCCCAGATTGTCAGTCATTCCATTCACACCACTCTTATAATGCAGAGCTGTGTGGAAAAAGTCTCTGTCATTGAACAAGTGAGATGAATTGCAAGTAAATATTCATGAACCTTGAGCTGATTAAAGTCTTAGAGTACAGTTGAGTTGAAATTCTTGTATGATAATTTGTAATAGTGTGAGAGGGAAAATGGGAGAGAAAATATATTTCCTGTGAAATCATCGTGTGGGTGGATTTTCTATTTCGCTCTTGTTTGAGAGTTTTCCTGCCATTTCCCTGGGGAGATGATCACGCG